GCTAACGACTGTGTCCCATTATTTGAAGTAGACGGTTACACGTCTACAAATCACACAATCAAGCTAACGACAGTTTCCCCATATCAGATGTAGACTGGTTATTACACATCTACAAATCACACATCCCAGCTAACGACAGTGTCCCCATAACAGATGTAGACTGTTACCCGTCTACAAATCACACAACCCAGCAAACGACAGTGTCCCCATATCCGATGTAGACTGTTACTCGTCTACAAATCACACAACCCAGCTAACGACTGTGTCCCCATATTTGATGTAGACTAGTTATTACACGTCTACAAATGACACAACCCAGCTAGCGACTGTGTCCCCATATCAGATGTAGACTGTTACACATCTACAAATCATACAATCCAGCTAACGACAGTGTCCCCATATCAGATGTAGACTAGTTATTACACGTCTACAAATCACACAACCCAGCTAACGACAGTGTCCCCATATCCGATGTAGACTCTTACACGTCTACAAATCACACAACCCAGCTAACGACAGAGTCCCCATTTCAGATGTTGACTGTTACACGTCAACAAATCACATAAACCAGCTAACGACTGTTTCCCCATATCAGATTTAGACTTTTACCCGTCTACAAATCACACAACCCAGCTAACGACAGTGTCCCCATAGCAGATGTAGACTGTTCCCCTTCTACAAATCACACAACCCAGCTAATGACAGTGTCCCCATAACAGATGTAGACTGTTACACGTCTGCAAATCACACAACCCAGCTAACGACAGTGTCCCCATAACAGATGTAGACTGTTACCCGTCTACAAATCACACAACCCAGCAAACGACAGTGTCCCCATATCCGATGTAGACTGTTACTCGTCTACAAATCACACAACCCAGCTAACGACTGTGTCCCCATATTTGATGTAGACTAGTTATTACACGTCTACAAATGACACAACCCAGCTAGCGACTGTGTCCCCATATCAGATGTAGACTGTTACACATCTACAAATCATACAATCCAGCTAACGACAGTGTCCCCATATCAGATGTAGACTAGTTATTACACGTCTACAAATCGCACAACCCAGCTAACGACTGTGTCCCCATATCAGATGTAGACTGTTACACGTCTACAATTCACACAACCCAGCTAACGACAGTGTCCCCATATCAGATGTAGACTAGTTATTACTGGTCTGCAAATCACACAACCCAGCTAACGACAGTGTCCCCATATCAGATGTTGACTGTTACACGTCTACAAATCACAGAACCCAGCTAGCGACTGTGTCCCCATATCAGATGTAGACTGTTACACGTCTACAAATCACACAACCCAGCTAACGACAGTGTTCCCATATCTGATGTAGACTGTTACACGTCTACCAATCACACAACCCAGCTAACGACTGTGTCCCATTATTCGAAGCAGATTGTTTCCAGTCTACAAATCACACAACCCAGCAAACGACAGTGTCCCCATATCCGATGTAGACTGTTACACGTCTACAAATCACACAACCCAGCTAACGACAGTGTCCCCATATTCGATGTAGACTAGTTATTACACGTCTACAAATCACACAACCCAGCTAGCGATTGTGTCCCCATATCCGATGTAGACTGTTACACGTCTACAAATCATACAATCCAGTTAACGACAGTGTCCCCATATCAGATGTAGACTAGTTATTACACGTCTACAAATCACACAACCCAGCTAGCGACTGTGTCCCCATATCAGATGTAGACTGTTACACGTCTACAATTCACACAACCCAGCTAACGACAGTGTCCCCATATCAGATGTAGACTAGTTATTACTCGTCTACAATCACACAACCCAGCTAACGACAGTGTCCCCATATCAGATGTTGACTGTTACACGTCTACAAATCACAGAACCCAGCTAGCGACTGTGTCCCCATATCAGATGTAGACTGTTACACGTCTACAAATCACACAACCCAGCTAACGACAGTGTTCCATTATTCGACTAGTTATTACACGTCTGCAAATGGGACTCAACCAGTCCTGTTCCTGTATAGGGAAATTTTTAACGTTTCACTATTCTATAATTGGAGAGAATAAACAGGCATGTCAATCATAAAATTGTCCATTCTCTGTTCCCCTACAAGGATTTACAGGTAGTAAACAGAGTAACAGAGTAAACAAAACACGCTTATATAACGAACTGACTGATAAAACGAACTGTTTTGGGGGGTCTCGCCGATTGCTGTTAGTATATTTCACCATGAAAGTGTTGGACATACATCTAACTCACTTTGTGATCCTATATGTGCTCTTTCAAAGGCAAGTTTATGTGTATAAGGAACTCTTTATTTTAATCTCCTCATCTCATAATCTTTGAACTGTTCTCATGCCACCAATCATCTTGTTTATAAGACGAATAGTGAGTGTGTAAGTATGGTTTTATGCTGCTTTTAGCAATATTCCAGCAATATTACCAGCGGAGGACATCAATGGGCTTCACGCATTGTATCCATGTAGAGAATCGAACCCGGGTCTTTGGCGTAACGAGCGAACGTTTTGACCACAGGGCTACCCCTACAGCCCCTCATAAGATGAATACATTGCACACTTGCCATATATCAACATGATGAGTTACACAACTTGATCCAAGATGTCTGTCAGTCGAAATGCTTATGACGAAGACCCGTGAAGATCCGGGTTAGAATTGATATTCAGCAACCCATGCTTGTCGTAAGAGGCGACTAACGGGGTCACGTGGTCTGGCTCGCTGACTTGGTTGACACATGTCATCGGTTCTTCCCAACTGCGCAGACCGATGCCCATGCTGTGGATCACTGGATTGTCTGGTCCAGACTCGATTATTTACAGACCGCCGCCATATAGCTGGAATATTGCTGAATGCTGCGTAAAACGTAACTCACTCACCTATGACGAACTACGGCTGTGACGAACTAAACTTAGTGGTGAATTGAGTTCGTCCTATCGTAATTTAGTGTAAGTAAAAGGACAAATGGTTGTCTTGTCTCAAGTTGTCTGCGATGTACAATATGGATGTTGCATGAGAGTCACCGAACCATGTTACAAAAGAAGCACGGATTCAGAACGTAAAGTGTTAAATCCTTCTTATCCCGAATACACTCATCATAAGGTGATGTCACTCTTGAAACGTAATGCGGTCTTCTCTAGAAAGTGACATTGATATTCGTACAGTGATGACTAGAACCTGAAAGTTGTTTACTTATACCACTCCAAAGAATATAAGGAACGCTCAAAATATCAGAAATATGTTGTGACTGATTATTGTGAACATAACGCACAGTTTTATGTTATTCTTGCGTTAATATTTTCTCTGTGTGTTTCAGATGGTTTGGAGGAGAACGTGGGACATCCGTGTATGTGACTCATAATGATAACCCTACGAGCTGTTGCAACGAACGTCCATGGTTAGAATCATCCTGATGACAACCGGTTGTAGCTCACCCTGTCTTTCAAATTGATATAGTCATAAATAAATAAACAGGCAATAAATCATGTATGTCGGTGAGCCTACTGATCTTCTTCTTTTTGTATTGTTCCTTTCTGAAACCATGATGGAATATGTATTTTTATCAATCTGTATCTGCAATAGTGGTTCGTTCATCTGCAACTCAACATTTCGGCTTGACTGACTGAGTTTAGTTTTACGCCGCTTTTAGCAATATTCCAGCAATATCACGGCGGGGGACACCAGAAATGGGCTTAACACATTGTGCCAATGTGGGGAATCGAACCCGGGTCTTCGGCGTGACGAGCCAACGCTTTAACCACTAGGCTACCCCACCGCCCCTGGCTTGACAATATTATACCTGATAGTGAACTGAAAAGTCATACTATTGCCATGTATGTCGTAGTAAGTTATGAAGAAATAGGGAACTGTCTGGCTATATGCCTTTCACCTAACGGTCTATATCGTTTATACTTTATACTATTGCTTCGAACCCGTAAAGATCCGGGTAGAACTAGTCTTCAGTAACCCATGCTTGTCGTAGGAGGCGACAAACGGGATCGGGGTGGTCAGGCTCGCTGACTTGGTTGACACATGTCATCGTATCCAAATTGCGTAGATTGATGCTCATGCTGTTGATCACTGGATTGTCTGGTAGCTGGAATATTGCTGATTGTGACGTTTAAACAACCAAACAAAACCATTTGTACTTTCATATGTTTTTCGGACGTATGAAAAAAGTCACTGATTCAGAACGCAAAGTGTCCTTCTTACCCTGAATACATTTATCATAAGTTATGTCACACAGTAAAAGACAGGCCGTCAGTGTGGTCAGTTGAGTAATGTTCACAAATATCCTTGCCCAGGCCATCCTAGCCTTGCTCCAAGGCTGCACTGAAGGCTAAAGCGATGGATGTACAGTGACAATACACATCCCGCCGACTCCTCGACATGCGCCGGATTAGACAGTGCTGATTACTGTATAAACACATATTCGGGCGGCTCATGTCATGCCGAGATCCGGAATTGACATCTGCTGGATTGCAGAGCTCTTAAATGATGATAAATGTACTAGCCACGGATGGGACTGAAATTGTATGCCGGTGTTGACAACTTGCCGGATTGGACAGCTGTCGGTTTTGACAGCTTCCACTCTCTAGTAATTCTATCCTTTAAATAGGCTAGTCAGTAGGACCCCAGTCTCTTAAAGTGTTATTTATATTTTTTAAGAAATTATCATTTAAAGTATTAATAATTACCTAAGAGACTTGTGCAAGTCTTAGTCTATCCGAGAAGAGGATGTTTGTGAACGTTATCTTCTGAACTGACAACACTGACAACCTGGCTTTTTCTGTGTGCTTTAATCCTGGTCGACTATCAAATTGGGACAACACTTGGCAACAGTCTATGTAAGTCATACTGTTGGAGATTACGTAATAGTCAAAAAATGAATGTGTGACTTAATGACAATACCTATATAAGTCAATCTGCAAGGTGAGCTACAAACCTATAGCACTCTCGCATGAAGCTGTATATATGACAGTGGGGTAGCCAATTGATCAGTCGGTTGCTGCAGCAGTCACAAAATGAAGTTCACTTTATACGTTTGCCTTTGCCTGGTGGCGAGTTCGTGGACAGAGTTTATGGTGCAGGCGAGAGGTAGGTTATGGCTGTTAAAAACTGCTTATTGACTAACGATAATACTTGATTTGTAGGGAGGGATGAACAATAGACTACCTATATATAGAACATGCTCATAATGAACTGAATTATTAATTGATAAATTGAAAAAATGTGTCATGGTGTTCATTTCTGGTATCTCAAAATTGCATTATGTTTGATTTAAATGTTTTAACTGAATTCACAAGAATAAAATTCAAAGTTAATATTCAATAATTATTTTGTTAAGTTCAGGTTTACAAAGGCTGTAAATTTTTGAAAATTTAGAAGGATTTTACCTGTTTTTCATTTTCTGAACCGAGTTCATAAATATTGTAGAAATACCTATTGCTTCACGCACACCGCCCCTACGCGTGAAGAAATGATATATATATACTCCCTCAATTTAAAATAGTAAACGTCAATATTGACGAAATTATGTATCAAGAATAGATTCACGCCAATTTTGAAGGTATGGAATATGGTACGAAACATCTAAGGTAATTCTAGCATCCACCACGTTCAAAATGGAAATGAAGTATGCTTCAGATATTGCAAATAAACTGGGCGGAACTTTGGTTAAACACTCTTCCTCGTCTAACTATGTACCTAAATTTAAATAAAATCAAAAGAACCAAGAAAATAAAACTATCAATTTCAACTCAGGTAATGGGGAAGATCATTGTGAAATATGTTCTATTCATGAGCTTCATAAAGCTCACCATAGTGCTGCAGGACCTAATATTTGTGATGACATTTGGACGTCGGGGAAATGTCCTTCTTCATGGTGTGATGCTATAATTGTCTCAATTCTTAAACCTTCACGTAACCATACCGATCCTTCAAATTATCGACCAATTCCACGTATTAGCTGCGTTTGCAAAACCAACTCATGATCAGTAATCGATTAGTTTGGTCCTTGGAAACCATTCATCTCATTACTGATATGCAATGTAGTGTCCGCCACGGGGCTTGTAACGGTAAAAACTGCCATCAAGGTATGTACTGTCACTGACAGGGTCTTGGCACTATATAAAAGTGACAGTTCATACCTCGATGGCAATTTTATCGTTACAAGCCCCTGTGTCTCCATCTGTTCAGATCTCTTATTCCTCCTAAATTAGATTACGGTTCAATTGTACATGGCAGAACGTCTAAAACTAATTGAACGAGTGGTATACGCCCCCAAGGCCTGAAGATCTGTCTTGGTGTGTTCAGAGATTTTATTGAAGCCACATTACATAACATCGACTAGTTTTTAAATTGTACAATTGCAGTTACGGTTTTTCTTATTTATTGGTCTATAGCCTAGTTTTATATTCTGCTTAATAAAAATATTTTGACGAAATAATATTTTTAAATATTGCACTGGTATGTTTTAAACTGATATTGGACATACTGTTTTACTTATATTTATTTATTTATATTTTATTTATAGTCAACTTGCTCTCATCGCGATATGGCTGCGATATTACCGATGCAATGTAAAATTTTAACTCACTCACACATCTCACATTGAATATATATTCTTGAATTCTTGAGAACTGGCATGGAGAGTAATTGATCGTGTCGGAGTGTAAGCTGTTAAACGTTGAATACTTTGACGCTTCTCTCAGTTGTCAGTGCATGTCAGACTCTACTGATACATCTGAGATAAGTCATCCTGTATCGTGTTGTTTTCAGGTCCTCTGGTATACTTCAGGGCAATTCTGCCTAAGGAGACTACTTACGGACTTCGCAGTACCATCGTATTTAGCCAAGTGGAGGCAAACAAGGGTTCAGGGTATAACCCATCATCCGGGGTATTCCATGTTCCAATTGCAGGTGTTGTACCAACTTCAGTATCATATTCGTATCAATGAGCTTGTGTACGCGCGTGCCGTCGTGACTGATTAAAAAACAGCGATTGTATAATTTAGCATAAATCTAAGAAGCCCTTTATAGAACGGTTGTCAATGTACCTAAAGCATTTTTTAAATACAATTTTCTTTTTAAAAACCCCAAAACATATTACAGATTTTTCAAAAAATCAACAATGGACCGAAATAATCCCCTCTATCTGAATGAGTCAGCCCATGGCGCACTGAGTACCTGTTCATTAATGTGCCTGAAGAACATATTCTTATTGGCCATCGTAATTAAACTTGTCTAACTTTCGAGTCATATCAAACCAAGTTTAAACACTGGCGTATGAATTCAGAGGTTCAGTCACAGAAAACTATATTATTAGTAAAATGACAACGGCGTATACATTTAGGGGCGAACATACGACAATTTATGCTTCGTATTTCTGTAGGTCTCTATCTGATGAAATGCCAGCTTGAAACCACTAACCACGGTACTTCTGAGTTCTTCCTGGAGAAACAAGGAACAGCACAGTCAGTGTTGACCATTCAACACTATTACAGCTCCAAGACTATGAGCGTTATCATACATCTGAACGTGGGGGACCACGTTCTAGTAAGAAAGACGTATGACAGCAAAAACGCTCCACTGAGAGGAGGGGTGTGGTCTCAGTTCTCTGGATATCTGCTGAGGAAAGACTGAATCAAGTGTCCATGGATTGAATATCTTCAAAGTAATCAAAATAATAATGATTTGTCATGATGAATCTTTCATTACGCAGTCATGTTAAACGTTTGAAATAAACTGTATTGTTGACGGCTATTTGACGTCTATTCTCTGTATAATCCACTCGAGGTTAAGTTGAATGTGATAGAGTTTCATTTCAATTATACTTTGCTCAGGTGTACATCAGCTTTAACCTACAGGCATGTTACGAAGTTAATGCTGTTTGATCATTCAGATCTCCCAAATGGTCTCATTACCTACAGATCATCGTCTGATTGTCAATACGACTACCACCCGTGAAGGTCCGAGTTAGAATTGGTCTTCAGTAACCCATGCTTGTCGTAAGAGGCGACTAACGGGATCGGGTGGTCAGGCTCGCTGACTGGGTTGACACATGTCATCGCATCCCATTTATGTATATCGATGTTCATGCTGGTGATCCCTGGATTGTCTGGTTCAGACTCTCAATTATTACACACCACCGCCATATATAGTATGACCAGAAATTATTGAGAATTTTAGGAATATGTTTAATTGGATTCCTAGTATAAACAGCCTTGACCAGCTGTCAAGTGCTGGGTTTCATTCAAGAGAGACAACTCCGTTTATCCTTTTTCATTAGTTTGTGAAGAGTTATTCCTTCTTGTTTACTTGCTAGCAGACGACATTTTCACTGATCCTCAGTATGGATGATTTAGAGAAGAGGAAGTTGATGTTAGAGTATTATAACAAGGACATCAGATCAGCTAAAGTGATTTCTGCAGAATAAGCATCCCTTTGTCCACTGTTTATCATGTTTTGAAAAATATTGCAAAATGGATATGGCATTGAGCACCAGGGAGGCACAGGTAGGCCCAGAAATTGACTGTCTTGGTGACAGGAGGCGGCTTATGATTATTCTTGTTTCTAAAACAAACGAAGGAGCTTTAGAAAACTTAAGGCTGGATATGATTGATAGAGGAACTGTGTTGTCTGTAAGGAGACAATTAGAACTGAGATGCATGCAATCGGCTGGCATATCTGTGTTAGGGCAAAGCCCTCTGTGCATTTGAAAGGGAATATGAACAGTGAGCGGTACACAGATATTCTCGAGGGACATTTACTTCCATCTGCTCACGTGTTCTATGGAAATGTTTGGATTTTCCAGCAGGACAACGACCCAAAACATCGTTCAAAGCATTCACAGTCCTGGTTTCTGGACCCAAAATATGACATTATTAGATTGGCCAAGCTTATAGCCTTGACCTAAATCCCATAGATAGACAGGCAGACAGACAAGACAGACAGACAGACAGACAGATTTATACAGTATAAAGCCTTTGGCCCAAAATACAGACAATATAGGATTACAAAATATCCCTGCGCATAATACATATTTACATACATTCCATAGCATAAAATAGTACAAATGCATGATATGAATATATTATATATTACTTTGCTTTATTTGTTGTGCTTTAAATAAAAAGACTGAAGTGTTATGCAAAAATATCATAATTATAAGAAGCGATTATAGAAATAAAGTTATGTTGAGAAGTAGTATTGATGTATTTACCAATAAGTGTATTACTGAAAACTATAAGCTACAGATTAGAAGTACATGATATTCAATTTTCAATAAAATACTTTTTGGGGGATAAACGGAGAGGACAGAGTCTTTCTTCATATGGTGTAGCTTGATGTCTTCCAGTGTTGACAGCTATTCTAAAGTTACTGCATCTGAAGCGTGATAAGATCCTTTTTAAGCGAGATGGAGGTGATGAGTTCAGATAGTATTCAACAGTCTGTTTATATGAATAAGAGTCAGAAAGGTTATTAACATTTACACTCCAGGTTTGTTGTAGATTGTCAAATAGTCTCTGCTTAAACATTGATAAGAAAATATTTTTGTCTCCAACAATTTGGGAAATCTATGCATATCCAAATCCAAATCTGAATAAAATAAAATCCAATAGAAAATGTTTGGGGACTTATGACGGAAAGTGTCAATAAGAATAATCTGACAAATATTGATGAAATGAAAGAAGAGGTGGTCCGATATTGGGACAGCATGGACCACGACTTTCTAACTTCTTTGATCAGTAGTATGCCCCTCCGCATTGAAGCCTGCATTGCTGCCCATGGTGACTTGACAAAATACTAACTGTTCACCTGTCTTTGAATCTGGAGTTACGTTCTGCTAATATTCACATTTAATACGTTAGTGAATTTTTTTTTTAAATTTACAATCTTAAATCCTCAATAATTTCTGGTTGTACTGTAGCTGGAATATTGCTGAGTGCGGCGTAAAACTAAACTCACTCACTCACTCACTACGACTACCTCATTAATCGTTGAAGATTCCAAATCTCTATTCAACATTGTCTCTGTGTGTCTGTGTTCAGGGGGTTCGACCCTCGATTGGGTACATCTGTCCAATAAAAGTGACAACGAAAATGAAGTATGTCTAGGAAACAGGCCTACCAAAGAAAAAACCGAATTGCGAGGAAAAGCATAGAAATGTACACATTAAGACGCGAGTGTGCATACAAACATAGCGATGCGGAATCGAAAGCATAGAAACTGCATAAAAATACGACGATCTGCAACTTTAAAGAATCGAGGACGCGTTCCGAAAGACTCGAAGTGCATCACGATGTGACTGCGCATGCGCTGCCCAATTCCAAAATGGCGGATGAAAGTTTGACTCCTGCGGTTGGTAAGTGAAAATGATTTTTATTCTTCATATGTCTTGCTATAAGATATTTTATGAATTAGAAAAAAGAGATACAGGTTCCTAAAACGAAACTGTAAAATATTACATCATTTCGCCAGCTACATCGAAGAATATAAGTCATTTTGTGATTAGCATGTGGAACCGCTATAGTCCGTATCAAATACGGCCAACCGATTCTGATTCTTGGTTTGGTGGAGCATGATAGTATGGTTTTACACGGCCAAAACTGGGTACCCAAATGAATAACTGACTGTATATATTTTCAATATATAATTTGACAAAAATCTAATCCGAACTTATATATTTTCATGGTATAAATATGTAAAATATATTTTGAATATAATCACAGACTCGGGTCGTTGTCATGTAATTTCCATTGACTAATTAATAAAACAATTTTCATGAAGTTACTTTCGATCATAGTCAAATGTGAAATCACCTTAATGAAAATTATTTCTGCTTCACTAAATTAACATGTAAGTCTATGGAAAATATATCAAGTGCATGTTTCTGTAGGTCTATATATTGATTGCTATACTGCACTTCTGTCTTTTCAAAATTAATTTTGTTATTTTTCGGGTTTTACTAAGATGATATATAATATATTTTTATCATGTATAAAGAACTGATATTCTAACTGATAACAAAAATTTTTATGAGGCTAATTTTAATTTTAATTTTTAAAATAACTGTAAAATTAGAATAAGGTTTCACTTTTAGATGTTCTAATGGAGACCTAATTATCTGTTTTTGATTTTCCAGCAATGCTCCTGAAAGAAATGACAGATCCTGCAAGTCCAGGTTCATGTGATGAATTAACTACCATTCCTGAATCACCAACCACATCACAGACATGGACTGAACCACAACCAGATCTTCAACATTTGAGGTTCGAGTGCGAGTACTGTGACAAGGTGCTAGCAACAAAGATGGGAATGAAAATGCACACCCGGCAACATACAAAAGAGTTTCCTTATGCATGTAGCCAATGTAGTAAAGGGTTTAATACGCGAGTCCTCCTCAAAGCGCACCTGGCCAAGCATCAAGGAAAGCCGTATGCAACTTGCAAACTTTGCGGAAAAGCTTTAGCAAGTCCATCGGCACTCAAGCGGCACCATGCCTTACATGAAGGCACAACTTTGAAATGTGAATATTGTGAAAAAACATTTCACACCAAGGATTCACATTCAAAACATCAGATTTCTCATCAAACGAAAACAGAAAGGTGTCAGCTATGTGGAAAATACTTTCATGAAAAAACAATTAATAAGCACATGCGTGAAATTCATGGCGAGAAAAAACACCAGTGCGAGTTATGTCCTTATGCCACAAACAGAAAGGCCGACTTAATGAGGCATGGTGTGATGCACAAACCCACCAAGATTGAAATCTGTTCTTCTTGTGGCAAGGACTTTAAGTGGGAGACCTCCAGAAGGAGGCATGAGGAGGTCTGCCAAGGGCCAAAGGAGGACGAAGATTTCGATATTGTTGAAATAGACCCAGACCTTTTAATCCAATGCAGTGCAGCAAAAAAATAGTATATTTAAACATTTTCTCCAGTGACTGTGATGTGTAAATATGTTCCTGTGATCATCCAGAGAGAGACTGTGATGTGTAAATATGTTCCTGTGATCATCCAGAGAGAGACTGTGATGTGTAAATATGTTCTTGTGATCATCCAGAGAGAGACTGTGATGTGTAAATATGTTCTTGTGATCATCCAGAGAGAGACTGTGATGTGTAAATATGTTCCTGTGATCATCCAGAGAGAGAGACTGTGATGTGTAAATATGGGAAAGTGGAACGTACAGTCGAGAAGTATATTATCTTACGGCGTGAAAGAATAGCTTACCTATGAAGTCTTGATGCGTTCCAGACACAATATCTCTGTGAATAATAAACTAACAGTGAACGCTTTAGGAAACCAGCAGGAGTGAGAGCAGCTAAAACACTGCTGGCCAAACCGGTTGCAGAGATGAGTGAGTGAGTTTGTTTTACGCCGCACTCAGCAATATTAACGCTATATGACGGCGGTCTGTATGTAATCAAGTCTGGACCAGACCATCCAGCGATCAACAACATGAGCATCGATCTACGCAATTGGGAACCGATGACGTGTCAACCAAGTCAGCGAGCCTGACCACCCGATCCCGTTGTTCGCCTCTTACGACAAGCATGGGTTGCTGAAGACCAATTCTAACCCGGATCTTCACGGGTTTGCAGAGAGACCTATCCCAAATACATTGACATTTCTAAAAACATCTTACACCAATATCATATTTAATGTAATGGGCTGTTATTATGACAACAGTCTTAGTCTTTGTTTTCCTCGTTCTAAATGGATGACGTAATACTATATATGCCCTTCCCAGACTGTATATATGTTTAGCTGACCATACGAGGGAAAGGTACATGTTCCTTGTTTCCTTCCTATCAGTTATTGCCTTCTGTACAAACACGAAAAGAATATGTACCTACATAATACCTTTCAGATTAAAATTAAACTTTGTTATTCCAGTCACTTGAAATCCATTGCGGGGCGCTGGGGTAACCTGGTGGTTAAAGCGTTGGCTCGTCACGCCGAAGACCCGGGTTCGAATCCCCACATGGGTAAAATGTGTGAAGCCAATTTCTGATGTCCCCCGCCGTGATGTTCCTGGAATATTGCTAAAAGCGGCGTAAAACCAAAACTCAGTCAGTCAGTGAAATCCATTGCATCACATTACATTCACAAACTTCATTGGAATTGGGGGAAAATTCCTCAGTTATCTCCCTTACCACCTCACCAACAGATAACGCCAATCATTACGGTCCTAAGCGTGTAGGTAAGTGTATTGAGATGCTGCAATAGAGGTGGTTTAAGTCAAATCTGGCTGAAATCTTGCTATATTCTTACCCAGAATCTTCACGTGATATTTATACTGATACATATGACTGCGAAAGTATTGCTTTAAACCCAAACATGATCGTCTAGGCCTCAGTCTCTTTATAACTTAACAATAAGGCTGGCGGTTTACATCACGAGCAACGGTCCGAAAAACATCATCTTGGTGGCACACAGCAAAGTCAGACATTGTGACCACCAAATACTCCAGTCAGCTCAAACACGTAAAGGAAGCAGGGACATTTTATGACCAAACGTCCATTGGGTCGAACATCAGATAACTTTCTTTCTGTATTGTAATATAAATGACTTGATGTGCTGAGGCATTGACTGAAAATTAAAGACACGTACTGTTTTGTTGACAATACACACTGAAAAGTGAGTGAGTTTAGTTTTACGTCGCTTTTAGCAATATTCCGGCAATATCACGGCAGGGGACACCAGAAATGGGCTTCACACATTGTACCCATACGGGGAATCGAACCCGGGTCTTGGGCGCGACGAGCGAACGCTTTAACCACCAGGCTACACCCCTGCCCCCTGAAAAGACAAAACACGCGGAAACAATAACTCCCCACAGATGTTTACACATCTAGATTTTCTACCCGTTTAATATTTCAAAAGAATCATAATTCCAACTGAAAAACACTATGTTCTTAGTCAACGCTATGTTCTTTAGTTCGTGAGTTCGCATCCTAGATTCATATCTAGGTTGCCATGATATCGCTGGAGTATTGTTGAATGCGTCGTGAAACAAATACACGCCTTTTTAGAGCTCCGTCTAAATCTCGGGATCCAAGTAAGGGCTGCAACTCCGTCGGTGCCTTTGATTACAGGGTCCTTCGCTCCCCAAGGAATTCTAAAGGTAGAACCAGTACCAAATGTCACTTCATGTTTACAACATGTAACGCTTGATTGCTGGACAGAGCGCCGGTAAATGTACTTCCATCAACTATGAACATGCCATGGGCGGTGGGGTAGCCTAGTGGTTGAAGCGTTCGCTCGTCAGGCCGAAGACCCGATTCGATTCCCCACTGGATAACACGTGTGAAGCCCATTTCTGGTGTCTCCCGCCGTTATATTGCTGGAATATTCCTGGAATATTGCTAAAATATACTCATTCACTCTCTAACACAGCTGGGACGGTGGGTATAGCCTAGCTAAGTGGTTAAAGCGTTCGCTCGTCACGCTGAAGACCCGGGTTCGATTCCCCACATGGGCACAATGTGTGAAGCCCATTTGTGGTGTCCCCCGCCGTGATATTGCTGGAATATTGCTAAAAGCGGCGTAAAACCATATTCACTCAGTTACTCACTCTAACACAGCTGCTTGGTGGTTCACTGTTGTTTTCCAATAAAAGCTTAAATCTGATAGTCAAATTATGGCTTTATTTGTGTATATGACTTCATAAGTACATGTATAATCATATTTTGTTCTGTCTTATTTGTCATATTAGCAAAACTTTACGTATTCTATATTTCACCTATTCCTTGAACATCGTATCCAAATTGGGTAGATTGATTCTCATGCTGTTGATCACTGGATTGTCTGGTCCAGACTCGATTATTTACAGACCGCCGCCATATAGCTTGAATATTGCTGAGTGCGGGTTAAAAATAAAGTCACTCACTCTATTGATGTAATGTACGCATGTACAAGAAGCAGAGATTTCTGGCTTGAACAGATAATCATTAACCTATGCTAGTACGAGGATGGTTAATGGATCGGGTAGTCAGGCTGTTAGATGCTCATGATATCAGTCACCGAATGATTGTCTTGATTATTTTCAGGTCTTACAAAGCAAAACGATATGCATTAATTGGTTTGTTATGATTGCAAGCGAAAAACTACATTTCAATGAAAAGGTCTTAAACGCCTCTACTTGTATCACTATGAAAGATATTAGAAGATATGTTTGCTTGAAATCATCCTATGTAAATCACGTGACCTGTAGATAAGTCCACCAATCGATTGTCTGCCACATGACAACAAGATGGCGGGGTTTTTCAGCTGCACGTTGGTAGCTGCTCTTGTATCGGTTTCTCGTGCTGGAGTTATTGATCTAACTGGTAACTGGACTCTCCTGAACAATGCTAGAGGTAAGTAGTGAGTGAATGAGTTTAGTTTTACGCCGCTTTTAGCAATATTCCAGAAATGGATTATGGCAATAATGCATCAAATGGCGAGAGTGTATTACCTCACCTGTCAGAAACACAAGCAAAGGCGAGTCGAACCAAAAAAGGCAAAAGACGATGAAACATGCAAGTGGTGAGTGAGTGAGTATAGTTTTACCCCGCCTTTAGCAATATTCCAGCAATATCACGGCGGGGGACAACAGAAATGGGCTTCACACATTGCACCCATGTGGGGAATCGAACCCGGGTTTTCGGCGTGACGAGCGAACTTTTTAACCACTAGGCTACCACACAGCCCCCGCAAACATAAACATATGATACAAGAGACATTAAGGCATTGCATCGACAACATTTTGGCCTTCGAAAAGTAGACTGAAGGCTTGTCGTGCTGATAGACATAAAATGGAAAGTTGATGTGGAAATGTTTAACTATCCCACTTGGAATACAGTTTTTGTGCGCATATTTCACTCTCTGGCTCTGTGTGCGTGGATAATTAATTCTAAACAATGTATTTCTGAAACAATAAACATTCCCAAAGATACATTTGTCTAAAAATCATTTCTGGAAAGCCAGATCAAGAGAAGGAGTTTAGTCATAATATATTAACCTTATGTGACCCTGACCCTACGACCTACTTAAGATAACAGATGTGTAGCAGGTTATCCTTATCACGTTATCATATGACCAAGACATATCACTGCTTTGTCTGACCACAGCCAGAGATAAGTGTGTAGATCTGTAGCAGGTTAGCAATACAGTAATGTTTGTATCATTCAGTTTGAGAACGTTTATCCTCAGTTTATTGGAAAGGTTCATCTTCAAAAAGGCAAATTCATAAATGACAGACAGAAAGTGTTTCACCGCTTGCAATTCCTTAGGGAACGTTCAAAATTTATGGCTAGGATGGTGATGATGATTTTAAAAAAGGTGTGTGTGGAAGGGGGGTTGGGGTGTAATCCATTTGGCTCTGGGGAGGTGTGTATGTGTGTGTGTGTGTGTGTGTGCGTGCGCGTGCGTGCGTGTGTGTGCGTGTGTGTGTGTGTGTGAGAGAGTGTGTGTGCGTGTGCGTGTGTGTGTGTGTGTGTGTGTGTGTGTGTGTGTGTGTGTGTGTGTGTGTGTGTGTGTGTGTGTGTGTGTGTGTGTCATCAATTTTGTACGCATGTCCCGGGGGGTCATCAATATTGTACATAGAGATATTTTACATATATGCATAGCAATTATGGGAAGAGGGAGGCTGACAGATTGATGCCGGGGATCACTGACTTTGTCCATAAAATTTAGTGGGGTGGGGTTGGGGGTTTGGGGTTGTCATTCACATTGTACATGGTTCTCCATAAAAATCATCATCACCCCCTAGCTATAAATTATGAGAGGTCCGTTAAGGCCATGGCTGTTTGTACAGTAATCGCTCTTGAAAGATGATTGGTGTATGACGTGAAATTTGTATGTGTTCGATTTTAAGTTTCAAACAAATAAAATGGCTAGAAATAAACAATGACAACTGAGTGATGCAACATGATTGTCAAAATTAAATGTCTACAGTGATTTATCGACCGTCTTGAAAACTGTCAAAATATAAAATGACACTCCATGCACGTGTATGGGGCGAATGCGTTGTGCACGTGCATTCCTTTCGTTGTGTGATTATACAGAACTGCTTTAATATTGCTGAGTGCGGCGTTAAACAACAACCAACAATCAATCAATCAATCAATTAGTTATAACCACAGTAAGGAACAATTTTTCCCTGCCTGGAGCTCAGAGCTGTTGTCTACAAACACAACTGACTGAGAAATCAGAGACACTACAACAATCACAATCGTTTATAAACCCAGAAAGATTTTGAGATTTGTCATTTAGAATGTCATTTAGTCAAGGAATGCAGATACGAATGTTCTCATATCTGTATTTCATATTTATCACCTGACAGTAAAATCCATCAGATGAACTGGATTACATTTCATGTGACCAATCTTACACATATTGAGATTCTACCATTGTAACTTGCTGGAATATGGTCACGCCGAACACACGGGTTCGAATCCCCACATGGGTACAATGTGTGAAGCCCATTTCTGGTGTCCCCCGCCGTGATGTTGCTGGAATATTGCTAAAAGCGGCGTAAAACAAAACTCAGTCAGTCAGTCAGTCTTGGAATATGAATGGTCAGGATGTAATTTGGTTTCGGATGGGAGGCAAAACAAACACAGCACTATAAAAAATAGATTTTAAAATATACGCTTCAAACCCATTCCATTATCATAATAAATCACTGCTGAACTGTCCACTGTACGATTCCGACTATATCATTAACTTGCCTATAACTCACTACTGAATCAAATGCTGATGAGTGTCACCACCACCAGCGGTGATTTCCGTCACAAACTTCACAAACTATTCACTCTAAAACGCGCTTGCATATTGTTTCTCACATTTTCATTTAATGTTAAATCGAATATATTTCTTGTAACCTAACTGTTTTCGAGACGTTGATGTCCCTGTGTTGTAAAAATATTATGGCGTTTGTTGCAGGTGTGAAGATTCCAGCCAGTGTCCCAGGCAGCATGTACACAGCCCTGTACTACAACAAGCTCATCCCAGATCCTCTCTACCGAGACAACGACGTTAAGCTACGATGGATTGGACGAGAAGACTGGACGTACACACGCACCTTTCAGTGTAAGATCACAGCTAAACAAGAGCCACTAATTACCTGTTTATAAGAACAATCGAGTCAATATAACATACTAATACTGCAAGTGCAAACAAAGCTAACGCATATCTCCTGTGTAAGCAACAGAGTTCTTATGTCCAACCGTGTTCAGTAATGTCATGACATAATAATTAGATCCTAACATCCCGTAAGATGAGATGAGGTGAAATTGGGTTTAACGTCGTGCTTGAGAATATTTCGCTCATATGACGACGTGCATGCGTGTGTATGTGTATGTTCGGCTGCTTGTACTAGCCCAGACTGAAGCTGGTTTTATAGTGCTAGCCCACTGAGATACCATGCCGCGGTGAAGCATGAATACCCCACTCAGACACAGTATACTGACTCCGAGCCGACCAGTCCGTGGTGTACCCATTAATGCCGATCGCCAGGCAGGGACCAACAAGTACCATATTTTAACGTCTTTTGGTATGACCCGGTCGGGGATCGAACCTGCGACCTTCCGCTCTTCGGGCGGACGCTCTAACCACTACACCACGGAGGCGGTCACACATCCCGTAAGGGTATTACTGCATGAGTTATATTGAGGTCATTACTACATCTAATTATAAGGTCATTCCTTTATTCCATGAGTTGTTGTGGCTCATTTGTGACGTCATTCCGACTTTACGTCACAATATGATTTGAATGACGTCACCACTGTTGACAACGCAACAATACAATGGTGTGTGCGATGTTTGTAGTTATCATCCAAAACTGTGTTCCACAGGAGATATCGCTTGTGTGAGATCAAACGATATCTCCTAGGAGATATCGTTTTGACAGTAGATTTGTACAATGCTCTGACAATGTTATGACCTCATGAGCATGATGACGTCACAATGCTATGACATCGCTGCACTGCAAGTCTAATGACAGAACGGTGGTCAGAGATGTACTTTTTTCAATGAAAACTAATGAAGAGTGATTTTGGATGATAAATAGAATCTCACCCTCGTGTGTTCTGATATCAAATATATCAACAACTCGTTGATAAAAGTTAAAACATCCTCGGCCAGCCTCGGATATTTGTAACTTTATCAACTCGTGTTGATATATTTGATATCAAAAGACACTCGGGTGAGATTCTCTATGTATTAATACGCGGCGAATAGTCTTGCAATTTCCGGCACCCAACCAGATTAAAGAACAAGGTGACTTTTGGTTTACAGTGTATGAGGTCATTGTTACATCTCATGTATGAGGTCATTGTTACATCTAATGTATGAGGTCATTGTTACATCTCATGTATGAGGTCATTGGTTCATCTCCTGTATGAGGTCATTGTTACATTTCCTGTATGAGGTCATTGTTACATCTCATGTATGAGGTCATTGTTACATCTTATGTATGAGGTCATTGTTACATCTCATGGATGAGGTCATTGTTGCATCTAATGTATGAGGTCATTGTTAATCTAATGTATGAGGTCATTGTTAATCTAATGTATGAGGTTATTGTTACATCTCATGTATGAGGTTATTGTTACATCTAATGTATGAGGTCATTGTTAATCTAATGCATGAGGTCATTGTTAATCTAATGTATGAGGTTATTGTTACATCTAATGTATGAGGTTATTGTTACATCTAATGTTTGAGGTCATTGTTAATCTAATGTATGAGGTCATTGTTACATCTCATGTATGTGATCATTGTTAATCTAATGTATGAGGTCATTGTTACATCTCATGTATGAGGTCATTGTTACATCTAATGTATGTGATCATTGTTAATCTAATGTATGAGGTCATTGTTAATCTAATGTATGAGGTCATTGTTACATCTCATGTATGAGGTCATTGTTAATCTAATGTATGAGGTCATTGTTACATCTCATGTATGAGGTCATTGTTACATCTAATGTATGTGATCATTGTTAATCTAATGTATGAGGTCATTGTTAATCTAATGTATGAGGTCATTGTTGCATCTAATGTATGAGGTCATTGTTACATCTAATGTATGACGACATTGTTACATCTCATTTATGAGGTCATTGTTAATCTTATGTATGAGGTCATTGTTACATCTAATGTATGTGGTCATGTGGTTTGTAGTGGGTTCAGATGAACTGGCTGCCTCTGCCCTGCGTCTTGTCTGTGACGGCCTGGACACCATCTCAACCGTCTACATCAACGATCAGAAAGTCGGGACATCAGAGAACATGTTTGTCCAGTATGTGTACGACATCAAAACTGTCGCCAAGGTACAAATGTGTGTCACATATGTCAATAAACTTGTCAAAAAGATATTTACTAATATTATCTTACCTACTAAGGGGCCCGTGAAGATCCGGGTTAGTATTGGTCTTGGCAACCCATGCTTGTCGTAAGAGGCGAATAACGGGATCGGGTGGTCAGGCTCGCTGACTTGCTTGACACATGTCATCGCATCCCAGTTGCGTAGATCGATGCTCATGCTGTTGATCACTGTATTGTTTGGTTCAGACTCGATTATTTACAGACCGCCGCCATATATGTCTAATATTGCTCAGTGAGGCGTAAAACAACCAACCAACCTACAAGGGTATTCAGTGCTATTCACGCATGACCTGACCTCCATCAAGGTTGAAATAAGGCCCTTTTTGACTCATGTCTTAGAGATAATGAAACTGAGGATCAGTTGGCAATCATGGTCACCTGGTATGGGTATGGATAAACAGGAATACCTGAACCTGTAAGAACCTAAATGTTGTGGCGAGAATGACAGTAGGCTGATACACTCTCTCCAAAGTTTATTTCCATTTTCGTTAATGTTTATCGTTGTTGCATCGTTGTATTACGTACACACGTTGTATGGCTGTATAATACATAGTTGATTGCGAACGGTTCAGAAAAAAACTACAAAAAGTATACAATACAAACCTGAACCTATTAAAGTGTACAAATATTCAAATTCCATATTTTCTAACTTAGCAATTAATTAAATCAAATATGTTTTCTCTAACTCATTTGGACGTATAAGCAAGATAAATTAAAGAAATAACTCACATCTGTGTTTTGCCATAGGTTTTTTTGTAACTGCCTGCTGCTCTCAACATGGAGGCCTTCTGTCTGATTGTGCCCATGTGCCTCTGATCATGTGATCAGATTGCCAGGATGTGAATTTTCTTTCAAATTTGCAAACGTTTAGGCAGCAACCTGGGATTGAACCTGTAACCTATGTATTTGTGACCTGTAACCTATGTATTTGTGACCTGTAACCTATGTATTTGTGACCTGTAACCTATGTATTTGTGAATGATCAACATACGTGGTTCAAGCCAGAACACTAATTACATGAATTAATACAACTGAAAGTGTGCTGGGCACATTTCCGGAGGCAGGGAGTGTTAAGAAACAGAAATGGGCACAAATAAAAATGACCCATTATTACAATGTCGGTTGTCAGGGATAGGGCTGTGCAATTTTACCGGTAAACCGGTATATACCGGTACAACATCTCGCTATACGATTATCGCGATATGGTTCTGATTCTGCAAAATATTGGGTCATCCAGAGTTAGTCCCCTTTCAATTATCTGCCCTTGACTTCCATGGCAACAATATGCGCTCTAAAAGTGTCAAATATACTTTTATTTCAGCTGGTTTCATGTAACATTTTACAAGTGGAAGTATCTATATAAGTGGCTCCTAAAGAACCAAATATGCTACCAAGTTTTGTGGGTTTAAATGGTTTCATATGTGACAGTTTAGAGGAATTAGTGAGAGTTTGGCCTCAAATTGGTCTGTAAAAAATGTTTTATTTGGCCTTATTAGTAGAGCCTCTGGCTCTGAGGGACCATTTCACAATTCGACAAAAATATTTTATTATTTTTGTTTGTTCATAATGGAACATGTGTTATCAATTTATCATTAGGGGGCTTAAGTCTTATAAATTTTGTAGGACTGTATAATGACATTCTAGTCAAAGATCTTAGAATTGAAGGTTACATGAGTTTTTAAGCTCAAGTAGTCCACCTAAATCATGTTTTTGTTTTATTTTGCAATAGTTCATGTTAACACAGTCATGTTTATATTGGTGTTGAATCTGAATGAATCACTGACAAACGAGGGGCGATCAAAAAGTATGAAGAATCACCAAGAAAACGATTCAAATGCAGTTATTTTTATGTTTTATTTGTCTACATATTATCTGTCAAGCTCAAGCAATTTGGTTTTGCTATGTTCCAGTCTCACGATCCCCATTTTGTTTTACCTTTTATCTTGGTACCCTCAAAAAACGCAAAATCTACAATAAATGCATTAAAAACTTCAGGAAACAAAATATGGAAGAAATATTTTGTGTTTTTTGAGATTGATCGAAGTCCCCTAGAATCACACTTAGATATTAAAGTTCATAATAAAGCAATCTGAAATTTCAATCGCTTGTTAAAGTGACTCCAATCTTCATGTTGACTGAAAGAGCTTGTTTTGGAGACACTACCCATCCCCCTTTCAGATGACGTAATCATAAGGGCATAGCTTATTCTAATGTTTTCACCTATGCAAACATGACGCCAAGGGTTCAAACTAAATAATGAATGGTCACACAAGTGTCAGCTCACAATATATTGTAAACTGTGCCAGCTTGAATGTCTGGACACAATGTTTTTGAAAGATTAAAAATAGCCCCCGACTAAATATAAATCAGGCAATCCAAATCCTTGACTGTTGATCATGACGGGAGATCATCCAATACTATAATGAGCATATTTTATATGACATTATCTGAGGGCATACAATTATCCAAGAGGTACCAAAAGACAAACCGTTTTCATTTTCTGCAATTTTGTTAGAAATATTATACCTCAATGTGTTGTGATGACAAATATCTGCTTAACTACATTAATGACACATGTGAAATTTGGATATGGGTTTGCTACCGATTCCTTCAAAATAGAATGGAATGCTTTTCAAACACTGGACATCGAGAATATAGTTAGGCTACGTACTTTTTGATCGACCCTCGTACCATAACAATAAGTACATCCTGCATGGAAGTGCACTCTGTTGAAGCAAACAACACTGACCATGAAAATCATGTTATACTATTACCTTTATCATTATGTTCACAAAACGTTGGTGCAATACTTCAATTAAATATTCCACATAAAAGCTCTATATCATTTTATTTATCTGTAAACCATTGGCATACAGCCATACACAAGGGGGACGGGGAGCCTGAAAGCATGGTGTAACAGCAACTAAGAAGATGATGTCGCACACACAGAGCTATTACGAATTTACCATGTACGCACTTGGGCAGAAACCTTCCAGTCAATATACATGTATCACAATATATATTGCAATATCTCTGAAGTTATTGCAATATTTCGCAATATGAAAATGAGAGCAATATCCGGCCCTAGTCAGGCATAGCATATTATCTATAACATAGAATACTTTATATGACGCGGACATGTTTGAGTGGCTCATGGTGAAAAATAACGCACCGTTGCCCGAAAAACAGTTCTGGTTTTTAGCCTTATGGCATATTACCCTGAAATGATCCTGTTAATAATATTTGGAGTGAGTGAGTGAGTTTAGTTTTACGCCGCAACATTACAGCTATATGGCGGCGGTCTGTAAATAATCGAGTCTGGACCAAACAATCCAGTGATCATCAGCATGAGCATCGATCTGCGCAATTGGGAACCGATGACATGTGTCAACCAAGTCAGCGAACCTGACCAACAGATCCCGTTAGTCGCCTCTTACGACAAGCACGGGTTACTGAAGGTTCATTCTAACCCGGGACCATCACGGGTCTAATATTTGGAACTCAAACTAGTGACCATTCAGCAGACTGATATTGATGAACGTGGCATAAATCATTCACTCACCTCTGGCTGGTATTATGCGTGTAATATCACGGGGAAAACGATTCTGATGGACCATGCTTGGTGTAACAAATGGTGATCGGGTGGTCATTGGCCAAGTTTGGAGCTTGTGTAGACATTGCGGATGCTGAATATACAATATGATAACGGCAGAGTCCTACCGTGTACAGTTACATTTGCCGACTTTCTCACTGAATTTATGCTATTATCCACCAGGTGGGAGATAACACGATCCGCATTGACTTTGAGTCTGCTGTAAATGTTGCGTCTCAGAGGGCCAATGCTTCTGCCTATGACATCCCCAATGATTGTCCAAACGAGGCACAGAATGGAGAGTGTCATGTTAATATGATCAGAAAAGAGCAGTGTTCCTTCAGCTGGGACTGGGGACCTTCCTTTCCAACACAAGGGATATGGTAAGCTTCAGGAACTGGGGACAATCATTTTCCTATAAGGAATATGGTAACCTTAAGGAACTCGGGGCAGCGTTTTCGTACACATACTGTGTTTTTTTTAGGAAATGGGGACCTTCCTGTATATACATACAAGGTACATGGAACACTGTTTGAGTGAGTGACTGAGTGAGTGAGTTTGATTTTACGCCGCTTTTAGCAATACTAGTATTCCAGCCATATCACGGCGGGGGACACCAGAAATGGGCTTCACACACTGTACCCATGTGGGGAATCGAACCCAGGTTTTCGGCATGACGAACAGACGCTTTAACCACTATGCTAACCCACCGCCCCCCTACACTTTTTGAACTGAGAAGCCCAGGGAGGGATATGGTATAATTAAGTGACTGTGTACCGTCCCTGTCATTCAGGGAATATTGGAATCTTTTGGAACATGGACACGGTGATATGGTAAGCTTTTGGAAATGGGACCATTCCTTCTGAAAATGGTAAGACTATGAAACTGGGGACTTTCCTTCCAAATATGGCAAGGAATACGGTAAGCATTTTTAGCTGGTGCCTATGATTCCGAACAGAGGCAAAATGGTTTGCTTTTGGAACTGGGAAACTTCCTTCCCGACATGCGTATTTGTAAGTGTCAGAATGTTTACAGTACGTTAGGTCTATGGTGTACAGATGTTCAAAGTAACTTTGGTAATAAAAGTTACTGAGAAATTGTTTATCCGAATATTGCCTATCACTTGACATTTGTCGCAGGTGAAATGACTTACAAGCTAAGGACACTAATGTCTGTTGTACCCAGAGACTATACTTACACCTTAAGTTCTTGTTTAAAACGATTTACATATTTATCCCGTTGTATGTTTCGTTTTAATTATGTGAAACGTTTGTTTTTGTTTCACTCTTAAACTAGAATCTGTGAAGCTTTAGACAGCCGCTGTTTGAGAGTGAATGAGTTATAGTAACTGAAAAAGACTATTGAGGAACACAATTTCGGCAATGTCACTTTAACCGCTTGTTACCATTCTGATGAACTCAAATTCAGTGTGTATGTAGGAACAATTATCATATTAACGTTTTTTCGTATTCTTTATATTTTCAGGAAAAATATCTACATTCAAGCTTTCAATACTGCCGTGATTCGTGAACTTTCAGTAGCAACAACAACAGGTATTGTTTGAAAATGAAATTAGTGTTTTGGGGTTAGGGGTATGTGCCTTCGATGGCTGCTCAAAATAGTAATAGCTCTGTGAGCCTCTGTCACAATAGTGGACATGGGTACCGTCCCTTGGTACCTTGCAATTGGATCCTGGAGCGTCCAGCTTCATTTGTTGGTTTTCTGTCTTATTTTTATGTCCTCGAAATAGATCGTCTCAAAGAATCAAACATATACCATAAAAGGAATATTTCTGTCCAAACAAACTTTATTCAGAATATATCTTTAAATTAAATCTTTAATCTTACAACGCTAGAGAATTTTATCATTATGAATTTCCACGACACATCACGATAAGTCATACATGTATGTAGATATCTAGGTTAACGTTTGCCAAGTTGCGCAGCAGTTATGAAGGGAAGCTACTCTACGGTCACAATAGTGGAAATATTACCAAGGGAAGTCATCCACGTTTACTCTATCAACATATGAACAAAGCAACTGACACAACTTATTTCGTGACCTGGATTCAAATCATCCACTTCCACATGAGAGTAGTGTTATTTATTGAGCTGGATAATCGAGATCATAAGTAATAATTGTAGATCAAGATAGGTCTCCTCGAGTGGATCTGGACCAAATTCATGTGATAAAATTATTTGGCATTCATCACTTAAACGAGGTCATTTTAGAGAGAGTAAGAAAGGACTTCTTTATGAGACCTCCTTGCCATGAAACACACGACTGACTGTGCCTAGGTACACTACCGATCTAAGTTTGTAGGACAGCGTCTCCATATTCTACCACCTCTTTCTTCATATCGTCAATATTTCTAAGTCCTTTTTGGTTTATTCTGTCCTTCATTAGTCCCCACACATTCTCAATAGGGTTAAGATCTGGCTGTAGCTGGGCCAGTCTAAAACTTGAACATTTTCGTCCGACAACCACTGTTTTGTGTAGCCCGCAGTGTGTTTTGGGTCGTTATATATCATGCTGGAAAATCCAATTATCTTCATACAGTGTTCGGGCCGTTGGGCGGAGGTGACCATTTAAGACGTCAACATATCGTTCCTTCGTCTAATGGCCAGTGAAAATACACAAAGGTGTCACTCCACGTGATGATATCCCACCCCACATGTGAAATTTTGGGCTTTGGGCGTTGATAGATAAGACAACATTATCCCAATCTTGATTTGCGTGAGCCTTACACGTTTAAACATCTTTCTTTTTGTGCATCTGTTATTAATGGTGAGGGAATTCCGCGCTTTTTCACGAAGTTAAGTCTTTGTAATTCTTTTCTAAGGGTTTCATTACATACCTGAGGACTTCCTCTATTAATTATCTCATTTCTGATTTTCTCAACGCTTTTCAATTTTCCCCTACTCACAAACTGACTACTGTCGCCGGCGATCTGTAGTACCGAACTTACTTGCATTGCCTCCCTGCCCCTGTCTTGTGCTTAATCCCAACTCCTGACTGAATATTCTTCAAAGTTCTGTATACTGTAGGCAGAGGAATGTCATGTCTACCAGCTAACTCTTTTGCATCAGTCACACCCCTTTCAAAATCATCTATAGAACCAGCTTTCTTTTCTCTTCTGCTGTCAAATCTGCCATGTCAACAAAGCAAGCCGTCTACTACAGCAAGGGAGATAACTCTTAGGTTCATTCTTAAGCCTACAAGAGTTGCCTCCCATATTGAGTACCTTACTACATAATGTAACACCTATTTTAAAATTCTTTTATCAGTATTAGGAAACGTTTCATGAGTATTATCTGCATAGTTCTGTGACCCTCGAGTTTGTGTGTTTTTATTTGTATATTTCCAGATATAGGAGGACCATGGGTTGTGGACGTCGGCGTGTACTTCGATGTCAGCGGGGGTTCTGTGTCTGGCGTCCTAACCACCAACGTTATAGGGACAGAAGCAGTGAAGTCAATGATTCTGACACTCTCACCAACAAACAGTTCATCGGTTTTCTCAGTCCCAGTGCCTGATGTAGGTTTCGGCTTAAGTGGTCGTCTTTTCTAGTCTTGACCTGGGCATTTCTAGACATTTGACAGTGCCTGTCGACCCGTGAAGGTCCGGGTTAGAATTGGTCTTCAGTAACCCATGCTTGTCGTAAGAGGCGACTAACGGGATCAGGTGGTCAGGCTCGCTGACTTGGTTGACACATGTCTTCGTATCCCAATTGCGTAGAACCATGCTCATGCTGTTGATCACTGGATTGTCTGGTCCAGATTCGATTATTTTCAGACCGCCGCCATGTAGCTGAAATATTTTTGAGTGCGGCGTTAAACAACAAACCAACTAACTAATAGTGCCTATTAAGATGCACTATTAAAATCAAACGAACTATTATGACTCGGGCCATTACTTGTTTTGCATCAATTACGCCGAGCGCCAGGCAGGGTAAGAACAAATACCATATTTAGACGTCGTTATTACGTGTACTACCGACCTTCCTCTACGACAACCTCCAGAGCAGACGCTCGAATCTCTACATCACAGAGACTATGACGTTTGTTTTTATTATTGTTATAACACACGTTATCACCTCTCTATGGGAGCCTGGAAGGGACATTGTCGCGTTGTCGCCATCTCAAAAACAAGCAAATGAGGCAAAATTAACCAACGCGCGACATTTTGGCCATTTGTCGCATTGTCGCATGTCGCGTTTTGAATAATATTTTTATTTTCCTTCAAAGGGCGACAACGCGACAATGTCCCTTCCATACCTCTCACCTTTGACCCTGACCAGCTACTAAACTAAACAAAGACTTTGCTGATTCACTGCAGTCATTCGTCTTATCAACATTTGACTATTCTTGTCATTACAACGGATTTTGTATTTCTGGCGTTACAGAGTTACAAAATTAACAGATGGTGGCCAAATGGTTATGGGAACCAGACACTCTACACCGTTGAAGTCACCTTCACCAGCAACAACGAGGTGTCCATCAAGCAACGTCGGGTGGGATTCCGAATCGTGTATTTGATACAGAATCCTTTTGGCAACGACCAAGGTGGGTGGGAAATGTGTTGTCTCCAAAGACCAATTGTTGCTGATGTGTTTGCAGCAAGCTAGTTGAGGTGGGGGTACGGTAGCAGGAACCCAAGTTAGTTGGGGATTTATTGGCTGTAACCCAGTTGAGGTTGGGATACGGTGGCAGGAACCCAAGTTAGTTGGGGATTTATTGGCTGTAACCCAGTGAGGTGGGGATACGGTGGCAGGAACCCAAGTCAGTTGGGTATTTATTGGCTGTAACCCAGTTGAGGATTGGGATACGGTGGCAGGAACCCAAGTTAGTTGGGGATTTATTGGCTGTAACCCAGGTGAGGTGGGGATGAGGTGGCAGGGACCCAAGTTTGTTGGGGATTTATTGGCTGTAACCCAGTTGAGGTGGGGATACGGTGGCAGGAACCCAAGTTAGTTGGGGATTTATTGGCTGTAACCCAGTTGAGGAATGGGATGCGGTGGCAGGAACCCAAGTTAGTTGGGGATTTATTGGCTGTAACCCAGTTGAGGTGGGGATGCGGTGGCAGGAACCCAAGTCAGTAAGGTATTTCTTTGGCTGTAACCCAGTTGAGGTGGGGAACGGTGGCAGGAACCCAAGTTAGTTGGGGATTTATTGGCTGTAACCCAGTTGAGGTGGGGATACGGTGGCAGGAACCCAAGTTAGTTGGGGATTTATTGGCTGTAACCCAGTTGAGGTGGGGATACGGTGGCAGGAACCCAAGTTAGTTGGGGATTTATTGGCTGTAACCCAGTTGAGGTGGGGATACGGTGGCAGGAACCCAAGTCAGTAAGGTATTTATTGGCTGTAACCCAGTTGAGGTGGGGATACGGTGGCAGGAACCCAAGTTAGTGGGTATTTATTGGCTGTAACCCAGTGAGGGGGATGATACGGTGGCAGGAACCCAAGTCAGTAAGGTATTTCTTTGGCTGTAACCCAGTTGAGGATTGGGATACGGTGGCAGGAACCCAAGTCAGTAAGGTATTTCTTTGGCTGTAACCCAGTTGAGGATTGGGATACGGTGGCAGGAACCCAAGTCAGTAAGGTATTTTATTGGCTGTAACCCAGTTGAGGATTGGGATACGGTGGCAGGAACCCAAGTCAGTAAGGGATTTATTGGCTGTAACCCAGTTGAGGTGGGGATACGGTGGCAGGAACCCAAGTCAGTAAGGTATTTATTGGCTGTAACCCAGTTGAGGTGGGGATACAGTGGCAGGAACCCAAGTCAGTAAGGTATTTCTTTGGCTGTAACCCAGTTGAGGTAGGGATACGGTGGCAGGAACCCAAGTCAGTTGGGTATTTTATTGGCTGTAACCCAGTTGAGGTTGGGATACGGTGGCAGGAACCCAAGTCAGTAAGGTATTTCTTTGGCTGTAACCCAGTTGAGGATTGGGATACGGTGGCAGGAACCCAAGTCAGTAAGGGATTTATTGGCTGTAACCCAGTTGAGGTGGGGATACGGTGGCAGGAACCCAAGTCAGTAAGGTATTTCTTTGGCTGTAACCCAGTTGAGGATTGGGATACGGTGGCAGGAACCCAAGTTAGTAAGGTATTTATTGGCTGTAACCCAGTTGAGGTGGGGATACGGTGGCAGGAACCCAAGTCAGTTGGGGATTTATTGGCTGTAACCCAGTTGAGGTGGGGGATACAGTGGCAGGAACCCAAGTCAGTTGGGTATTTCTTTGGCTGTAACCCAGTTGAGGTGGGGATACGGTGGCAGGAACCCAAGTTAGTAAGGTATTTTTTGGCTGTAACCCAGTCGGAGGTGGGGATACGGTGGCAGGAACCCAAGTCAGTAAGGTATTTCTTTGGCTGTAACCCAGTTGAGGATTGGGATACGGTGGCAGGAACCCAAGTCGGTGGCAGGAACCCAGCTGAGGATTGGGATAGGTGTGGCAGGTACCCAAGTCAGGAATTATTTCTTTGGCTGTAACCCAGTCGGGGTGAGGATACGGTGGCAGGAACCCAAGTCAGTAAGGTATTTCTTTGGCTGTAACCCAGTTGAGGATTGGGATACGGTGGCAGGAACCCAAGTCAGTAAGGTATTTCTTTGGCTGTAACCCAGTTGAGGTAGGGATACGGTGGCAGGAACCCAAGTCAGTAAGGTATTTCTTTGGCTGTAACCCAGTTGAGGATTGGGATACGGTAGCAGGAACCCAAGTCAGTAAGGTATTTCATTGGCTGTAACCCAGTTGAGGTGGGGATACGGTGGCAGGAACCCAAGTCAGTAAGGTATTTCTTTGGCTGTAACCCAGTTGAGGTGGGGATACAGTGGCAGGAACCCAAGTCAGTAAGGTATTTCTTTGGCTGTAACCCAGTTGAGGATTGGGATACGGTGGCAGGAACCCAAGTCAGTTGGGTATTTATTGGCTGTAACCCAGTTGAGGTGGGGATACGGTGGCAGGAACCCAAGTCAGTAAGGTATTTCTTTGGCTGTAACCCAGTCGAGGTGAGGATACGGTGGCAGGAACCCAAGTCAGTAAGGTATTTCTTTGGCTGTAACCCAGTTGAGGTAGGGATACGGTGGCAGGAACCCAAGTCAGTAAGGTATTTCTTTGGCTGTAACCCAGTTGAGGTAGGGATACAGTGGCAGGAACCCAAGTCAGTAAGGTATTTCTTTGGCTGTAACCCAGTTGAGGATTGGGATACGGTAGCAGGAACCCAAGTCAGTAAGGTATTTCTTTGGCTGTAACCCAGTTGAGGTAGGGATACAGTGGCAGGAACCCAAGTCAGTAAGGTATTTCTTTGGCTGTAACCCAGTTGAGGATTGGGATACGGTGGCAGGAACCCAAGTCAGTAAGGTATTTCTTTGGCTGTAACCCAGTCGGGGTGAGGATACGGTGGCAGGAACCCATGTCAGTAAGGTATTTCTTTGGCTGTAACCCAGTTGAGGTAGGGATACGGTGGCAGGAACCCACGTCAGTAAGGTATTTCTTTGGCTGTAACCCAGTTGAGGTAGGGATACAGTGGCAGGAACCCAAGTCAGTAAGGTATTTCTTTGGCTGTAACCCAGTTGAGGATTGGGATACGGTAGCAGGAACCCAAGTTAGTAAGGGATTTATTGGCTGTAACCCAGTTGAGGTGGGGATACGGTGGCAGGAACCCAAGTCAGTAAGGTATTTCTTTGGCTGTAACCCAGTTGAGGTTGGGATACGGTGGCAGGAACCCAAGTTAGTTGGGTATTTATTGGCTGTAACCCAGTTGAGGTGGGGATACGGTGGCAGGAACCCAAGTCAGTTGGGTATTTATTGGCTGTAACCCAGTTGAGGATTGGGATACGGTGGCAGGAACCCAAGTCAGTTAGGTATTTATTGGCTGTAACCCAGTTGAGGTGGGGATACGGTAGCAGGAACCCAAGTTAGTTGGGTATTTATTGGCTGTAACCCAGTTGAGGTGGGGATACGGTAGCAGGAACCCAAGTTAGTTGGGTATTTATTGGCTGTAACCCAGTTGAGGTGGGGATACAGTGGCAGGAACCCAAGTCAGTAAGGTATTTCTTTGGCTGTAACCCAGTTGAGGTAGGGATACGGTGGCAGGAACCCAAGTCAGTAAGGTATTTCTTTGGCTGTAACCCAGTTGAGGTGGGGATACGGTGGCAGGAACCCAAGTCAGTAAGGTATTTCTTTGGCTGTAACCCAGTTGAGGTGGGGATACGGTGGCAGGAACCCAAGTCAGTAAGGTATTTCTTTGCCTGTAACCAAGTTGAGGTGGGGATACGGTGGCAGGAACCCAAGTCAGTAAGGTATTTCTTTGGCTGTAACCCAGTTGAGGATTGGGATACGGTGGCAGGAACCCAAGTTAGTTGGGGATATATTGGCCTTAACCTTGGTGTTTGGGGTATGTTAGCAACAACCCCGGAGGCCAGGGGTATGTCGCGAAGAACTACCTACAACGATGTTTATTGTTTACATCATTATTGTGGCATCACCCGCCTTTATGGGTGTATTGACTCTGTCTCTAAAATGTTCTTTTTCAGTGTATGTGTTATGCTAAACATTGATAAGACAAATGATCCCATATTATGCTGTTATTTTCAATAGCATAATATTTCCACGCCTTTATATGAAGCACAATTACCTATGCCGTCAGTATACTTTACAACTCATTCATTCTTGTTTCCTGGTGCACACAATGATTGTTGTAATGTGAACTGTATAGGTAATTGATAAAATATTAATACAAGCTGTTTACAAATTCACTGGTTCGTAATTATCCTAAGGTTATCCTCTATTGTTGTTGTTTTTTCACAGGTTTAACCTTCTACTTCAAGATAAACAATTTACCAGTTTTCTTCAAAGGATCTAACTGGATACCAGCGGACAGTTTTCAGGAAAATATTACCAGAGAAAGACTACGCCGTTTGTTCCAATCAGCAGCCGAAGTCCACATCAACTCCATGAGAGTTTGGGGAGGAGGGGCGAGTACAATAGCGCTGATAAATGATGTCAAGCAAAAACAAATATGTTGACAAACATTATATGAATAAATGATGCACTGAGAAGAATTATGTGTTTATGCGCAACTAACATCCGTTGTATTGTACATGCACTGGACGCTAATGTTATATCATTTTCTACAGTTATTGTATATAAATGTTTATTTAAACAGAATTAACTCCAGCATTTCTTTCCGTCTGTTGAGGTATGCACGTAAACCAGGAATGCACGCCGTCTATTTTAATTGCCTTTGGGTGCGTTTACGGTAAATGAGTTTATTCGTCATATTTCTTCTTCCAGGTTTATGAATCAGATGATTTTTACGATTTGGCCGACGAGTATGGCATCATGATCTGGCACGATCTGATGTTCAGTGATAACTTCTACCCCAGTACTCCAGACTTCCTGAATACAGTGTCCCAAGAGATAACACACCAGGTATCACAGACACCGGGTCTTTTATGAGTGAGTGAGTGAGTACTGGTTTTACTCCGCTTTTAGTAATATTCCAACAATATCACGGTGTCTTCGGCGAGACGAGCGAACGCTTTAACCGTCTGGTCCAGACTCGGTTATGTACAGACCGCCGCCATATCGCAGGAATGTTGCTGAGTGCGGCGTAATATAAACTCACTCACTCACTATCGTGTTCTATACTAGCCTTTGCATGTGTTTATGACGAGTGAAATCGGAGGTGCAGGATAACCCCAATCTTTTCCGTAAACGCCTTGTATCAGAATCACATGCTGATTAAGTTGGAATCGTATACTGAGGAATTTTGTACATATTTCTAACGATTATGCAAATTGTTTTGGTCCTTATTTCATTTAATGCAAGCGTCGAGGCCGAAACAAGCACGTATGATGTTCTATCCCTAAGTGGCCCCCAGTATCAACATCTAGAGATCGACTGGTGTGGAATGTCGCTGTCACTGAATGTGATTCTTGTTTTCCAGGTGAGACGAACCCGGCACCATCCTTGTATCGCCGTGTGGTCAGGTAATAACGAGATGGAGTCAGGCCTCAGAGGTTACGGGTAGGTAACTAGGTAATTGTGACGTTACCTTCTACCTTAACTAGACACGCTGTATATTTATATCTGAGATCCCCGAGCTTTTGAAAAGTGCTCGCACCCCTAATCCTCAGAGGGAAACATGCAATCAAGCGGGTGGTTGGTTAGTTGGTTGATTGGTTGTTTTACGCCCCACTCAGCAATATTACAGCTATAGGGCGGCGGTCTGTAAATAATCGAGTCTCGACCAGACAATTGAGTGATCAACAGCATGAGCATCGATTGACGCAACTGGGATATGATGACAAGTGTCAACCAAGTCAGCGAGCCTGACCACCCGATCCCGTTAGTCGCCTCTAATGACAAGCATGGGTTGCTGAAGATCAATTCTAACCCGGATCTTCACGCGTCCAGAAAGACAGAAGGCAGCACTATACAGTACCATGACAGCAGGACATGCCGTGGTATGTCATGATTGATATGGTCGTGACCACTTTAAGAGATCAACGCTGCTATTTCATAGCTATTTCTGCAACATCGAAATATCGAAAATTTACCACAATTTCCAAAAAAGTTGCCTAAAAGATTAGCTATATGCTGTTCTCTGAATTTTAGTCACAACTTCTGCTATTGGAGGTCATGGTACTTTCAGTTTCCATGACTACAAACGTTACTACGATGACTATGTCAAGCTGTACGTGACAACGATCAAGACTATCATCGACAAGGAAGACACAACGCGGGTGTATCTGCCGTCAAGCCCTAGCAACGGAAAGGATACAGAGAAGGAGGGCTGGGTTGCTAAGGACCCTCAGTCTCAGCTGTATGGCGACAGTAAGTCTATGTTTCTAAAGACGTATTTGCGTGGTTATTCTCCTAAGCCCTAAGAACTCTTAACTTTGATCGTAGACAATGTGTTAAGAATGGTATTATGATGTTCGTAAAGCTACGAACGTTTCGAGAATAGCTAGCCTGTTTCTTGGAAACTTTTTATTTAAATATACAACTTTTTATGGGCTGTTTGTTGGCATCTTATTTATGGAGGTTATAATTAAATATGTTCACAAATCTCAAGGTACTCATGAACAATTTGTTTTGTGACACACCGACTAACAAATGTTTTTTTTAAATATTCTAACAATAAATTACGTCATAATAATATAATGAGAATATTTATAAAGGCTAGATATCCTGCTCAAGGCGCACAATCTGATCATTATTACCCCGGATAACTCAAGCTGCCTGTTAGGCGCTAGAAGGGTAATAGTGTAACGATTTATTTCACCGGGTATTCATATTCTGCTTGGTGGACCAGGGCAATTTTACAGAAACTCATTTGCATAAGGTGAGAGCATATGTATCACATGTGCTTTGTTGTGGAGCAGGATTAAAGTCCTAGAAACTCTCAGGAGTTAAGCTGTCAAACACGGTCACCCATTCAATTACTCTCCGCACACCATCGTTGCTTAACTTCAACTGATTTGTGACCTGAGCTCTATGCACAGGAACATAGGACCACCCACCATAAATGGCTTTAAAGAGAATACTACACTTGTTCAGATAACATAGGAAGGTCACGAGTTTCGTATAATTCGTATGTAATGAGACCGAGTGTGGTATTTTATTTATTACCCACGTCTTACATGCATTTAAATTGACAAAATAGCGTATTTTTGTTATGTTTTTGGTTTCAAACCGAAACCGGTTTCATAAAGAGGTTGCGGAAGAGTTTTGTACTGTAGTACAATATTTGCATGACGTCACAGTAATGACGTCACTGCCATGGTAACCGACGTCACGATGCATGTCAGTTGTCATCGCCTCGTACAGCCTCCTACAGTAAACTACTCCGTAGCACCCCGTTTCTTGGTTTGCAGTTGCTTCATTCGGCTAACATCACTGGTGGAAACATTGCGTTTATGTTTTTCAACGGATATAATGTCTCAGTTTGACTCACAATTAAACAGCGACACGGCAACGTTTGCAATGTTTACATTCCCACAATGCATTTAAGTTGTAGAATGAATGAATTCACGTGTTTGTTATGAATGAAAAAATAGTTACGTCAGAATGTGACCTAATTGAGAGGTCATCGGTTATCCAATCAAATCGTTAGAATCTCAGGTCAAGTCGTTACGACACAGGTCAACGCGATACGACACTCGTGTGACGTACGAGATTAGTATGCAACTACCCATACGTTGACCACGTGGGTAATAAATAGAGAATACTACACGAGGTCTCATTACATACGAATTATACGAAACGAGTGTCCTTCCTATGGTATCTGACCGAGCGAAAGCGAGGTCAGATAACATAGGAAGGTCACGAGTTTCGTATAATTCGTATGTAATGAGACCGAGTGTGGTATTTTATTTATTACCCACGTCTTACATGCATTAAATTGACAAAATAGCGTATTTTTGTTAATATTTTGGTTTCAAACCGAAACCGGTTTCATAAAGAGGTTGCGGAAGAGTTTTGTACTGTAGTACAATATTTGCATGACGTCACACTGTAATGACGTCACTGCCTTGGTAACCGACGTCACGATGCATGTCAGTTGTCATCGCCTCGTACAGCCTCCTACAGTAAACTACTCCGTAGCACCCCGTTTCTTGGTTTGCAGTTGCTTCATTCGGCTAACATCACTGGTGGAAACATTGCGTTTATGTTTTTCGACGGATATAATGTCTCAGTTTGACTCACAATTAAACAGCGACACGGCAACGTTCGCAATGTTTACATTCCCACAATGCATTTAAGTTGTAGAATGAATGAATTCACGTGTTTGTTATGAATGAAAAATAGTTACGTCAGAATGTGACCTAATTGAGAGGTCATCGGTTATCCAATCAAATCGTTAGAATCTCAGGTCAAGTCGTTACGACACAGGTCAACGCGATACGACACTCGTGTGACGTACGAGATTAGTATGCAACTACCCATACGTTGACCACGTGGGTAATAAATAGAGAATACTACACGAGGTCTCATTACATACGAATTATACGAAACGAGTGTCCTTCCTATGGTATCTGACCGAGCGAAAGCGAGGTCAGATAACATAGGAAGGTCACGAGTTTCGTATAATTCGTATGTAATGAGACCGAGTGTGGTATTTTATTTATTACCCACGTCTTACATGCATTAAATTGACAAAATAGCGTATTTTTGTTAATATTTTGGTTTCAAACCGAAACCGGTTTCATAAAGGGGTTGCGGAAGAGTTTTGTACTGTAGTACAATATTTGCATGACGTCACACTGTAATGACGTCACTGCCTTGGTAACCGACGTCACGATGCATGTCAGTTGTCATCGCCTCGTACAGCCTCCTACAGTAAACTACTCCGTAGCACCCCGTTTCTTGGTTTGCAGTTGCTTCATTCGGCTAACATCACTGGTGGAAACATTGCGTTTATGTTTTTCGACGGATATAATGTCTCAGTTTGACTCACAATTAAACAGCGACACGGCAACGTTCTCGATGTTTACATTCCCACAATGCATTTAAGTTGTAGAATGAATGAATTCACGTGTTTGTTATGAATGAAAAAATAGTTACGTCAGAATGTGACCTAATTGAGAGGTCATCGGTTATCCAATCAAATCGTTAGAATCTCAGGTCAAGTCGTTACGACACAGGTCAACGCGATACGACACTCGTGTGACGTACGAGATTAGTATGCAACTACCCATACGTTGACCTCGTGGGTAATAAATAGAGAATACTACACGAGGTCTCATTACATACGAATTATAGGAAACGAGTGTCCTTCCTATGGTATCTGACCGAGCGAAAGCGAGGTCAGATAACATAGGAAGGTCACGAGTTTCGTATAATTCGTATGTAATGAGACCGAGTGTGGTATTTTATTTATTACCCACGTCTTACATGCATTTAAATTGACAAAATAGCGTATTTTTGTTATGTTTTTGGTTTCAAACCGAAACCGGTTTCATAAAGAGGTTGCGGAAGAGTTTTGTACTGTAGTACAATATTTGCATGACGTCACACTAATGACGTCACTGCCATGGTAACCGACGTCACGATGCATGTCAGTTGTCATCGCCTCGTACAGCCTCCTACAGTAAACTACTCCGTTGCACCTCGTTTCTTGGTTTCCAGTTGCTTCATTCGGCTAACATCACTGGTGAAAACATTGCGTTTATGTTTTTCGACAGATATAATGTCTCAGTTCGACTCACAATTAAACAGCGACACGGCAACGTTCGCAATTTTTACATTCCCACAATGCATTTAAGTTGTAGAATGAATGAATTCACGTGTTTGTTATGAATGAAAAAATAGTTACGTCAGAATGTGACCTAATTGAGAGGTCATCGGTTATCCAATCAAATCGTTAGAATTTCAGGTCAAGTCGTTACGACACAGGTCAACGCGATACGACACTCGTGTGACGTACGAGATTAATATGCAACTACCCATACGTTCACCACGTGGGTAATAAAGAATGATATCTTGGCGGTAGTACTCGACTCGGTGTTTACAGGTTTTGACAGCTTATTGCCGTTTGACTGGAACAAGGTTGAATGAAATACATCTCGGTCAATCTTCATGGAAGTCATGGTCAAGGTTGCATTAATATATAGTCGCTGTTTTGGCTAGAGGGGAGCATTCGCATTAATTCATAAATGCATTGATTTCAAGAGTTAACATATGTAGTCAATTTCGTTGTGCGTTGTCACCGTTCAAACCTGAATATATATAATGCGCTGATTGTGTGAATGCTTAAAGGAGTAACCTTAGAACAACCTTGTACAGTAGGTCAGATAAGCGATTGTGTCATGCGACAATGATATCTGCCGTACAGTTTTCTTCATCATCAGTTTCAGCTGATTTATTTCAGATCGGTTTCAGCATCTTTATTTAAGATCGGTTTCAGCATGTTTATTTAAGATGGGTTACAGCATCTTTATTTAAGATCGGTTTCAGCATCTTTATTGAAGATCGGTTTCAGCATGTTTATTTAAGATGGGTTACAGCATCTTTATTTAAGATCGGTTTCAGCATTTTTATTTAAGATCAGTTTCACCGTCTTTATTTAAGATCAGATTCAGCATCTTTATTTAAGATCTGCTTTAGCATCTTTATTCAAGATCAGTTTCAGCATCCATATTTAAGATCAGTTTTATCATCTGTATTTAAGATCAGTTTCAGCATCCATATTTAAGATGAGTTTTATCGTCTGTATTTAAGATCAGTTTCAGCAGCTTTATTTAAGATCAGTTTCAGCATCCATATTTAAGATCAGTTTTATGATCTGTATTTAAGATCAGTTTCAGCAGCTTTATTTAAGATGTGTTTTTTTCTCCACAGTTCACTTCTATGATTATGCTGCCGACTTGTGGAACGACTCGGCGTTCCAGATCCCTCGATTCGCCTCAGAGTACGGGATTCAGGCCTGGTGCAACGTCGAGACCCTGGAAGACGTGTTTGACGCCGGGGACTTTGACTACTGGGGACCAATGTCTAATCATAGGAATCACCATCCTCTTGGTCAGTTGCGTTATCATTATGCCATGAAACAATCAGTATCACTTCAGTTTGCAGTACGATAGAGTGAGTGAGTGAGCTGGGTTTTACGGCGCTTTTAGCAATATTCCAGCAATATCACGGCGGGGAACACCAGAAATGGGCTTCACACATTTTTTTTAACCCGGGTCTTCGGCGTCACGAGCCAACGCTTTAACCACTAGGCTACCCGCAGTACGAAAGAAAGACTGGAAGGTGACAATGCTAAGGGCATGTACTGTTCAGTGCCTATTGAATGTTATGTAGATGCTTCAGCTTGGGGAGAGTCCATTGTATATTTAACAAGTATCATTTACTCTTTTATGTTTCTCAATTCTTAACGAGAAAATACCATTTAGGTTCACTGATTCAGCTCATACTATCAACAAGGCTCATGAATAAGGCGGTTGTGTAGCCCAGTGGTTAAAGCGTTCGCTCGTCACGCCGTAGACCCATGTTCTATCCCCCACTTGGTACAATGTGTGGAATCCGTTTCTGGTGTGGTCGGGCGTGATGCTGCAGGAAGAGTGTCAAAACGGTATAAAACCATGCTCGTTCACTCAGAAAGACAGTGTGTGAGTGAGTTTAGTTTCAGGCCACACTTAGTAATATTCCAGCTATCTGGCGGCGGTTTGTAAATAATCGAGTGTGGACCAGACAATCCAGTGATCAACAGCATGAGCATCGATCGACGCAATTGGGATACGATTACATGTGTCAACCAAGTCAGCGAGCCTGACCACCCGATCCCGTTAGTCGCCTCTTATGACAAGCATGGGTTGCTGAAGATCAATTCTAACCCGGATCTTCACGCGTCCAGAAAGACAGAAGGCAGCACTATACAGTACCATGACAGCAGGACATGCTTACCCCTTTAGCAATAGCCTAGAATCATCACTGATTTAATATGATTTTCACAATTGTGTTTTTATTGTTTACTTCCATGTTCCGGTAGATCACATAACAACATACTCTTATGATCATAACAGGTTCGATTCCCAAAATATTGTTGGATTATTGAAGTGGCGTAAAACGTTGTAACTCCATATTCACTATTATCAAACCTTGCCATTGTTTACAGGTAATATACAGATGGTGGAAGAAGTTCTCCAACATTTCAAAGAACCAAATAATCCAGACACCAAACAGAAATTTAGTGATATCGTCTACTTAACTCAGGTGAGAGAAGCAGTTTGACAAAAATTAAATTTTATTTTGTTATAGGTGTTATTGATCCGGGTTAGAATTGATCTTCAGTAACCCATGCTTGTCGTAAGAGGCGACTAACGTGATCGGTGGTCAGGCTCGCTGACTTGGCTGACACATATCATCGTATCCTAAATGTGTAGAACGATGCTCATGATGTTGATCACTGGATCATTTAATTATTTACAGACCGCCGCCATATAGCTGGAATATTGCTTGATTGTGTCAACCTGCCAACCAACGTGTTTGTAAACAGATATCCTACAGCCTATATTTCTTTTCTAGATAAATCAGGCCGTGTCGGTGCAGACTGAGAGCGAACACTACCGGCGCTGGCAGGATTATAAGACGTCAGATGGGCGGGGACAGACTATGGGCGCCCTCTACTGGCAGCTTAACGACATCTGGCAGGCTCCGTCATGGGCTAGTATAGGTCAGTGACGACACGTGATCTTTGCTCCTTGGAGCGTCAAAGAACCACTTCACGATCATCAGAATCCCCAAAGCTCCACATATAATAGGACTATTCAATCAAATCTCCTACCAGGTACCCACGTATTGCTTGGCCAGTAAAGGCATAGGTTTAATAAGGTTACTCACCTAAGGTGACACCAGGTATGAAAAGTGTTCTAAGGTGGGGCAGAGCCACTGCCCTCAAATCTCAGGGAATCGATGTTTCCCAAAGTGCATACACCCATACATTCGCTCTCATTAATTTATAACCTATTCTTACCTAAGTGCGTTCCACGTTCCTTCAGAGCAAATTGTACGGACTGAATTCCAGATTGAAAACACTTATTACAATTTTGTAACTAATTCATAGTTTATGTGGAAATGGTATTAAATACAAGGTGAGGTGAGGTGAAATGGGGTTGAACGTCGTTCTTAAGAATATTTCGCTCATATGACGACGTGCATGCATGTGTATGTGTGGCCCAGACTTAAGAGTTTTATAGCGCTAGCCCACTGAGATACCACGCCGCAGTGAAGCATGAATACCCACTCAGACACATTATACTGACTCCAAGCCAACCAGTCCGTGGTGTACCCATTAAAGCCGAGCGACAGACAGGGACCAACAAGTACCATATTTTAACGTCTTTTGGTATGACGCGGCCGGGGATCGCACCCGCGACCTTCCTCTCTCTCCGGGCGGACGCTCTAACCACTACACCACGGAGGCGGGCGTATTAGATACTACCACAAAATGATGATTACAATGTACTGATCTATGTGTTAAAATACATATTGTCCGTATTTCAGACTATAAGGGCAAATGGAAAATGCTGCACTACTTTGTTCGGAAATTCTTCGGCCCCGTTCTCATCTCCCCCTACATGGACGGCAACTTGCTCAACATCTACATGGTGGTGGACGACGTCTTCCTGACCGCGAACACCGGCATGAACGTCTTCTCCCCTGCCACCAACCGCCCCCTCAGTTCCAACTTCTCCAACCACGGGAAGACGACTGCCGTGGCCACCTCGGGAACGCTCTTCATCCAGATGTACCGATGGGACAGCTTTACCCCTCTCAAGACATGGAACGTTACATACAAGGTGAAAATCAAAAGGATATTATAGTAACATTGCTATTTTGTTAATCACGCCAACGTTAGATGAAAAAACAACAACGAATTATTGCTTTACAGGACCACTCTGCTTGACGTCTATATTAATGGGTATACCAATCACTGAAAACGATATATACTAGTAATGACGTCTCAATTGCACAAAGGGACATTGTTTGTTTGATATGTTTTCCAGGCCATATTGTTCTATTTCTTACTCAATTTTCCCAATGTCAAAAAAGAGCGTCAACAAATGATTGGTTTGTTATTTAACGCCGCACTCAGCAATATTCCAGCTATATGGCGGAGGTCTGTAAATAATCGAGCAGACAATCAAGTGATCAACAGCATGAACATCTGTCTACGCAATCGTGATACGATGACATGTGTCAAGCAAGTCAGCGAGCCTGACTACCCGATCCCGTTAATCACCTCTTACGAAAAGTATGGGTTACTGAAGATCAATTCTAACCCGGATCTTCACGTGTCAAAATGGATATCATAACTGAATTGTATTAGATTGTACCAATTCTGCCAAATTTAAAGTCAAGATATTCTTTTACAAATCACTTATGAAATTCGATCTGTATATAATTGTTAAAACGCGTAATGCTCTACTTGTAATGAATCACTAAGATCCACACACTCGTGATAGGGAAATTCAGCCGTATCGCCTCCAACTATATTCCCCGTCTTCGCAGCTCATTTAGCCTTAGTATGACACAACCAAAGTTCACGAAAAGTTCATATTGATCTATTTTTTAAGTAAATTAACAGCCAAGACCCGCTTTGATGTTTTAAAGGAACGACGCCGCCAACTTTACCGTTAGTCTGTTAAAATATGTAAATTGTATTTATGTCATATATCATTATATTTATATTCTGTATAATTTTTTCTGTAAATAGTCTCTCATAAATCCTTTTAAGGATGGCTCAACTTATGTTATTATTTTATATTGTTTTAATTTATGTAAATGAGGTGAGACTTATCATAAACAATCTGTCTGTCTGTCTGTCTGCCTGCCTATTTTGCCTGCCGTGATATTGCTGGAATAATGCTAACTCGGCGTGAAGCTAAACTCACTCACGCGTATCTTGCTTCCCTTTGTAAAACCATGACGTTACAATAAGAGCAACTTTCCGTATAAATAGTTTAAGTTTAGTGTTTAAATGGATGTTTGTAATGGTTTATGCATCTGTCAACATAAGGACTGAAGTTGGATTTGCTCACATTCATTGGTTCAGGAAAAATAGTGTTTCGCGTGAGGAACGATTTTATGAGTCCTTCACTGGTGAACGTCAAGAATAGCACTTCAATCCGTCAGTCATAAGCAGTTTCTTTAGATTCTGATTGTACCATAAGCGTATATGTATCAATATTAAACAGGGATCATACTAGGTGAGCTTATCCTCCCTCATCGGTTCTACCCGTCACAAACACACGAGAAGGAGGCATGCCTATCGAGTCCCAAATTTTGAGGTCACCGTGACAGAATATGTTGACTCACCAGATATTTCGGGGCAAAATCGATTGTTCAACAGTAAATCCTATAAATATTGAAAACAAATATAAGCCCGTGTCACATAAATATGCTGGTTTTAACACACAAAAAACCCATTAATTAACCAAAGAACGTTTATCTAGTTTTTCTGGTCACGCGGGGACGCTATGACGTCACAGTGACTCAACTCAACCGTAGGAACAGCTAGCTATTAATTCAAGTCGTAGCGGGCTAAGAAATAACACCTTGATGTTTTGTGCAACGGCGGGTTTCGTTTTCAGGCGACACAATCATCCCAGTCAGTTTTCAAGCAAGACATTTACCCTCTGATCACAGCGTCCGGCTGTCCAGACAGGCCTTACTGTTTTGTCTACATGTACCTGAATGATCTAACTAGCGGCATCAACGCATACCTCCCTCTCACCTACTACAACAACGTCATTGGACTCACCAAAGCTAAAGTTGTGGTATGTCGTTGGATTTTCTTTATATAAATTGAGTGGGTGAGTATGGTTTAACACCGCTTTTAGCAATATTCCAGCAATATCACGGCGGGGAACACCATGCAGAATGGGGCTTCAAGCAATGTACTCATGTGGAGAATCGAACCCTTGACTTCGGAGTAACGAGCCAACGCTTTATCCACTAGGCTACCCCACCGCCTCTATATAATTTGAATTAGGTTGTTGATTACTGATGATTATGGCCCCCTTCAAATTTTAAAAGATAGTTCATGCCTAGAAATTGCAAAAGCCAAATTTTTCTTACCTTTGATTAAGGTTTACTTATCGAAAGACACAAAGGTTTTATAGTACGTTGGAACACAAAAGGCAAATTACATGCCACTGCTGTTACACGTTGTAAAGTAAGGATTATTTTATAATTCACAACTGAACTGGGGGAGGTGGGATAGCCTAGTGGTTAAAACGTTCGCTAGTCACTCCGATGACTCGGGTTCGATTCCCCACATGGGTACAATGTGTGAAGCCCATTTCTGGTGTCCCCCACCGTGATATTGCTGGAATACTGAACTCAGGTTTTCTTAGTCTAATAGATAAAGCGGCCTCTTGTCACGCCGAAAACCTGAGTTCGATTCCCTAAATGGGTACACTCATTTCTGTTATCCCTCGCCGTGACCCGTGAAGGTCCGGGTTAAAATATTGATCTTCACTAACCCATGCTTGTCGTAAGAAGCGGCTACCGGGATCGGGTGGTCAGGCTCGCTGACTTGGCTGACACACGTCATCGGTTCCCGGCCTAATTGCACAGATCGATGCTCATGCTGTTAATGACTGGGTTGTCTGGTCCAGACTCGATTATTTACAGACCGCCCCCATATAGCTGGAATATTGCTGAGTGCTGCGTAAAACTCACTCACTATCCCTCACCGTGATATTGCTGGAATACTACTAAAAGCGGTGTAAAATCATACTCACTCACGCTCTCACTCACTGTTAGTCTGAATACATATATGTGGTTCTCCTGTCCTGGCTAGCTATTCTCGAAACGCTCGTAGCCCTACGAACTTCTTAAGCCCATTCTTAACACATTGGCTACGATCAAAGTTAAGAATTTTTAGGGCTACGAACGTTTCGAGAATAAGGGCCCTGATGCATATCTTTATGGTTGTGACTGAGCCCATTAACTGGTAACTTGTTCTCTTTGACTTTTTCAAGACATTTCTTTGTTAATTATCGTACAGGTAACCGGCGTTACAAAGATGTCGAACACAGAGTTTGAAGTCACTGTTGGATCTAATGGCATTGCTCCATTTGTTTGGTTGGATGCTGTTGGCATCTCTGGGAGATTCTCTGACAATGGCTTCCTGATGATGACGCCTTCTAGGACAGTGACCTTCACCTCTTGGGAACCTGTTGATCAAGATACTTTTAAACGATCATTGAAATCGAAATCTTTAATGGATGTTTATGCTTAATACAATTTCAAGAAATATGTTATTATTTGTGATTCGATAAAATTGCCAAGTGTATCAGATAATGTGCATTAAAACAGTTTGAATATATACAATTATATTTCACCTCGATTTTGTTAAGCCTGCTCCAGAATACCTTCATCTACTGCTCAGGTTTCAATAATGTTCAGTGACTGGTTTCTCATTGCAATAATATTTATACAAAGCTGGCACTGAATTGTGTTTAACGCTACTTTTAAAAAGCGATATTTAAGCGACAATGCATTTTCGAATCATTATGAAATTGTCGATTCATCCCCATAGTAACCATACTTGTATTTGCCTCACACTGAGAGTCCAAGTTTACCCGGGATGAATGTTTTTAAAGGATTCATCTATCCTATCCAAGATGAAAAGGTTAGTGGCCAATAAATGGTTTACTGTTTCTGAGTTGTCAGGCGTTTGTGATGCAATGCGGTTTTATGAAACCATCAAACTACATGTGTTGGTAACGGTGCTATGAACATATATTCTCCAGCATCAATCTAATATACTGATGTCTCTTCTAAACTCACTCACTTACTCGGGCGGTGGGGTAGCCTAGTGGTTAGAGCGTTCGCTCGTCACGCTGAAGACCCGGGTTCGATTCCCCATGTGGGTACAATGTGTGAAGCCTATTTCTTGTGTCCCCCGCCGTGATGTTGCTAGAATATTGCTAAAATCGGCGTAAAACCCAACTCACTCACTCACTCAGTTGACTAAAATGTGACCGATTCATCCATTGCGGTCAAGGAAACCTAACGCTTGTCATCTCTTACGACAATTGTACCTCCTTGCAATAATGGAACTATTTCCTGTGGAAATTAAAACACTTCAAGTTAGATCAAACCATTATCTTATCTTATATCAGAAAATGACATACTACGGCAGCAACCCGTCAGAATTGTGGTGGACGTATGGCGCATCCTTGTATGGCCAAAGAGGAACTACCCGTTATCTTACACTTGAATATCCGAGTGAGAGTACATCTTCAGTAACTCATGCCTATCGTACGAGGCGACTAGCGGAATCGGGTGGTTTGGTTTGCAGATATGCACGTCATCGTATTCTTATTGCTGAGCCTTGCCGATGACGTCAATCACTGGATGATTAGATCCAGATCCGATCACTTATAGACTGCAGCCATATAGGAGGAGTACTGGGGCTGATATGCACGTCATCGTATTCTTATTGCTCAGAGCCATGCTGATGACGTCAATCACTGGATGATTAGACCCAGATCCGATCGCTTAGAGACTGCCGCCATATAGGAGGAGTACTGGGGCAGATATGCACGTCATCGTATTCTTACTGCTCAGAGCCATGCTGATGACGTCAATCACTGGATGATTAGATCCAGATCTGATCACTTAGAGACAGCCGCCATATAGGAGGAGTACTGGGGCAGATATGCACGTCATCGTATTCTTACTGCTCAGAGCCATGCTGATGACGTCAATCACTGGATGATTAGACCCAGATCCGATCACTTAGAGACTGCCGCCATGTATGAGAAGTACCGTGTGTGGCGTTAACAAAAAAAAGAACAATTATATCAAAAAAAGAACAATTATATCAATACGGGGGAAAGATCTTTTTAATTACGTCACTAACATTTTCCAACCCTCAGTTCACTACCGAGCAGAGATTAGGTAGCCGGAGAAGGTTGTGTATACCTGGTCAGCTCTTCCAAACAACCTCGTCGTGTGCCTTCTTGCTTGTACCCGCACCCTGTCCCCCCTTTTTCACACGGACGATAACTCACTTACTCACTATAAGGTAGTACATAACAGATGGTATAAGATCCGTTCTAAACACTTAATATTAGCCCAAACGCTCATGCAATAGCATGGGCACGTGCTTCTAGCCCAATGCCAGACTGATACACTTTTATGTCTAAATGTTTCCATCCTATGCATATGATATGCCTTCGACGCAGTGATTGTTAATGTACAGTCTCTCAAAACCCCTAGCGTCAGAAATTACATCTCGTTCTATGTTACCAATGCTAGTGAGTGAGCGAGTTTTGGTTTACGCCGCTTTTAGCAATATTCCAGCAATATCACGGCGGGGGACACCAGAAATGGGCTTCACACATTGTACCCAGTTGTGGGATCGAACCCGGGTCTTCGGCGTGACGACCGAACGCCTTAACAACTAGGCTACTTTACCACCCCTGCCAATGTTAGTACAGGTAAAACGTGATACATACCTGATATCCCCAGCATCAAAACACAGATGAAGTACCGGATCATCATCTCAGGATACGACAGAGGACTATGGTCAGTGGTACGAATCTGACTATCTGTTGAAAATCAACTGATGCAGCGTTATTTATAGAGAGATGCTATCGATCCACTTAACTTACACGTGAAAATACGCTTTCATGGTGTTAACCGGATTCATGGCCCGTATTATTGTGTTAATCGCAGAAACACAAAACCATAACTTTTCACCAAGCAATGTATGACCAGAGGGGAACTAAATATATTCCTAATTTGTGAGTGAGTGATTGAGATAAGTTTTCTGCCGCACTCAGCAATATTCCATCTATATGGTGGCGGTCTGTAAATAATCGAGTCTGGACCAGACAGTGAAGTGATCAACAGCATGAGCATCGATCTGCGCAAATGGGAACCGATGACATGTGTCAACCAAGCCAGCGAGCCTGACCACCCGATCCCGTTATTCGCCTCTTACGACAAGCATGGGTTACTGAAGATCAATATTCTAACCCTGACCTACACGGGTAGGTTAATCAAAGATGTTAATGATCTAGCCCTAAATCAGTTACGGCTTGCTGCACACAGTTGCCACACAGGGACATAAGAAAACACTCGCGGGCCACACAGGGAATCTTGACCCATATCAATTAATTTGCCAAGTGCCACAGAGGGTATAAACCATTTGTTACCACCCATTCTGATTGTGACGTACGTTATAACATGTTTCTAGATTTGTTGATAATATGCATTATTTGTTATTGTTTTACCTGTAAAATGGTGTTTTGGATGACGATCAGATGACTTAATTCAAAGGCCTAGTTGGGAACACATGGTTATTTAATATTTGTTAAAACTACCTACTTTGATGAAGTCATAAATAAATATACGCCAGCAAGAAGATAAAGTCATCAATATCCCCCGCAAAGGTAAAATTCTCTTCATGAATATGTCAACTAGTTATGACTATGTCAAATGTTACATTGTTCTTCACATTGAAAATATACATATGTAAACTATGCACATACTAACATGCTTGTATCAACAACAGACTGCCTGAGTGCTTCCACGGTTTGATGTACCTCAGTAATGTTGATACTGGAATACACATAGCACTTGGATTCACATTTTACATTTTTTCAATTTAAAAAAATAAAATAAAGTGACTATGGTCATATATTACAAAGGTTTAGAAATCTTATTGCTTTCCTTGAGCGCCTTATAAAGTGCATTCACGAACTTATCTAATCTGAGGCAACTAGTCTTAGTTGAGGCACAGCATCGGGCAGTGTGACAAGTTGGATGTTTTGTAACACCGACCTCAGAAAAAGAATCCAGCTATGTGACAGTGGTCTGTTATGCCTCTATTCCATACAGACCACGAATCGCCACGAATCGACAAACTGACAAAGCTAATTCGTATATAGACGTAGTCAGTTCTTGCAATTCATCAGCAATTGGGAATTTGAGGCAATCGTTCAAAATTTTGGTCATGAACTCCCGATTCCAAAAATATCGTAGTTAATTCATAACAAATTCGTAATGCATTCATAGCCATCGTAACTGAATCGTAATCGATTCGTAGGTATTCTTAACTCATTCGTCAATTCGTGTCTTGACCACGAAGCGGCTACGAATCTGTCACGAATCCCACAAATACACGGCGAAGCAGGTACGACGCAACTATCAACGAATCAGCTACGATTGTCGGCAAATCAGGTGTATAAGGAGTTTAACACTGACGTCCGGTCATCAGCTGCTGACGATTGTGCCACGAAATCCACGAATCAGCAAGATGTCAAGAAACACTGCAGGCAAGGACACGGGGGGAAGATTGAGAAGTAGGGAAGAGGGGGAAGAAGGCACACACACACACAGAGTGAGAGAAACACACACACACACAGAAACAACAACAACAACAACAACAACAACACACACACACACACACACACACACACACACACACACACACACACACACACACACACACACACACAAAAGAGTAACTACCCTTACACCGGCAGATGAACCAGCTCCAGAAGTAGAGAAAGATGTGGCGGATTCAGCAGCTCAGCCAGTGGCTGGTGATGTTGGTGATGATGTACGATGAGCTTCTTCCCAGTCCAACAGCAAGTAGGGGTGATACGGTATACCAAGGTATTAGTTTAACCACGGTATTTTGCCTTCGGTTCGGTGTCCTGCAATCCAAAATTTCGGTATTTTCGGTTTTCGTACCGTCATTTTATTAACCTTTTTAAACCTTTTCTAAAACGTCTGGAAATCGAACCTCGATGTATTTCTTTGCTGGACGGCAGCTATTTTCCTGGAAGTAAGTTCGCCTCAAGTCGTCTACTTACAAAGTCAGCAAGACAGCAAATGCAGATCACCTCATTCTATACGCGTGCCACTTCCGCTTACCATGTTGATGAGGGTCCACTTTTCGCGCCTAAGGCGATCGCACCAATTTCATCTTATTCTCAGCAATCACTAACCGATCACCGCCTCATCATCCGTGGGCCCCTAGACCAGCGTTACTGACTCACTGAAGTCATATTATACAATTAATTGCCAACATTTTGTTTTTACAATTAAAGTGGCATGCTCCGTGGGAAATCAACGGTGACTTATGAAACTGACTCAGACGTAAAATGTATCCAGCCACGTAAGTGTTGAGCCTATGTTAATTATTATTTTGAATAACATGCGTAATACTAATACGATAGCAATATGTAGCAATATTCTCTGTTAAAATAACTGCTTGAGATATAATTATTCTTGTAATGAAAACAATGACAACAATTCTTTGATGTTATATTTTCAGTTCGTTATTAACTGAAACATCCAGTAGATTGGAACAAAAGATTTCCGGCTTAGCTGAATAACAGGTAGCATAACAGGAAATAAAACTGAATTATCATGTGTTGTGATGTTTGATTGCAGGTTTCCTATACACATATCTATTTTCATTTGCAAAGTTTGTTTCTTCACCTCCGACGATACGATATAGTTTTGAATGGGCACAATACACGAAATAGCAGTTCTGTTATATCCATGGAAAATACGATTTTACTTGGCCTTTGGTATGCTTTGGCTCTCGACCAATCAGAATTGGACAAACCTATCTTCAGGGTAATAAATACCTGTACGTATCTCATCTACAAATTTTAGGGGACCGTCTCCGGGGTGTAGTGGTTATACCAACCACGTCATACCAAAAGACGTGAAAATTGGTACTCGTTGGTCCCTGCCTGGCGCTCGACTTTAATGGGTACAACAAGGACTGGTCGGCTCGGAGTCAGTATAATGTGTCTGAGTTGGGTATCCATGCTTAACTGCGGTATGGTCTCTCTTAAGTGCGACGTTAAACCCTAATTCACCTTCACCTCATTGTTTTAGGAATATTTATTTACTGGCACATCAACACATCTCCTATGTCTATATATACCATATACATTGACTTATATGACCAGCAATGACAACACTCCAGCAGCCCTCAAACAATGAAGCATACAACCGTATGGACAACTTGTTATGATTGTAAAGAACGACATTTCAGATTTCTTCAATTTTGTTAATGTTAGGTCTACCTCTGTCCTTACTAACTGCCATGGTGGAGAAGAGAAAAGTTACATTGGGGCTATATTTTCAAGATTTGTGTAAGGTGCTGAAATAGCGGATTGTATATTCATTCCAAGTGGTGAATTGAGTGATAATCTTTCATTATAGTGTTCTTTAGAAAGAGGATAAAGTTGTATGTAGGATTTGATTCAGTACAACGCAATATTAAAACGTACTGTTAAGATAACCTTTGTGTATATTAAGGGGTGGATCATGGCACAGGGGGTAAGCCCTGTCCATGCTCAAACGGAAGTTGGTCGTCATCAACTACCATTTCCTCGATAGACAGTCGATCCCGGGAGAGAGTGAGTCCCAAACTTCGTAAGATTTTGATATTTCCAAGTAGTAAATGTTTATGAAATCGACTTGTCTTACAGGCTGAATGGTCACGGATTATAACCCCTATATCATTTGGTCATGACACATAATATTTTGTTTACATTTGAATCATTTCTTGACACGTCTTTCGGCGCGAATCGGAAAAGCCGAGAAATCGACCATTTTCGACGTCTTTACATAATCAATTGATTTCATTTCACGTATTGTGCATTTTTAGGCTAAATGGGGTTATGAAGCCACTGTGTCAAGATTTAAGCTTCTGTCAATACATACAAACTGAGATATTAGCGAAAACAATAACTGTACGCGCCCATGGTTCTTGCTCATGTAAACAAATCATCTGTACGGATTGTTGAAAAGGTATTGTACGGGTGGTTGGTTTCCTGTTTGTTATCAACTGAGGTAGGACATTGGTTTGAAGCATGCAACTGTGTATTGAATGACGTATTTGGCCCCCTTGTCTCTCCTTTTCCATCTGCGCAAATTTTAAAGCAATGCCACTGAAATATTCTGAAATCTTAGCAAGAACGTCATTAGAGACACCTGGGGCATCTATGTGCCTAATTCTAAGATGCCTAGCGGTTAGAACAATCGAAAAAAAAATACATTATCAGACAATAAAGGTATAGTTTTTTGATGACGTAACAATTGAATGACGTTTTCCCGTCACTGCGCCATTCTAGTGTGCCCCCTCGTAATCGAATCATTTTACATTACGTCACAATTGTAAGTGACGTCACGATGCATGTCAGTTGTCATCGCCTCGTACAGCCTCCTACAGTAAACTACACCGTTGCATCCAGTTTCCTGGTTGGCTGTTGCTTCACGCAGCTAACATCACTGGTGGAAACATTACGTTTATGTTTTACAACGGTTAAAATGTGTCATTTCGACTCAAAAGTTTTCAGCGACACGGTAACGTTCGTAATGTTTACATTCCCACAATGCAATTGTGGAATGTCGCTTGACTACTCTACTTCCTCTGGATGTACTGATCTAAACTTACGCTGGTAGTAGAAATGAAAACGTTCATATTGCCCCATATGGTTTACGTTAATGACAGATGTAATTAAAATAATTCAGAGAAGATATTTAATCCGAACGTAAACCGTCATCAAACTGTTATCATTTGTTATTTTCTTGTAACGTTCGTCTTAATGTAGGGGGCAGACACATCAATAGAACAGCGCGCCAGTTAGCCCTGTGCGAGGATTCTTAATTTAGGTCACCGACACCGTCGTTTGTTTTCTGCCTTAAATTAATCGTAATTATCTTTAGAAAGTATTAAATTTGGCATCTTAGAAACGAAATACACTTCGCCCTACCACCATGTATAGTGTAATAAAACACACTTTCGCCCTGAACTATTATAACGTTAACCCCCTGGATGCGTCCTCGTGCGTTAACTATAATAGTTCAGGGCAAAAGTGTGTTTTATTACACTATACATGGTGGTAGAGCGAAAAGTATTTCTTAAATAGAGAATCTCACCCAAGTGTCTTCTGATATCAATTATATCAACACGAGTTGATAAAGTTACAAATATCCGAGGTTTGCCGAGGATATTTTAACTTTTATCAACGAGTGTTGATATATTTGATATCAGAAGATACGAGGGTGAGATTCTATTTATCATCCAAAATCACTCTTCATTAATTTTCAATGAAAAATGTACATCTCTGAACACGGTACTGACATTAGACTTGCATTGTGACGTCATCAAGTACATGACGTCATAGCATTGTCAGGGCATTGTACAAAATCCACTATCAAAACGATATCTCCTAGGAGATATCGTTTGATCTCACACAAGTGATATCTCCTGTGGACCACAGTTTTGGATGATAAACTCTGAATCGGCGATGTTCCGAAGGCTCCAAGGCAAAGCCTGAGACCTTGGTGATGAACAGAATCTAGTGTGTTTTAATTGCTTATCAAATCACGTTTAGAACGGATCAGCGCTCTATATAGTTAGAGGAGGATTTTCAGATCCCCTCCCCACTTTCAGTTAGAAACAACTTTTAATATATCAAGTGCTTTCGGGCATTTATTTTTCAAATGAGGATGCAAGGCTAAATGGTGAATAGCTCCCTTTACAACGTTAATAGGGGTGTCATCAAGAAACAATTCCGGGTCTTTGTGATGTTTATATTTTCGACAAAAAAGAATGCAATTCGTTTTTGATTTTGAAAATTTAAATCCGTTTTCTAAACACCATATATCGATTTTATGTAAACACCATTGCAGCTGCCTTTAAATAGTATTCACGATTTTGCAGCGACAGGAAATATTAACAGCAGGGGGCGGTGCGGTAGCCTAATGGTTACAGCGTTCGCTCGTCACGCTGAAGACCCGGGTTCGATTCCCCATATGTGTACAATGTGTGAAGCCCATTTCTTGTGTACTCCGCCGTGATGTTGCTGGACTATTGCTAAAATCGGCGTAAAACCCAACTCACTCACTCACTCAGTTGACTAAAATGTGACCGATTCATCCATTGCGATCAAGGAAACCTAACGTTTGTCATCTCTTGCGACAATTGTACCTCCTTGCAATAATGGAACTATTTCCTGTGGAAATTAAAACACTTCAAGTTAGACCAAACCATTATATTATCTTATATCAGAAAATGACATACTACGGCAGCAACCCGTAAGAATTGTGGTGGACGTATGGCGCGTCCTTGCATGGCCAAAGAGGTACTACCCGTTATCTTACACTTGAATATCCGAGTGAGAGTACATCTTCATCAACTCATGCCTATCGTACGAGGCGACTAGCTGATTCGGGTGGTTTGGTTTGCAGATATGCACGTAATCGTATTCTTATTGCTCAGACCCATGCCGATGACGTCAATCACTGGATGATTAGATCCAGATCCGATCGCTTAGAGACTGCCGCCATATAGGAGGAGTACTGGGGCAGATATGCACGTCATCGTATTCTTATTGCTCAGACCCATGCCGATGACGTCAATCACTGGATGATTAGGTCCAGATCCGATCGCTTAGAGACTGCCGCCATATAGGAGGAGTACCGTGTGTGACGTTAACAAAAAAAGAACAATTATATCAATACGGGGAAAGATCTTTTTTAATTACGTCACTAACATTTTCCAACCCTCAGTTCACTACCGAGCAGAGATTAGGTAGCTGGAGATGGTTGTGTATACCGCGTCAGCTCTTTCATACAGATACGTCGTGTGCCTTCTTGCTTGTACCCGCACCTTGTCCCCCCTTCTCACACGAACGATAACGGCGTTCGTAGCAGTCGCATAGTCAGTTCTTCCCCACGCACTCACTATAAGTTTGCCGTTGACGGTGAGTTCGAGCCACGCTTCTTTGCCTTTTTGAGTTAAGGCAGACAGCTGGAAAGAGTACACGCCGCTCCTAGGACAAGTGAATGTCCCCGTTTTCAGGTTGTAGGCGTTTCCAATGTTGAGGAAGATGTGGTTGAAGCAAAGGGTTCTTCCTTTACCAAGTGCAACGTTATGCGTGAGACCAGCGGAAAAGGCAACCTGGGACGGGGACGGGGAATGCAACCAACTAGTAGCCGATGCTGAAAGAACATGTCAACTATATATTACTCAAAAGACTATAAATGGCACGAAAGCATTCGTCACCACTCGCCCCTTTCCGCAACCAGAACTACTTTAAACAAGAACGACAACTCTATTCCTGTTTGATTGCAATGGTACTCACGAAATATACGGTGAACAGCTGGTAACAATTACGTTAGAATGGGTCTTTGACAAAAAAGCTTTCCTCCTTCTTTTAGTTCTATCAAAGGGTTTAATTCTTTAAAATAAACATGTGAAAACAAAAACAGCAATACAATGTGCTTCGGTGAGATTAAGTTCCATCGAAATCAAACAGGAATAGAGTTATCGTTCTTGTTTAAAGTAGTTCTGATGTTCATGCGCCAATATGAAATCCTTCCAGAAGGGCACGAGCCGCTATTCGGCTTGTCCCGGAATAACACGAGTTGCTCACGAATGGAGTCTTCTTGGACGTTACGGAAAGGGGCGAGTGGTGACGAATGGGTGCTTGTTATGTGCGAAAAAACGACAAACCAATCAGCACGGGCGTAATGATTGCGGTGCTTTGATAAAAATAATCCAGAGTACTTAAATCATGTATGGCATTATGTCATTGTTTAAAAAATCATGAAAAATATATCTCGTCATATTGAAAGTACAAAGAACATAGCTAACAGGATTTTGCTGCCTATTACGAAGCTTTTATAAGAATCATGCGATCAACGGATTACAAAATGGCTCTCATGGGTCCAGTTGACTGTGTATTTGACCATCTTACGGGCTTTTTGGGGCGATTGTACGTGCGCTTCCCAACATTTTAGGAAATACAGTTACAAATCGCTTCGAGTTTCAAAACAATTATATTATAGATATATAATCAACTTCACTCTTCAACACTGGGCTTATATCTCACATATCTGGGGATAATTTAGAACGACTATTTTAGGTTATTCATATTCTTTCAGCGTATTCATTTAATATTCTACTTTGGGATTTAATGGAGCTGAATTTGTTTTATTTTATTTGCATTTTCAATAAAATAAAATCCCACATGTAATTCTTAAACTCTATTTTGAAACATATATTTGGATATTTAAGGTGAACAGCAAGTTATAATTAAGTTAGAATATCTGTTCTTCTTTTAGTTGCATCAAAGGGATTTACATGTACTTCAGTGAATTCCCCCAAACAACCCACCTCAGCATAGGATTATGAAATCGAGGGGCACGAGTCGCTATTCGGCTTGTCCCGGAATAACACGAGAGGGTCAAGAATGTCTGTAAGGTAGGCGTCACGCCGAAGACCCGAGTTGATTCCACACATGGGTACAATGTGTGAAGCCCATTTCTGGTGTCCCCCGCCGTGATATTGCTGGAATATTGCTAAAGGTGGCGTAAAACCATACTCACTCACTCACTATAAGGTAGGTACATAACAAATGATATAAGATCCGTTCTAAACATTTAATATTATCCCAAATGCTCATGCAATAGCATGGGCACGTGCTTATAGCCCAATGGCAGATTGATATACTTTTATGTCTAAATGTTTCCATCCTATGCATATGATATGCCTTCGACACTGTGATTGTTAATGTACACTCTCCAAAAACCCCTAGCGTCAGAAATTACATCTCGTCCTATGTTAGTTTTACACAGGACTCAGCAATATCCCAGCTTTATGGCGGCGGTCTGTAAATAATCGAGTCTGGACCAGACAATCCAGTGATCCACAGCATGAACATCGATCAACGCAATTGGGATACAATGGCATGTGTCAACCCAGTCAGCGAGCCTGATCACCCGATCCCGTTAGTCGCCTCTTACGACAAGCATGGGTTGCTGAAGATCAATATTCTAACCCGGATCTTCACGGGTGGTTATCGTATTGACAATCAGACGATGATCTGTAGGTAATGGCGCCTGAGACCATTTAGGTGATCTGAAGCATTACCAACGTAACATGCCTATAGGTTAAAAGCCGATGTACACCTGGGCAAAGTATAATTGAAAAGAAACTCTATCACGTTCAACTTAACCTCGAGTGGATTATAGAGAATAGACGTCAAATAGCCGTCAACAATACAGTTTATTTCAAACGTTTAACATGATTGCGTAATGAAAGATTCATCATGACAATTCATTATTATTTTGATTACACCGATTCATGGACACTTGATTCAGTCTTTCCGCAGCAGATATCCAGAGAACTGAGACCACACCCCACCTCTCAGTGGAGCGTTTTGATGTCATACCTCTTTCTTACTAGAACGTGGTCCCCCACGTTCAGATGTATGATAACGCTCATAGTCTTGGAGCTGTAATGGTGTTGAATGGTCAGCACTGACTGGTCTGATCCTTCTTTCTCCAGGAAGAACTCAGAAGTACCGTGGTTGGTGGTTTCAAGCTGGCATTTCATCAGATAGAGACCTACAGAAATACGTAGCATAAATTGTCGTATGTTCGCCCCTAAATGTATACGCCCGTTGTCATTTTACTAATAATTTAGTTTTCTGTGACTGAACCTCTGAATTCATACGCCAGTGTTTAAACTTGGTTTGATATGACTCGAAAGTTTAATTACGATGGCCAATAAGAATATGTTCTTCAGGCACATTAATGAACAGGTACTCAGTGCGCCATGGGCTGACTCATTCAGATAGAGGGGATTATTTCGGTCCATTGTTGATTTTTTAAAAAAAATCTGTAATATGTTTTGGGTTTTTAAAAAAGAAAATTGTATTTAAAAAATACTTTGGGTACATTGACAACCGTTCTATAAAGGGCTTCTTAGATTAATGCTAAATTATACAATCGCTGTTTTTTAATCAGTCACGACGGCATGCAAGTACACAAGCTCATTGATACTGAAGTTGGTACAACACCTGCAATTGGAACATGGAATACCCCGGATGATGGGTTATACCCTGAACCATTGTTTGCCTCCACTTGGCTAAATACGATGGTACTGCGATGTCCGTAAGTAGTGTCCTTAGGCAGAATTGCCCTGAAGTATACCAGAGGACCTGAAAATAACACGATACAGGATGACTTATCTCAGATGTATCAGTAGAGTCTGACATGCACTGACAACTGAGAGAAGTATTCAACGTTTAACAGCTTACACTCCCACACAATCAATTACTCTCCATGCCAGTTCTCAAGAATTTAAGACAATATATTCGATGTGAGATGTGTGAGTGAGTTAAAATTTGACATCGCATCGGTAATATCGCAGCCATATCGCGATGAGAGCAAGTTGACTATAAATAAATGTCTGTCTACAAAGGACAGTAAAACAGTATGTTCAATATCACAGTTTAAAACATACCAGTGCAATATTTGCATATCAGTAATGAGATGAATGGTTTCCAAGGACCTAACTAATCGATTACTGATCATGAGTTGGTTTTGCAAACGCAGCTAATACGTGGAATTGGTCGATAATTTGAAGGATCGGTATGGTCACGTCAAGGTTTAAGAAGTGAGACAATGAGGAAGGAAATTTCCCCGACGTCCAAATGTCATCACAAATACCAGGTCCTGAGCTTTTTTTTTTTTACCTGAGTTTGAAAATAATAGTTTTATTTTCTTGGTTCTTTTGATTTTATTTAAATTTAGGTACATAGTAAGACGAGGAAGAGTGTTTAACCAAAGTTCCGCCCAGTTTATTTGCAATATCTGAAGCATACTTCATTTCCATTTTTAACGTGGTGGATGCTAGAATTACCTTAGATGTTTCGTACCATATTCCATACCTTGGACATTAGCGTGAATCTATTCTTGATACATAATTTTGTCAATATTGATATTAACGAAATTGACGTTTACTATTTTAAATAGAGAGGGTATATTTATATCATTTCTTCACGCGTAGGGGCGGTGTGTGTGTGTGTGTGTGTGTGTGTGTGTGTGTGTGTGTGTGTGTGTGTGTGTGTGTGTGTGTGCATGCATGCAGTTTCATTAATATACGCAGAAGTGGTTTATTTTAAAATAGGACTTGTAATTCCTTTCTTCTCATGTTTGCATTTCTCAAATGCAAGAAGCAATAGGTATTTCTACAATATTTATGAACTCGGTTCAGAAAATGAAAAACAGGTAAAATCCTTCTAAATTTTCAAACATTTACAGCCTTTGTAGACCTGAACTTAACAAAATAATTATTAAATATTAACTTTGAATTTTATTCTTGTGAATTCAGTTCGAAAAATGTAAATCAAACATAATGCAATTTTGAGATACCAGAAATGAACACCATGACACATTTTTTCAATTTATCAATTAATAATTCAGTTCATTATGAGCATGTTCTATATATAGGTAGTCTATTGTTCATCCCTCCCTATAATTTCGTCAAAATTGACGTTTACTTTGTTTTAAATTGAGGGGGTATATTTATATCATTTCTTCACGGGGGAGCAGTTGCATTATTTTTGCATCAGTCGATTATATTAAGATACGACATGTAGTTCCTTTCTTCTCATGTATGCATTTCTCACATGCAAGAAGCAATGTATATATAATTCTACAATATGATATGAACTCGGTTTTGTGTGGTAACTCAAATAGAGCAGGAAATGCTTGAAATAGATTAATTAAGTCTATACACTTTTGCCGAGATAGGCATCGAAGATAATATTATATTAAAATAGGGGATCCATTAGAAAAGGAGAAACTGATATTAGTACAGGCAAAATCCTTTTAAATTTTCAAAAAATACAACCTTTGTTAACATGAACTTTACAAAATAATTATTAAATATTAACTGTGAATTTTATTCTTGTGAATTCAATTCAAAAGTCTAAATCAAACATAATGCAAACTGGAGACAGCAGAAATGAACATCATGACACATGTACTCAATTTATCAATTAAGAAATATACATACATAATTCATTTCATGATGAGCATGTTCTATATAAGGGTAGTCTACTGTTCATTCCTCCCTACAAATCACAATGACTGTAAGTATTATCGTTAGTCAATAAGCAGCATTTAACAGTCATAACCTACCTCTCGCCTGCACCATGAACTCTGTCCACGAACTCGCCACCAGGCAAAGGCATACGTATAAAGTGAACTTCATTTTGTGACTACTGCAGCAACCGACTGATCAATTCGCTACCCCACTGTCATATATATAACTTCATACGAGGGTGCGATAGGTTTGTAGCTCACCTTGCAGATTGACTTATATAGGTATTGTCATTGAGTCACACATTTTTCCCCTACATAATTGAATATTACGTAATCGCCAACAGTATGACACATAGACTGTTGCCCAGTATTGTCCTAATTGGATAGTTGACCAGGATTAAAACACACAGAAACAACCAGGTTGTCAGTTCAGAAGATAACTTTCACAAACATCCTCTTCTCGGATAGCATTTGACTTGTACAAGTCTCTAAGGTAATTATTAATAATTTGAATGATAATTTCTTAAAAATATAAATAACACTCTAACAGACTGGCGTCATTATAGACTTGCCTATTTAAAGGGTAGAATGACTATACATCCATCGCCTTAGCCTTCAGTACAGCCTTGGAGCAAGGCTAGGATAGCCTGAGCAAGGATGTTTGTGAACATTACTGAACTGGCTTTTTCTGTGTGACATCACTTAGGAATGCGTTTCCTATTCCTTACGGATATCGGCTGAAAAAATAACACAATTCTTATGGTATTTATGCTTGTTGTTTTTAAATGAAGGGCCTTCTCCTCTAACATCTACATCTATCAGCTGCTAGATCCATCAGGTGAATTACCACTCGTGAGCCCGGTGATAAACAATGCCATCCGCCACTGACGAAACGAGCTCGAGGCTTCTCCCATTCTCGCGGTATTACCAGGAATTAACGTTATTGAGTGTATGTAAGAGCAATCCTGCCGGAAAGGGCGGGAAAAGTAATGATATGTCCAAGTTGGTATAAACTCCACAATATTCGTGACACTGCAAGATTTTGATCACTCACAGGCTTGGGCCACTTCCTAGTTACCAGTCGGTGATGTAAACAACAGCTAAGTGTCGCGCATCGGCGATTTCGGCAGAAAACGTGTTTACCGCGAGAATAGGAAACCCACGAGAATAGGAGACGGACCTATATATATTCAGGGTAAGAAGGATTTACTACTTTACGTTCTGAAACCGTGGAGTTTGTTTCATAGTCCGAAAAACATATGAACGTAAAAATGGTTTGGTTTGGTTGTTTTTAAAGCCGCACTCAGCTATATGGCGGTGGTCAGTAAATGATCGTATTTGGACCAGACAATCCAGTGATCAACAGCATGAGTATCGATTTGGATACGATGACATGTGTCAACCAAGTCTATATACGAGCCTGACCACCCGATCCCGTTAGTCGCCTCCTACGACAAGCATGGGTTGCCGAAGACCGGTTCTAACCCGGATCTTCACAGGTTCGAAACAATAATATAAAGTATAAACGATATAGACCGTTAGGCGAAAGGCATATAGCCAGACATTTCCCCATTTCTTCATAACTTACTACGACATACATGACAATAGTATGACTTTTCAGTTCACTACCAGCGCAGGTATAGCATTGTCAAGCCGAAATGTTGAGTTGCAGATGAACGAACCACTATTGCAGATACAGATTGATAAAAATAGATATTCCATCATGGTTTCAGAAAGGAACAATACAAAAGAAGAAGATCAGTAGGCTCACCGACATACATGGCTTATTGTGTGTTTGTGTAGTTTTGTTTATATCAATTTGAAAGACAGGGTGAGCTACAACCAGTTGTCATCAGGATCATGTTAACCATGGACGTCCGTTGCAACAGCTTGTAGGGTTATCATTATGAGTCACATACACGGATGTCCCACGTTCTCCTCCAAACCATCTGAAACACACACAGAAAATATTAACGCAAGAATAACATAAAACTGTGCCTTATGTTCACAATAATCAGTCACAACATATTTCTGATATTTTGAGCGTTCCTTATATTCTTTGGAGTGGTACAAGTATGTGGACTTGAACTTTCAGGTTCCAAGTCATCACTGTACGAATATCAATGTCACTTTCTAGTGAAGGCCGCATTACGTTTCAAGAGTGACATCACCTTATGAGGAGTGTATTCGGGATAAGAAGGATTTAACACTTTACGTTCTGAATCCGTGCTTCTATTGCAACGTGCACATGGTTCGGTGACTCCCATGCAGCATCCATATTGTACGTCACAGACAAGACAACCATTTGTCCTTTTACTTACACTAAATTACGGCTAGGACGAACTCCAATTCACCACTAAAATTAGTTCGTCACAGCCGTAGTTCGTCATAAGTGAGTGAGTTTAGTTTTACGCCGCACTCAGCAATATTCGAGCTATATGGCGGAGGTCTGTAAATAATCGAGTCTGGACCAGACAATCCAGTGATCCACAGCATGGGCATCTCTCTGCGCAATTGGGAACCGATGACGTGTCAACCAAGTCAGCGAGCCAGACCACGTGACCCCGTTAGTCACCTCTTACGACAAGCATGGGTTGCTGAATATCAATTCTATCCCGGATCTTCACGGGTCTTCGTCATAAGCATTTCGACTGACAGACATCTTGGATCAAGTTGTGTAACTCATCATGTTGATATATGGCAAGTGTGCAATGTATTCATCTTATGAGGGGCTGTAGGGTAGCCTTGTAGTCAAAACGTTCTCTCGTCACGCCAAAGGCCCGGGTTCGATTACCCACATTGATACAATGCGAGAAGCCCATTGGTAATGTTGCTGGAATATTGCTAAAAGCAGCGTAAAACCATACTCACACACTCACTATTCGTCTTATAAACAAGATGATTGGTGGCACGAGAGCAGTTCAAAGATTATGAGATGAAGAGTTCTTTATACACATCAACCTTGTCTTTGAGAGAGCACATATAGGATCACAAAGTGAGTTAGATGTATGTCCAACACTTTTATGATGAAATATACTAACAGCAATCGGCGAGACCCCTCCCCCCTCAGTTCGTTATATAAGCGTGTTTTGTGTACTTTGTTTACTACCTGTTAATCCTAGTAGGGGAACAGAGAATGGGCAATTTTATGATTGACATGCCTGTTTATTCTCTCCAATTATAGGATAGTGGAACGTTAATCATTTCCCTACACAGGAACAGGACTGATTGAGTCCCATCTGTAGACGTGTAATAACTAGTCTATATCGAATAATGGGGCACTGTCGTTAGCTGGGTTGTGTGATTTGTAGACGTGTAACAGTCTACATCGGATATGGGGACACAGTCGTTAGCTGGGTTGTGTGATTTGTAGACGTGTAACAGTCTACATCGGATATGGGGACACAGTCGTTAGCTGGGTTGTGTGATTTGTAGACGTGTAACAGTCTACATCGGATATGGGGACACAGTCGTTAGCTGGGTTGTGTGATTTGTAGACGTGTAACAGTCTACATCGGATATGGGGACACAGTCGTTAGCTGGGTTGTGTGATTTGTAGACGTGTAACAGTCTACATCGGATATGGGGACAGTGTCGTTAGCTAGGTTGTGTCGGGAAACATAAAACAATAACTTTTCACCAAGCAATTTATGACCATAGGGCAATTAAATATATCCCTAAGTTGTGAGTGAGTGATTGAGTTTAGTTTTCTGCCGCACTCAGCAATATTCCAGCTATATGGCGGAGGTCTGTAAATAATCGAGTCTGAACCAGACAGTGACTGATCAACAGCATGACCATCGATCTGCGCAAATGGGAACCGATGACATGTGTCAACCAAGCCAGCGAGCCTGACCACCCGATCATGGGTTACTGAAGATCAATATTCTAACCCGGACCTACACGGATAGGTTAATCAAAGGCTTTAATGATCTAGCCCTCAATCACGTATGGCTTGCTGCACACATGTGCCGCACGGGGACATAAGAAACACTCGCGGGTCACACAGGGAATCTTGACACATATCAATTAATTTGACAAGTGCCACAGAGGGCATAAACCATTTGTTACCACCCATTCTGATTGTGACCTTCGTTATAACATGTTTCTAGATTTGTTGATAATATGCATTTTTGGTTATTGTTTTACCTGTAAAATGGTATTTTGGATGATGATTAGAGGACCAAATTAAAAGGCCTAGTTGGGAACACATGGTTATTTAATATTTGTTAAAACTTCCTACTTTGATGAAGTCATAAACAAGAAGACAAAGTCATCAATATCCCCCGCAAAGGTAAAATTATCTTCATGAATATGTCAACTAGTAATGACTATGTCAAATGTTACATTGTTCTTCACATTGAAAATATACATATGGAAACTATGCACATACTAACATGCATGTATCAACAACAGACTGCCTGAGTGCTCCAACAATTTGATGTACCTCAGTAATGTTGATACTGGAATACACATAGCACTTGGATTCACATTTTACATTTTTTAAATTTAAAAAAATAAAATAAAGTGACTATGGACATATATTACAAAGGTTTAGAAATCTTATTGCTTTCCTTGAGTCCCTTATAAAGTGCATTCATGAGCTTATCTAATCTGAGGCAACTAGTCTTTGTTGAGGCACAGCATCGGGCAGTGTGACAAGTTGGATGTTTTGTAACACCGAGCTCAAAAAAAGAATCCAGCTATGTGACAATGGTCTGTTATGCCTCTATTCCATACAGACCACGAACCGCCACGAATTGACAAACTGACAAAACTAATTCGTATATAGACGTAATCAGTTCTTGCAATTCTTCAGCAATTGGGAATTCGAGGCACTCGTTTCGAACTGTTCATGAACTTTGGTCATGAACTCCCGAATCTAAACATATCGTAGTTAATTCATAACAAATTCGTAGTGCATTCATAGGCATCGTAACTGAATCGTAATCGAATCGTAATCGATTCGTAGACATTCGTTGGTATTCGTCAATTCGTGGCTAGACCACGAATCGGCTAAGAATCTGTCACGAATCCCACAAATACACGCCGAAGCAGGTACGACGCAACTGTCTACGAATCAGCTACGATTGCCGGCAAATCAGGTGTATAAGGAGTTTAACACTGACGTCAGGTCATCAGCTGCTGACGATTGTGCCACGAAATCCACGAATCAGCAAGATGTCAGGAAACACTGCAGGCTAGGACACGGGGGGAAGATTGAGGAGTAGGGAAGAGGGGGAAGAAGGCACACACACACACACACACACACAGAGTGAGAAAAACACACACACAGAGAGAGAGAGAGAAACACACACACAAGAGTCACTACCCTTACACTGGCAGATGAACCAGCTCCAGAAGTAGAGAAAGATGTGGCGGAATCACCAGCTCAGCCAGTGGCCGGTGATGTTGGTGATAATGTACGATGAGCATCTTTCCAGTCCAACAGCAAGTAGGGGTGATACGGTTTACCAAGGTATTAGTTGAACCACGGTATTTTGCTTCGGTTCGGTGTACTGCAATCCAAAATTTCGGTATTTTTGGTTTTCGTACCGTCATTTTATTAACCTTTTTAAACCTTTTCTTAAACGCCTAGAATCGAACCTCGATGCATTTCTTTGCTGGACGGTAGCTATTTTCCTGGAAGTAAGTTCGCCTCAAGTCGTCTACTTACAAAGTCAGCAAGACAGCAAATGCAGACCACCTCATTCTATACGCGTGCCACTTCCGCTTACCATGTTGATGAGGGTCCACTTTTCGCGCCTAAGGCGATCGCACCAATTTCATCTTATTCTCAGCAATCACTAACCGATCACCGCCTCATCATCCGTGGGCCCCTAGACCAGCGTTACTGACTCACTGAAGTCATATTAGACAATTAATTGCCAACATTTTGTTTTTACAATTAAAGTGGCATGCTCCGTGGGAAGTCAACGGTGACTTATGAAACTGTCTCAGACGTAAAATGTATCCAGCCACGTAAGTGTTGAGCCTATTTTAATTATCATTTTGAATAACATGCGTGATACTAATACGATAGCAATATGTATATATTATCTCTGTTAAAATAACTGCTTGAGATATAATTATTCTTGTAATGAAAACAATGACAACAATTCTTTGATGTTATATTTTCAGTTCGTTATTAACTGAAACATCCAGTAGATTGGAGCAAAACATTTCCGGCTTGGCTGAATAACAGGTAGCATAACAGGAAATAAAACTGAATTATCATGTGTTGTGATGTTTGATTGCAGGTTTCCTATACACATATCTATTTTCATTTGCAAAGTTTGTTTCTTCACCTCCGACGATACGATATAGTTTTGAATGGGCACAATACACGAAATAGCAGTTCTGTTATATCCATGGAAAATACGATTTCACTTGGCCTTTGGTATGCTTTGGCTCTCGACCAATCAGAATTGGACAAACTTATCTTCAGGGTAATTAATACCTGTACGTATCTCATCTACAAATTTTAGGGGACCGCCTCCGGAGTGTAGTGGTTAGAGCGTCCGCCCGGAGAGCGGAAGGTTCGATCCCGAACCACGTCATACCAAAAGACGTGAAAATTGGTACTCGTTGGTCCCTGCCTGGCGCTCGACTTTAATGGGTACAACAAGGACTGGTCGGCTAGGAGTCAGTATAATGTGTCTGAGTTGGGTATCCATGCTTAACTGCAGTATGGTCTCTCTTAAGTGCGACGTTAAACCCTATTTCACCTTCACCTCATTGTTTTAGGAATATTTATTTACTGGCACATCAACACATCTCCTATGTCTATATATACCATATACATTGACTTATTTGACCAGCAATGACAATACTCAAGCAGCCCTCAAACAGTGAAGCATACAATTGTATGGACAACTTGTTATGATTGTAAACAACAACATTTCAGATTTCTTCAAATTTGTTAATATTAGGTCTACCTCTGGCCTTACTAACTGTCATGGTGGAGAAGAGAAAAGTTACATTGGGGCTATATTTTCAAGATTTATGTAAGGTGCTGAAATAGCGGATTGTATTTTCATTCCAAGTGGTGAATTGAGTGATAATCTTTCATTATAGTGTTCTTTAGATAGAGGATAAAGTTGTATGTAGGATTTGATTCAGTACAACGCAATATTATAACATACTGTTAAGATAACTTTGCGTATATTAAGGGGTGGATCATGGCACAGGGGGTAAGCCCTGTCCATGCTCAAACGGAAGTTGGTCGTCATCAACTACCATTTCCTCGATTGACAGTCGATCCCGGTAGAGAGTGAGTCCCAAACTTCGTAAGATTTTGATATTTCCAAGTAGTTAATGTTTATGAAATTGCCTTGTCTTACAGGCTGAATGGTCACGGATTATAACCCCCATATCATTTGGTCATGACACATAATATTTTGTTTACATTTGAATCATTTCTTGACACGTCTTTCGGCGTGAATCGGAAAAAACCGAGACGTCGACGTCTTTATATTTATTACTCAATTGAATTCATTTCACGTATTGTGCATTTTTAGGCTAAATGGGGTTATGTAGCCTCTGTGTCAAGATTTTAGCTTCTGTCAATACATACAAACTGAGATATTAGTGAAAACAATAACAGTACGCGCCCATGGTACTTGCTCATGTAAACAAATCATCTGTACGGGTTGTTAGAAAGGTATTGTACGGGTGGTTGGTTTCCTGTTTGTTATCAACTGAGGTAGGACATTGGTTTGAAGCATGCAACTGTGTATTGAATGACGTATTTGGCCCCATGTTTCTCCTTTTCCATCTGCGCAAATTTTCAAGCAATGCCACTGAAATATTCTGAAATCTTAGCAAGAACGTCATCAAGTACATGACGTCATAGCATTGTCAGGGCATTGTAAAAATCTACTGTCAAAACGATATCTCCTAGGAGATATCGTTTGATCTCACACAAGCGATATCTCCTGTGGACCACAGTTTTGGATGATAATCTCTGAATCGGCGATGTTCTGAAGGATCCAAGGCAAAGCCTGAGACCTTGGTGATGAAAAGAATCTAGTGTGTTTTAATTGCTTATCAAATCACGTTTAGAACGGATCAGCGCTCTATATAGTTAGAGGAGGATTTTCAGATCCCCTCCCCACTTTCAGTTAGAAACAACTTTTAATATATCAAGTGCTTTCGGGCATTTATTTTTCAAATGAGGACGCAAGGCTAAATGGTGAATAGCTCCCTTTACAGCGTTAATAGGGGTGTCATCTAGAAACAATTCCGGGTCTTTGTGATGTTTATATTTTCGACAAAAAAGAATGCAATTCGTTTTTGATTTTGAAAATTTAAATCCGTTTTCTAAACACCATATATCGATTTTATGTTAACACCATTGCAGCTACCTTTAAATAGTATTCATGATTTTGCAGCGACAGGAAATATACAATGCAGGGGGCGGTGCGGTAGCCTAATGGTTACAGCGTTCGCTCGTCACGCTGAAGACCCGGGTTCGATTCCCCATATGCGTACAATGTGTGAAGCCCATTTCTTGTGTACCCCGCCGTGATGTTGCTGGACTATTGCTAAAATCGGCGTAAAACCCAACTCACTCACTCACTCAGTTGACTAAAATGTGACCGATTCATCCATTGCGATCAAGGAAACCTAACGTTTGTCATCTCTTGCGACAATTGTACCTCCTTGCAATAATGGAACTATTTCCTGTCGAAATTAAAACACTTCAAGTTAGATCAAACCATTATCATACCTTATCAGAAAGAGACATACTACAGCAGCAACCCGTAAGAACTGTGGTGGACGCATCCTTGCATGGCCAAAGAGGAACCACCCGTTATTTTACACTTGAATATCCGAGTAAGAGTACATCTTCATCAACTCATGCCTATCGTACGAGGCGACTAGCGTAATCGGGTGGTTTGGTTTGCAGATGTGCACGTCATCGTATTCTTTTTGCTCAGAGCCATGCCGATGACGTCAATCACTGGATGATTAGATCCAGATCCGATCGCTTAGAGACTGGCGCCATATAGTAGGAGTACTGGGGCAGATGTGCAGGTCATCGTATTCTTACTGCTCAGAGCCATGCTGATGACGTCAATCACTGGATGATTAGATCCAGATCCGATCGCTTAGAGACTGCCGCCATATAGGAGGAGTATTGGGGCAGATGTGCACGTCATCGTATTCTTACTGCTCAGAGCCATGCTGATGACGTCAATCACTGGATGATTAGATCCAGATCCGATCGCTTAGAGACTGCCGCCATATAGGAGGAGTACCGTGTGTGGCGTTAACAAAAAAAAGAACAATTATACCAATACGGGGAAAAGATCTTTTTTAATTACGTCACTAACATTTTCCAACCCTCAGTTCACCACCGAGCAGAGATTAGATAGCCGGAGAAGGTTGTGTATACCTGGTCAGCTCTTCCAAACAACCTCGTCGTGTGCCTTCTTGCTTGTACCCGCACCCTGTCCCCCTTTCTCACACGAACGATAACGGCGTTCGTAGCAGTCGCATACCCAGTTCTTCCCCACGCACTCACTATAAGTTTGCCGTTGACGGTGAGTTCGAGCCACGCTTCTTTGCCTTTTTGAGTTAAGGCAGACAGCTGGAAAGAGTACACGCCGCTCCTAGGACAAGTGAATGTCCCCGTTTTCAGGTTGTAGGCGTTTCCAATGTTGAGGAAGATGTGGTTGAAGCAAAGGGTTCTTCCTTTACCAAGTGCAACGTTATGCGTGAGACCAGCGGAAAAGGCAACCTGGGACGGGGACGGGGAATGGAACCAACTAGTAGCCGATGCTGAAAGAACATGTCAACTATATATTACTCAAAAGACTATAAATGGCACGAAAGCATTCTTCACCACTCGCCTCTTTCCACAACCAGAACTACTTTAAACAAGAACGACAACTCTATTCCTGTTTGATTGCAATGGTACTCACGAAATATACGGTGAACAGCTGGTAACAATTACGTTAGAATGTGTCTTTAACAAAAAAGCTTTCCTCCTTCTTTTAGTTGTATCAAACCGTTTAGTTCTTTAAAATAAACAAGTGAAAACAAAAACAGCAATACAATGTGCTTCGGTGATATCAGAGACCATATATTATATGGTCTCTGGTGATATTAAGTTCCATCGAAATCAAACAGGAATAGAGTTATCGTTCTTGTTTAAAGTAGTTCTGATGTTCATGCGCCAATATGAAATCCTTCCAGAGGGGCACGAGCCGCTATTCGGCTTGTCCCGGAATAACACGAGTTGCTCACGAATGGAGTCTTCTTGGACGTTACGGAAAGGGGCGAGTGGTGACGAATGGATGCTTGTCATGTGCGAAAAAACGACAAACCAATCAGCACGGGCGTAATGAATGCGGTGCTTTGCTAAAAATAATCCAGAATACATAAATCGTGTATGGCATTATGTCATTGTTTAAAAAATCATGAAAAATATATCTCGTCATATTGAAAGTACAAAGAACGTACCTAACAGGATTTTGCTGCCTATTATGAAGCTTTTATAAGAATCATGCAATTAACGGATTCTCATGGGTCCAGTTGACAGTGTATTTGACCATCTTACGGGCTTCTTTTGGCGATTGTACGTGCGCTTCCCAACATTTTAGGAAGTTATAAATCGCTTCGAGTTTCAAAACAATTATATTATAGATATATAATCAACTTCACTCTTCAACACTGGGCTTATATCTCGCATTTCTGGGGATAATTTAGTACGACTATTTTAGGTTATTCATATTCTTTCAGCGTATTCATTTAATATTCTACTTTGGGATTTAATGGAGCTGAATTTGTTTTATTTTATTTGCATTTTCAATAAAATAAAATCCCATATGTGATTCTTAAACTCTATTTTGAAACATATATTTGGATATGTAAGGTGAACAGCTGGTTATAATTAAGTTAGAAAATCTGTTCTCCTTCTTTTAGTTGCATCAAAGGGATTTACTTCATTAAAAGAAATGAATAACCCTCCAACAACCCACCCCAGCATACGATTTACAAGTGTTTCGGTGATATTAAGTACCATCAGAATCAAACAGGGATATAGTTATCGTTCTTGTTTAAAGTAGCTCTGATGTTCATACGCCAATATGAAATCGAGGGGCACGAGTCGCTATTCGGCTTGTCCCGGAATAACACAAGAGGGTCAAGAATGTCTGTAAGGTAGGCGTCACGCCAAAGACCCGAGTTTGATTTCCCATCTGGGTACAATGTGTGAAGCCCATTTCTGGTTTCCCCCACCGTGATATTGCTGGAATATTGCTAAAAGCGGCGTAAAACTATACTCACTCACTCACTATAAGGTAGGTACATAACATTCCATCCTATGCATATGATATGCCTTCGACACAGTGATTGTAATTTTCACTCTCCCAAACCCCCTAGGACCGCCTCCGTGATGTAGTAGTTAGAGCGTCCGCCCGGAGAGCGGAAGGTCGCTGGTTCGATCCCTGACCGCGTCATACCAAAAAGACGTTAAAATATGGTACTTGTTGGTCCCTGCCTGGCGCTCGGCATTAATGGGTACAGCAAGGACTGGTCGGCTCGGAGTCAGTATAATGTATCTGAGTGGGGTATTCATGCTTCACTGCCGCATGGTATCTCAGTGAGCTAGCACTATAAAACCAGCTTAAGTCTGTGTTAGTACAAGCAGCCGCACATACACATACACATGCATGCACGTCGTCATATGAGCGAAATATTCTCAAGCACGACGTAAAACCCAATTTCACCTCACCTCACCTCACCTCACCAAAACCCCTAGCGTCAGAACTTACATCTCATCCTATGTTACCAATGCTAGTGAGTGGGCGAGTTTGGTTTTACGCCGCTTTTAGCAATATTCCAGCAATATCACGGTGGTGGACACCAGAAATGGGCTTCACACATTGTACCCAGTTGTGGAATCGAACCCGGGCCTTCAGAATGACGACCGAACGCCTTAACAACTAGACTACTTCACCACCCCTACCAATGATAGTACAGGTAAAACGTGATACATACCTGATATCCCCAGCACCAAAACACAGATGAAGTACCGGATCATCATCTCAGGATACGACAGAGGACTATGGTCAGTGGTATGAATCTGACTATCTGTTGAAAATCAACTGATGCAGCGTCATTTAAAGAGAGATGCCATCGATCCACTTAACTTACACGTGTACATATGGTGTCCTATTATGCCATCGCGTGGCGCGTAAAAAAAGAACTACGTCGTGGTCGACGTAGTCTTTGTTATGCGACGTCGTGGGCGACGTCGCCCACGACGTAGTTCTTTTTTGACGCGACACGCGATGGCAATTATAGGACACCATATGTACATACGCGTTCCTGGTGTTAACCGGATTTATGGCCCGTATTGTTGTGTAAATCGCAGTTCCGGAAACATAAAACCATAACTTTTCACCAAGCAATTTATGACCAGAGGGCAATTAAATATATCCCTAATTTGTGAGTGAGTGATTGAGTTTAGTTTGGACCAGACAGTGAAGTGATCAACAACATGAACCTCGATCTGCGCAAATGGGAACCGATGACATGTGTCAACCAAGCCAGCGAGTCTGACCACCCGATCCCGTTAGTCGCCTCTTACGACAAGCATGGGTTACTGAAGGTACATTCTAACCTCCACGGGTCTCCTAATTTGTGAAATTCAAGATCTAGTTTATAATGTAATGCAATATGAAAACATATTTGAAGCACTGTAAATCAATATCAAGACAGACCAAGCATGTATGGTATTTCACGAAAAGGACAACCATTTCCTGAGGATCTGGGTTTGGAAATGGCTTTAATCTTGTGGAGATACAAACATAATCCTAGAAATATGATTGTAAAAGATAGATATTCAGACTGTTGAAACAATATGAAAAAGTCTCCCACTAAGAAACGCATAAGCCATTTTTAGAATAATTTATTGCGTTAGTTTAGGAGCAATTATTTCACATAATTTCAGTGGTAAAAAGGTGAAACTTCACATGCCTATAGACAAAGAGTTCGCCAACACAACAGCAGCCTGTATTGTTGTGTGTCTGTTTACTTGAGTCCACAACAGGGTGTCACAGTCAGTTCTTTATATGGCCACCATTGGCAGCAATTACTGCCCGGCACCGTCTCGGCATAAAGTTGATGAAGTCGATGAATTTCTCCGACGGTCTATCTCGCCGGTGAAGAAGAAATCGTGATTCATCACTGAACCAGACTCGCCTCGAGTTTCTAAGGTTCCAGTTCCGGACTCTCCGACACCACCGCAAGCGACTGCGCCGATGGCATCTCAAAACAGAGGTGATAAATAGAGAATCTCACACGAATGTCTTTTGATATCAAATATATCACCACGAGTTGATAAAGTAACAAATATCCGAGGCTTGCCGAGGATATTTTTACTTTTATCAACGAGTGTTGATATATTTGATATCAGAAGACACGAGGGTGAGATTCTATTTATCATCCATAATCACTCTTTGTTAGTTTTCAATGAAAAATGTACATCTCTGAACACAGTACTGCCATTAGATTTATAGTTCAGCGATGTCATAGCATTGTGACGTCATCAAGTTCATGACGCCATAGCATTGTCAGGGTATGGTGCAAAATCTACTGTCAAAACGATATCTCCTAGGAGATATCGTCTGATCTCACAAAAGCGATATCTCCTGTGGAACACAGTTTTGGATGATAAATGGCCTTCTTGGTCGAATCCCTAGTTCGTGCAATCGATTCCTGACAGTTCTTCTCAAACCAGAGATGTGTTGTGCAGACGATGACGCAAGTGAGCTACGGTCATGGGCTTGGATGGTAACTCTTGGACTGCCGCTACTCGGGCGATCTTGGGGGAAAATGGTTTGCAGCAAAAGATCCCAAGGGCGAGATATGGTGCTCTGATGAACGTTGAAATGTCAGGCAACTGCAAACTGCGACTCCCCAGCTTCAAGGCGGCCTATGGCGATGTTTCGATTGGCGACACTCAGTCGTGCCATGATGATTTCTTTTCCAGGCAAAAACGACTGACAAAATTAGACACACCATTTGACTTATTATAGTGATCGATAAGCATTTCCGCTTACTTGCACGTGCATTTTGCTTTCAATGTTTTCTTGATGATGTCTTGGCGAATATTTCTTCAAACGTTTCTAAAACAACGGAAAAAGTTAGAATTCCCGCGTTCTAGCGCCGAATCTGTTAAAGGACACATGCAACGTAAAACACAACTTCAGATACCATTCGGTATGGACCTACAGTAACACATTATCAAAATTGGAAATTCAACTTAGAAAGGTGAAAAAAAACGCCATGAAAAAAAACCCCGCGAAATCGGAGGTTTATATGATTCACTAAATTTACCCCATCTGGGGTGAAAAGTGGTTCGCTTCACTGCGCTCATGGCGCATGCGCAGTAAATAGGTTTGCGCAGCTTGATGAGGGGATTCCCGGATCATAAGGTCGTGAGCAGGACTAGTCTAATCTTGGTTGTGTAGACAAACAACAAATAGTAAATAATCTACTCGTTACATAAAAGAACCTTGTTGAGGATCTAGATCTACTCAGCTATGTGTCAACCAGTCAGGCGTTCGACATTTCAAGACGGAAAACCTTCGCTGGCGGTGATCACTCGGAGTAGGCTTTGATGTGAGCTATTTTTCTAATGATTTAACTTCTGTTGATCTTTCACAGGCGCTATCTTTATTTGTTATGACAGCAGATTACCGATTTAACTGTTTATATAATTACATTTGTCTATTTCACCACACGTTCTTCTTACCGAGTCACTTTCTCAGTTCGATACTTAAAAGCAACGTCATTATTTAACATTGTCAGAATTTCTAACCGTGATATAGATATGCCTCTGTCATAGACAAAACTCAATGTATGTTTTATGGACACCTATGTGTCTGCCTGCCAGTCTGCTAATGACAATATGCAATATACAACTTTGATCACTGACCTGCAATTTGAACTTAACACCTATCAGGCTATACACCATAAACATAACGCATTGATTTATGGCTCGTGCGCCCGAGTTCTGTCTCTGTCACATTATGTAATTACACAGACAGGCAGGTGTGATAATTTGTGCACATGGCATGTTATGATGTCTGTTGATTTGAAAATGTTATACACAAAAATGAGCATGTATTTACAAAACCGAACATCTCTATAACCACACAAAGAGCCCTGAGAATATCGGCAACGAACCAGCCAATGAAAGCCTTCGTTACACTTAAGTGCACGCCCACCCGCTCTGACTGGGTTCGGTATCCTGGGTGCTTCGTTTCGAGGGATGTAAACCCAAGTACAAAATATTGCACTTTTGATTTGCGATTGTACGCTTCTAATTTTGTTTATTTGTATTTTCATAATCAGCAATGTATATTATATGTCACGAATAAGTGATAATTGTGTTTTAATTATGTTTTTTTTGGGGGGGTGCTTGTGGCCTTAACAATCACACAAAGGAGACGTTTTTTTTAATAAAAAAAAGTATATTTGTATTGTTTTTGCCGCAGCTATACGAGTCCAATATTCTCAAAATCACCTATGCGTTTCTTTATTGGTATATAGGTCGATGAAATGTACCCCTTTGTTGAACCACGGAAAACATAAATGGCGCTGACAAGGCTGAAAACAGACTCTGGGAAACCAAGATTCGAACCCATCATAGGTTTGTATTGCCTTAATTAACAGTGCACATAAGCTATGCTCTCCTCTCATCAAAAATCGTGTTATTTTCCAAGGTAAAAATCATGTCCAGTGAACCTTGTTATATGTGGTTCCTGTTCAATTTTGTATCATACGGCGTAGAATTAATGAAACAGATGCACTTTTATGATCATAACAGATCAAATGTAACAGGATATTCACTTTCTAAAACACTCTCGCGTGATAACCTCTATAAAGTAGACACGCGCGAAGCAGCTGCTACTGAAGTAATCACGAAAATAGAAATAAAATGGTTTGGGGAGTTTATTTCGTAGTTTTGAACACAACTAAAGTTTGATTGTTAAATATTCTATGGTTATCGTTGGTTCTCAACTTCTGTTTTTAACACTTTTTGTAAAATAGATGAGTTTATAGGAGAGCAAATCGTGTTGTATTTCCTCTTGAAATTTCATCAAGGTCAAAATGTACGTTTCTGATGCAAGCTGTAGTATGCAAATGAGATGAAATGTCCATAGGTCTGCGTACGTAATATATTTTATAAAAAACGTCATATACGTGTGCCATTCATCGTGTATTTAATTTTATCCTAATTGATATAAAATTAAACGATTTTCTCATTACATTTTTCATGCCTGTACTCTTGTAGAAAGTTCACTACTTTTACGAGTTCATTCACAGCTTTGATTGTCAATTGCACAATCGCTATGTCAACGCACGTGCAAATTATCTTCCCGCCTAAATACTGCTAGCTGATGCAGGTGATGCGACACCACAACAGATAGTCTCCAGCCTGGAGCTCTTTTGAGGAGTCAGGTCAAGTCTGTATCGGCAGTGAGCAAAGAAGGTTCCCCAGACGCTCCAAGCAGCCACTAAGATCAAGTTGGAAGGTGAATGGTGCAAGTCAGAGATGGATGAGGACTTTGTCATAGTTGATGATGTTTATGGTGTCAGTAGCATCGTTTGGAACTTTTGAAGTCTGAAGAGACTGTGTAAAAGCTGAACTGTGCTCATGGATGGAACTGTCAAAGTGTGTCCAAGACTATTCTACCAGCTATACATCATCCACTCCTATGGGCAGAAGTCTCCCCTGAACGTGTTTGAGATGATCAAGAGCAGTCGAACAAGGACGCCTACTAGGTTTAGCTTGACGAAGGACTTCAGTCGACAAAGAGAAGACAAGCCCAGGGTCCCGTTCCTCAAAGCGATCGTACGTAGCGCTACGATTGTCGTAAGTCTATGTTAAAGTATGGGAGTTACGATCATCACAGCGCTACGATCGTTTTGAGGAACGGGGCCCAGGACGACAACACCAATATCTACAGGCTTGGTTTGGAGTACATCATGTGTGACAGAGACATTCAGTCATACCTGTCAGCATGTGGTGCTGTTTTTGCGGGAACACTTTGAACAATATTTCTCAGGATAATTACTGAGTAAAGTTCAGTATCTTGCGTTTATATGATATTCAGTTGAGATTGATAGGTGTTGATCATTGTATTGTAATAAATGCATGAAAATTGTTCTGGTTCTCGTCTTTGTAAATACTTACGTGAATGGTACTTAATAATTGGTCTTATTTCTATCTAATAAGGTTAATCAAAGTAAGTAAGTGAGTCAGTTTAGTTTTAAGCGTCACTCAGCAAATATTCCAGCTATATGGCGGCGGTCTGTAAATAATCGAGTATGGACCAGACAACACAGTGATCAACAGCATGGGCATCGATCTGCACAACTGGGAACCGATGACATTTAGCGAGCCTTACCACCAGATCCTGTTAGTCGCCTCTTACGACAAGCATGGGTTACTGAAGATCAATATTCTAACCCTGGCCTACACGGGTAGGTTAATCAAAGATGTTAATGATCTAGCTCTCAATCAGTTACGGCTTGCTGCACACAGTTGCCACACAGGGACATAAGAAAACACTCGCGGGCCACACAGGGAATCTTGACCCATATCAATGAATTTGACAAGTGCCACAGAGGGAATAAACCATTTGTTACCATCCATTGTTGATAGTGAAGTACGTTATAACATGTTTCTAGATTTGTTGATAATATGCATTTTTGTTATTGTTTTACCTGTAAAATGGTGTTTTGGATGATGATTAGGACTAAATTAAAAAGGCCTAGATGGGAATTTTTTTTATTTTAATATTTGTTGAAACTACCTACTTTGATGAAGTAATAAACAAATAAAAAGGAGACAAAGTCATCAACATCCCCCGCAATGGTAAAATACTATTCATGAATATGTCAACTAGTTATGACTATGTCAAATGTTACATTGTTCTTCACATTGAAAACATACATATGTAAACTATTCACATACTAACATGCTTGTATCAACAACAGACTACCTGAGTGCTTCCACGGTTTGATGTACCTCAGTAATGTTGATACTGTAATACACATATCACTTGGATTCACATTTTACATTTTTTAAATTTTGAAAAACAAATACAGTGACTATGGACATATATTACAAAGGTTTAGAAATCTTAATTTTTAGTATTACCCCGTGGCCCGGCCTGGCCCGGCCTGGCCCGTCTTTCCTTGGCCCGACTTTTAGGCCATCCCGAAATCTTATCGTTTTCCTCGAGTGCCTTATAAAGTGCATTCACGAACTTATCTAATCTGAGGCAACTAGTCTTCGTTATAAGGCACAGCATCGGGCAGTGTGACAAGTCGGATGTTTTGTAACACCGACCTCAGAAAAAGAGTCCAGCTATATGACAGTTGTCTGTTATGCCTCTATTCCACACAGAACACAAATCGCCACGAATTGACAAACTGACAAAACTAATTCGTATATAGACGTAGTCAGTTCTTGCAATTCATCAGCAATTGGAAATTCGTGGCAATCGTTCAAAATTTTGGTCATGAACTCCCGATTTAAAACATATCGTAGTTAATTCATAACAAATTCGTAATGCATTCATAGCCATTGTAACTGAATCGTAATCGATTCGTAGGTATTCTTAACTCATTCGTCAATTCGTGGCTTGACCACGAAGCGGCTACGAATCTGTCACGAGTCCCACAAATACACGGCGAAGCAGGTACGACGCAACTATCTACGAATCAGCTACGATTACCGGCAAATCAGGTGTATAAGGAGATTAACACTGACGTCAGGTCATCAGCTGCTGACGATTGTGCCACGAAATCCACGAATCAGCAAGATGTCACACACTGCCGGCAAGGGCACGGGGGAAAGTTGAGAAGCGGGGAAGAAGGCGCGCGCGAGCACGCTCGCACACACACACACACACACGCACACAAAGGATATGGACCAGATTCCAGTTCCTGATGCCCCACATCGGACATGTCACACACAGTCCAGAGCTTCCGGGGTGGCGCCACTGCTAGCTAAGGTGAGGAGTTCTGGGAAGAGGGGTGCCAGTATGCAGTGACCACCACACTGTCCACCACCACTCCCGGGAGCTCGACTATGACTGTGTCCAGCGCCAGGGGAGCCAGGGCAGAGTGATGGGGGCCGAAAACCCAGAGCTGCACACCTGCAAGAAGTCTGTCTCACAGTCCCTGAACCACATTATTTCCCCAATGCTTAGCCCTCCTTGCAGTGCTGAAGCCCTAAATGAAGCAAGTCTAGATTTCCTCAGGTTCCTGTGGCTCCAATGCAATTGATATTAGTCCCTGAATCTCTGGTCTCAGTGGGGCTCCTTTTCAATTTAAATTGGTTTATTTGCTACTATCAAAATTATATATATTCAGGGACTAAACGTTAGTCTAACCTGCAAGGACCGCCAGGAGAAGCTGAAAGCGCCTGATGTGCCTTAGGTCACCCGCCCAGATAGGTTAATGTTCATGGAGTGCCTCGGGCATGCAGGGAACCTGATCCTCAGTAAGTTGTGGAGGATGACTTTTGTCTCAACCAGTAGCCGCACCACATCAGGTCCTTGTTCCAGGGTGCCCAGGAAGCAACTCCATCTGTTGGCCACTATTCCAAACCAGCACACGTCTGCCCCTGGATAATCTGTAGTTGGCCACCAGCATGTCATTGCCCGGACCCCTAATGCCATAGTGTTTCATGAGGAAAGTCCTCAGGGGAAAAGCATCATCCCCCAGGATGTAGTAGGGCGTGTCTCTGTCATCTTTGGGCAGGGAATCACTGTCAGGGAAGTTTATGTTGTCATCAATGCACTCTTTTTGAGTTCTGAAGCACCAAACAGCTGTGCATCGGATTCATGACCTTATTTCCAGTTGAGGCACATTGAACAGCAATTGACAGCAGTATGCGTACTGAGGCTCATGGGGCGGCCCTCGAGATGTCACATGGCCAGAAACTAGTGATGAGTGCATGTCAATATTACATTTATGTGAGTGAGTCAGTTGGGTTCCAGCTATATAGCAATATTCCAGCAATATCGACAGCTGGACCAGACAATCCAGTCATCAAGGCTTGAGCATCGATCCCATGTGGGAACCGATGACATGTGTCGCAAGTCAGATGAGAAACTGACCACTTTTAACCAGTAGGCTACCCCTTCACCACATTTATGCTTTAATGATATAAACCATTCTGAAACCTATTCTACCCGGACTCTTATCATTCACATATCTAGGGACATGTGCATGTCAATATTACATTTATGTGAGTGAGTCAGTTGGCTCAAAACTTTTTGATAGCCTTCTTGTATATTTCTTAAATATGTGTAAAAAAGCGCACACACAATCTCCAAAACAAGCCTGCAAGATCATCAGAAATACACTCAGTTGGACCCATGGGAGCCGTTCTGTAAACCAACGCACGTGCGTGTATTTGAATCTCTCACCGTCCATGGTATTATCCTTACTAAAAACTACACGAGGCAAATGACATAATGCCAGAAACGATCTAAGTACTTGAGATTATTTTTATCAAAGCACCGCACTCATTACAAGTGATCTGATTTTAACAAGCATCGAGAGGGGCGAATCTTCTAGGAGTTTGCTGAAAGTGGCAAGTGGAGATGAATGGTTCTAACCACTGAAGTCAGTACATGATTATAAGCTGACGACACAATATCATCACAAAATACAGTTCTCAATCAATATTTTAATGCCTTGTTTCCATTATTTACAGGTAACTATGAATACAACAGAACAATAAATAACAGCTTCTATTATCATAAAAGTATACACAATCAAATGTCATGATTCTTCAAGAGTTCTGACAAATTTCCAGAACAAAAAACATTTGGTACCATAATTATTTTTTTCAGTGATTCTCCAGTTATTGTGATCAGTATAAATACCTGTGCTCCACACAATAGAGACAATTCAGTCATGAAGCATAGTGAATAAAGTTTTAACCTCGGTTGATATCTCCTGCTGTACAAATCTGCTGTCAAGATGTCGCAAAATATATACAGATCAAGTGCGGCACAATGTTGATCAGTTGGAACCCTGTATATTGAATGCTGTTCATTCCTCACGCACACAAATGAAAGCAGAAGTCAGCTGTGAAATATGGATGGAATAAAGGTTAAGAGCGAGTCAGTGTTACAGTAATATGACGTTGTCTTACTAATGCTGTAGTGAAGTGAGTGAGTGAGTGAGTATAGTTTTATGCCATTATTAGCAATATTCCACAAATCATGGTTGGGACACCAGAAATGGGCTCCACACCCATGTAGGGAATCCAACCTGGGTCTTCAGCACAACAAGCAAACACTTTGACCACTAGACTACCCAACTATCCCTCTTAATGTCTGAGGAATGTGATACACCTTAGACAGAGTAACCGCTCTGAATACCTAGTTTTTAACATAATCAAAGATTCCCCTCCCAAAGTGAGACCAGGAGAAGCCTAATGTTACATTTGTGGCACAATGAACTTGGGTAAGTTGCAAAGTCTGTATGGTGTCTTAAAGCAGAGATGACAGTGTGAGCTCACTCACTCACAAGTCTGTACGGTGTCTTAGAGCAGAGATGACAGTGTAAGCTCACTCACTCACAAGTCTGTATGGTGTCTTAAAGCAGAGATGACAGTGTAAGCTCACTCACTCACTCACAAGTCTGTACAGTGACTTAAAGCAGAGATCACAGTGTAAGCTCACTCACTCACTCACAAGTCTGAATGGTGTCTTAAAGCAGAGATGACAGTGTAAGCTCACTCACTCACTCACTCACAAGTCTGTATGGTGTCTTAATGACACTGATGACAGAGTGAGTATCAAGGTGGCACAGCGGATCAGCAATCCCATGACTATTCCTGTTGTATTATCAGTGTGTTCATTCATACTCTACCAATGTTCATTCATTCACAGCAATGTTCCCCTCCATATTGTACATTGTAAAGCTTCCATCATATCGTGTTAATCTCTCCCATGATGTTGACCGATCGATCCTTGTACTTCTTCGATATCTCACCTTCCATCTACAAAACAAAAGAATATCTTAAAAAGACATATTGTGTTTGTTTATCACCGTATAGCAATATTCCAGCTAGATTAAACTCACTATGTCAATCACTGGATTGTCTGGTCCAGGATTGATAATTTACAGACTACTATCATGCTCCAGTCTTTTTCCTAGGGGCGGGTGATAATAACGGTTAACCGGTATATTGCAATTCGAACTTCACAATACGATATATTGCGGTACACTTTTCACGAACCGGTTCATCCGATACGATCAGCAAATTCTGTGACCATGCTCAGTAACTTACGTGCAGTAGTCAAAAATAAGATTAACATGTGTATATCCTTTAAATTATTATACATTGTTAGTTTTGAGAATTTGTAAGGTTTTTCTCAGTTTGAAAAAATGAATTCCTTTTCAAAGAAAAAACAGTTGTTAAGCAACATCTTGTATTGATTGTATTGTCTTGCCTATACAACGAATAGTGTCAATGTATAATTATAGGATATCTGTATAGTGCACATGTCCACGCAACTTGTACATGCTCAAGGCGCTACTTCATGTTTGTCCTCAGCACTCCTGTCAGTCAAGCTCTGTACCTGTATAATGGGCCGGTGGCCGGTGAATAAAACATCACAATAACTCACCTGTTTCTGCATGACCTTTGTCTTGCTGATCAGGACGTCCAGTTTGGGTTCCAGCTGACCCTGTTCCTCCAACGCTTCCTTCCGCTTCACAACCATCTCCTTCTCATAGAACACCATCTTGTCCGCCAGGGTGAGGGTCTGCTTCAGCGAGTCCTTCAGTCTCTCCACATATCTGAGCAGGGCAAGTATGTGAGCATAGGTTAAAGGCACAATGTCACACCACATTTCTCTAAAAATACATAATGCATTTCTCTCAATGAAACTATCAGCCCTCAGGGAAGCTGACATATAATTTATTCCCAAAATAATTACATATTTAGATTACAATATTAAATGAAAAAGTTTGATTGAATTAATGCATAAATGCAACGTTGCATTAAATCAACGCTCCCACCCTCTATCGGCCAGACATTACTTCAAACAAACCCCACAGAGTTTTGTCCCTTGGAGGGCGCTTTACAAATATCCTATAACCCAACTTGTGATTGAGGCCAGTTTGGCAAACACAGATAACACATGTGACAGTTTCCGATGTACAGAGCAATCGTTTACATTCCATATATGGCAAGTGTCATGTGTTTGGAATCTGTTTGCCTGAAAGTTTCAATTATCAATTTCAGGCAAGTCGTAAGGGATAATAATGTATCAATAGGAAGCTCAATTGTGTGCATATGCCCAATATATATAATATAGGCCAAACTAGTGTTGAAAATGTGTGACATTGTGCCTTTAAGCTACTTTGAGACACATTTCATTAATATTTCACAGGGAACTAGAGAAAGGAGGCAGTGGGTGAGCCCAGGTTTACGCCATTATGAGCAATATTCCATCAATATTCCACAGGGAACTACCGAAAGGAGAGAGTGTGTGACTATCATTTTCATCTGCTTTTATTAATACTCAAGCAATGTGCCACAGACAATGAGTATGTTGTTTAATACAGCAATATTCCAGCTATATGGCAGCAGTCTGTAAATACGTCTGGACCAGACAATCCAGTCATCAACAGCATGAGCATCGAACTACACAACTGGGAAATGATGACGTGTCAGCCAAGTCAGTGAGCCTGACCCCCGATCCCCGATCCCATTAGTCACCTCTTACGACAAGTATGGCTTGCTTAAGACCAATTGTAACTGAAATCTTCACTGGCAGCACAGCGAAATCTTCACTGGTGCCACAGAGAATGTGAGATAAGATGGACTCAATGAGTATTGTTGCTGCATTCCAGTGTTACAGGTACAATCTACTTTGGGCAGCAATTTCACGGAAGAGTGACAGTAGAGTAATATCTTAACTGCACTCCAACCAACCCAAAGTGCCTTACAATATTCTACCTTCATGAACATGAAAACACATCTTGTGTCATGTGCAGTTGGTACACTTTTGAGAGTAAGAAAGCAAGTTAATTATCTGCCCTTGGTTAAAAATCTGGAAAATACCTTACCGAGGGTTTCCACGGATACAGGTCATACAACAGTGAGGGAGCATCACCTCATCAAAGTGACACTTACCTGGGAGAATTCCTAATCAACAACAGGTGCTGCATCTGTACAGAGGTCAACTTCTCCAATATGGCTTTGACATTATTCAACATGTCCTTGACCTTGGAAGCATCAATCTGTATGGCAGACGGCGCAGACTGGAACTGACTCCCAGCTAACACATCCTCCTCCGACCCCATGTCTGACAACCTCTGAGTGAGGAAGGCTTCCAACTAAACAACAACAAGTTTCATATCATGGATTTATCCTGGATACTCTATCAAGTACCTCTATCAGCAAAATTGGAAACAATTATCAGGGATTTACAGGACAGGAATTCCTGCATCCTATACGTATAAAAATTGACAATGGATGCAAGAAAATTTATTAGTGCATCCACAGGGACTCCAGAAAAAGTCCAAATACTTTTTTGTAAAAATTCCAATGTGACCCTCCCAGTGACCCTCAAATACAAGACTCCCTGAATTATCATACTGGTATTTTCAAGTTCACATTGATATATGAATTCAGAGGTATTTAACATTGCAATCGAGACTGCATTCAATGCAAAACTAAGCATTAAATCTTGATGGTCCTTATAGGGGTAAACATGATATATGTATGCTGAGCAAATAAAGAAAGGGATCATGAACATGATGATATATTTGGGGACAGATTCTTGTAGTGAAGATTCAGCACAAAACTTAAGAAAAATATCCCCTAATGTATATAAGATTGCCAACAGTCTTGTTCAGTGTATATCCTGCTCTTTCTACATCATGTGATCATCCAACAATGAGAAGAAACTGATTCTAAAGTTACCTCTAACAGGTCGTTGATAAATTCGTTCCTTGTGTCAGGGTTGTCCAGAACAGACAGGGCATCTTTCCCTCTTGCTACACCATCACCTGTGAGGGAGTGAATATAGTTTTACAACGCTTTTAGCAATATTCCAGCAATATCAACATCTAGGGACACCAGAAATGGGCTTCACACATTGTACCCACGTGGGGATTCAAACCCAGGTGTTTGGTGTGATGAGCAAATGCTTTAACCACTAGACTACCCCACCGCCCTGCCATCAAAGAACATCAATTCACTAGACTTCAGAAATACAGGTAACTACAGTTGTAACAAATTCAAAGGGACCACTTATTTTAGTTCGCTACAACCATAGTTTGTGTTCAACTAAAATTTTCAGTAAGAGGCCTTGAAAAACAATTTTTCATTATATCCGTTAGTTAATTATGAACGTGTTCATTGTAGCAAAGCTTATTGTATCCTCATTAATATTTAATTGAATTACCTGTGTTAGAGATTTGCCAGTCCTTTTTCAGATGTTGTAAAAATACAAAATGAATTCCAATACAAGGAATATCTCGGTCGAATAACTTTTGTTTCAAAATGTACAGCAAATTGACATGATGACATTTGATCGGAGGTGAGGATATTAGATTTGAAAATGCATTTAATTTAGATGCTCGATATTTGGGCATCCCAAAGTTAACATTACTGACTAAACCACAGCTTCAACCAGGAGTTCTGGCAAAAAGTTACAAATGCAATATTTAGCAACAGATGACTGAATGCAGTTTTCAGAAAGTTTTAGAGTTAAACACACACACACACACACACACACACCCACTAATCTCCATGACGTGTTATTACAAGGCTGGTGCCTGATGGAAGACGAAATACAGAGACCTAGAACGTCGTCTTCAAGAACTGAGACACCAGCTTCAAAATGGAATGTTAACTATTAGACAATTTGCTTATTCTCATCTTTCACATCTTTAAAAAATGTGTACATATTTTGTAATATAATTATTTATAATTCCTGTAAAATGTAGCATGTTGTAACATGGATAAGGCAAATCTGTCTGTATAGTCCCTTGTTACCCCTCGTGGCTTACGCCTTCTATGTATTTTATATTTTAATGTATATATACACAGTGAACCGAGACTGAAATAAAACAGTATCTTTATACATATATTTGCCTCATTTTCTCATTAGGTGTGCTCTCATCCACATAATCCGGATTATCTTCTTCTAACAACACGTAGACCCTTCCCTGTCTGTATAATCCCATGTTAATTGCTAAATTATCAAAACAGACGGGACTTCAACCTTTTTTCTTCACTCATCCGTGAGTTTTGGACCAAAGGTCAACATCCTGAGCCCTAACCTTTAGAAACGTGCCAAAATGAGAGGCATCAGAAATGTGTTACTTATCACACATACATGTGAACGCAAATTGTCTGAGCCATCCGTCGTTTGTATTACACATTATCAATGTTTAAAATTTTTTAAACCTATAATAGTGCCAATGTACATCTCTGAGGTGGATCTTAGACGCTCTACAAACATGTGACCATTATTTACCTGCAGTATCCACTGTGGCGTCCTTAGCTCCTTCGTCAACCAAGTCACCGTAGTCAATACCATTATCATCATCCCCCCTGCAGAGATGGAGGAATATTACTGGACACTTGTAAAGATAGGCTGTCATATTTCATGCTGAATTTATACACTGAATATTATCATGTGCCTTAACATGTGATAATTACCTTGAGCTCAGTTTCTGCTCCGCCGCTTTCCACGGTGATGTCAGTGATGTCAAGGTTTATATCATCACCAAAGTCTATCTGCTCTTCTTCGCCTCCCCAGTCAATCTGACACAGAGACATGGTGTAGACCATAGTCCAGACAACAGAACGCAATTTGCATGTGTGATTGAAATTAAGGATGACAGTGACAGTACCTATGTACCTGCAAAGGAAATCTTGGTACACAACAGATTGCTAACGGACTGCATACATGAATTGACAAATAAAGATTGGTTGGTTGTTGTTTAACGTAGCACTCAGCAGTATTCAAGAAATATGGCAGCAGTCAGTAAATAATTAAGTCTGGACTTGCTCCGTACTTGCTTCGGCAGGTATTTGTGGGATTCATGACAGATTCAGAGCCGATTCGTGGTCAAGCAACAAGTGAGTGAGTGAGTGAGTTTAGTTTTACGCCACAATATTCCAGCTATATGGCGTTGGTCTGTGAATAATCAAGTCAAGACCAGACAATCCAGTGATCTTCGCAACTGGGATATGATGACATGTGTCAACAAAGTCAGCGATTTTTAACACCTGATTCCGTTAATCGCCTCTTATGACAAGCATGGTTATTGAAGACCAATTCTATCCAGGATCTTATCGGGTAGACAAATATAGAGGCTCAAACGGTTCACAACTGACTAATCATTTAAGAGATAGATGTATGATGGAATGAAAGTTCTGAGAGATCTAAGTGCATGTTCTTTGTTTAAACATATGAAGCGTTTAACTAAAAGTTTCCGTGATTTTAAATCACAAACTGTCAACACAGACGACCTAAAACAACATTGTCCAAGTGTGATTTATTTAAGGAAGAAAGAATGGATACTGAATGGAAAACATTAAAAACTTTCAAGAAAACAAAGGTTTAGAGACAGTAGACAGTTGCTGGCACTGAAAGATCAAAATTTACACTGTGGTATATATGTGTTGATAAGTATGGGGGTGCCATGGAGAATGTTTTCTCTACAATATTTTATCACAATCCCGACTCTCGGACTACCAAATCAGTAAACAACAAAAAATCTTTGGTGATTTTAAAACACTCTTTTTGATAAACTGTCAACAGAGACAATAGCCATCTTACTAGCTTCTCAAACAAAATTGTATAAGTGAGATTTGAAAAGCATAAAGACACATCACAACTAAATGGAAAAGAAAACCCTTAATGACCAAATCAATAAACACATCCTTACATCTCCTGCCTCCTCAACAACTTCCTGTTCATCAGTTGTGTCAATCTGTATATTTGTGTCTTCAACCCTGTCAGGAGCACTTCCTGTACGCCACTGGTACGTCGTCACATCACCATGAGATACGACAAACTTCAGAAACTGGAGGGATTCAGATTCAAACTTGTTGCTGAAATCACAACACAGGTTTTGAAGTCATCCTTTCCAGAGAAGAAAATGATTTTACAAAAATGCTGCTTAGATTTATGTCTCTAATACAAAAATAAGCATGTTCTGTTGATGTTGTTGATGATGCAAGACAAGTTAAGGAGATAACCCTGTTTTCCTTTAAATTCACTCATTTGAAAGGTAAGACACTAGGTTCCAAATATAATTATACCTCACATTTGAAACTAGGGTTGTAATGATGCATCAAACTATCAATGGATTGTAATTGTTCAGTCTCCAATAGCAATTAATTGATGGCAGAAACGAAAAACTATCGATGCATCGACAGTATGGGTGACCATCGATAGTTTAGCAATTGAATTCTGCTGATAAATACGCAGCGTAAAATACAGTAAGTACCAGAATGGTTCACTTTGATTCTTCTCATTGTTTGGGTGCAGACTTGCAGTTTCACTGAGTTTATGTTTAAACTGTTTACTTGACCAGTGTTTCACGTTTCTTGTCAGTTATTAAAAGGGACTGAAACTATTTCAACTCGCTTTTATTTCATATAAACTATAGATTCATTTGGGAAATGACTTCAAATGGTACCTTTTGGTAACCTTTTTAACTTTAGTGAAATTATCTTGTCAAATTAGACATTATTGTTAAAAGGCTCACACAAAACACCAAACAAGCTGATTGGACAATACAGCTACACACTAAACACAAAACAAGCTGATTGGACAATACAGCTACACACACTAAACACAAAACAAGCTGATTGATTGGACAATACAGCTGATTGGACAATACACTAACACTAAACACCAAACAAGCTGATTGGACAATACAGCTACACCCACTAAACACAAAACAAGCTGATTGGACAATACAGCTACACCCACTAAACACAAAACAAGCTGATTGGACAATACAGCTACACCCACTAAACACCAAACAAGCTGATTGGACAATACAGCTACACCCACTAAACACCAAACAAGCTGATTGGACAATACAGCTACACCCACTAAACACCAAACAAGCTGATTGGACAATACAGCTACACACACTAAACACCAAACAAGCTGATTGGACAATACAGCTACACCCACTAAACACCAAACAAGCTGATTGGACAATACAACTGCACACATCAACCAAGTTTACCTTTTCATAACATATGATACAAAGTTTAGATAATAATCTACAGCCGATTGAAGAGACTTTGTTGTCTTTGCCATTTTCTGATATTCTGTGGGAAGATCTCTAACAAGGGCAGCTAACTCTGACTTTATCTTCTTTCCCTGAAACAAACATAATTATAAACAACAATCATCATCTATAACTCAATGCCCTGTTAAATATGGTAGAGCTCAAACAATACAATACCTATCATTTTCACACAAACAGAAAAAGAATATATTGCAGAATGATATTTAGTATATTGTGATTATCTAGAATACTGACATTTACATCCCCTGAATTTGTAGATATTCTTAATGATCATTATCATGGAATTTCCCATCACCAACACCACAAGGCAGCAGGTCATACCTCTATCCCCATCTGTTTACAGGACGCATCATACTTCCGCCTCAGTTCTGATTGGTTGCTACTGTAATCAGCCTCCTTCCTGGTACAATCCTGCAACACAACATAACATTGAAATTATAAACTGAACCTCATATGTGAAGCACCAAATTCCACACCTGCCAAGATGCTCATAATGCTACATCATTATCAACCTTGACAATGGGTCAAATGTCATGTGAAGATCCAGATTTGAATTGGTCCTCAGCAATGCTTGTCGTAAAAGGCAACTAATGGGACTGGGTGGTCAGGCTCGTGGACTTGGTTGACACGTCATCATATCCCAAATTCTTAGATCAAAGCCCAGTCACAGGACTCTCTGGTCCACACTCGATTGTTTACAGACCGCCGCCATATAGCAGGATATTGCCGAGTGCAAACAAACACATAAACATCAAATGTCATTCTCAGTTCCCTGAATGAACATAAATCAGTCATTGGATTATCTGGTCCAGACATTTTTCACAGACAAGGGCTGGAGGGCTAGCTCAGAGGGTAAAGCATTCACTCATCATGCCAAAAGTCCAGATTCCACTCCCCAGATGGGTGCAATGTGTGAAGCCTTTTCCTGGTGCCCCCTCCAGCAGCATTGCTCAAATATTGCTAAAAGCGGTGTAAATCCATACCCATCCACTCACACTATATTACAGACCAATGCTTTATATTGCTGATTAAAGCACTAAGCAACGAGGTTCAGGAGTCTTTGAATATCTACAACTCAGGGTCACCCATGTTCCACATTTAATAAAGCCCGCAACAAGACACCTGTACAGTATCTCCTGCCAAGCACAAGGAAACAATGAAAAACATGGAAAATACTCAAAGGATCCTTATTTCTAAATACACTTCACAAACAAGTGCAGTTTCACAATAACAAGTTTAAACCATCAAGGAATCTTAAAGCAGGCTAATTTGAAATTCTGAAATCATACCTTCTGAATTTGTTGACATTTTGCTATTTGTTTCTTCAGCGCAGGAATTTCATAATTAACATTCCGGGATATCATCTGTGCCACCTCCCCTGAAACAGGAAATTATGATTGTGCTAACAAATCTAAGGGGCTGAACAAAATGAAATAACACTACAATTTAGAACAAACTTTATGGATAACAACTTCTTTTTATTCATGAGTGCGACGTTTTGATACAGATTCTTGTACCGTTGTCAAGCATAATGGAACATGAAGAAGGGGGAAGTATATATATACTGGTTTCTTCCTTCCATACACTTTTTGCTAATTATACCAACCTGGATGTTATATAAGTATAATACAATTTGACAAGTGCATCTGAATACAAGTACCGGTATACATATTAGCCTTAGGCAAGGATAACAGATACATTATAGTAAATCCGCCCTGAACATACGATGATGATTGTTTTGTATTGATGTATTGATTGATTGTATTGATGGTGATGCTTACACAATGTTTGATGACGAGGATGTGTTGTGCATGATGCTTTCGTACTATGACAACAACAAATGTACATTGGGAAATAAAAATACTTAAACAAACAATTATATATATATATATACTGGTTGTAACAATGTAACAAAGAAAACAACATAATTACATTGTTACAACCAGTATATATATACTTCCCCCTTCTTCATGTTCCACTATGCTTGACAACGGTACAAGAATTTGTATCGAAACGTCGCACTCACGAATAAAAAGTTGTTATCCATAATGTTTGTTCTATATTGTACTTCCCAACTTCTAAAATGCCACTCAAAGAAGTTAACACTACAATTAACGAACTATGTTGAGTTTTTTTAACTTGTTAATTTTCCATACATGGTTATTTCTCTTCTGTTATAAATTTATATGTATTGAGACTATGACATCAATATCACCTCATGGTCATATTCACTTACCAAGATATACCCCATCTTTTTCAAACAGCTTCACTATTTCAGCCCAGTCCTGAAAATATATTGTACGATGATTCAAAATAAAGCAACAGTGACTAGTTGCTGTATACACATTGGTGATGTTACGAGTTACACATTCCTCCAAAACCTCTGTTGATCATGACACAGACAGTTTGCAATGTAATTGCTATTTTTAACCAAGCAAACAACACGGCTGGATTCACATGAGAGGGAAGCCACTGAAAGTTCAGACCAATGAGATTACAACCAACAAATGGCAACATTTCTTGTTCAAAATGTGCCAGAGTCTTGGAGCTGTCTACTCTCCACGTTGCTTCAACATCAGGCAATGGTAGGGTTTACACTAGGTTCATGCGTGGAGTAGTCATCAATGTCCTTGTACCCGTTTCATTAGCTGACTACTCATTTCGTGGCGTGAGTAGACGTAATATGATTGTGATTGCTGTGAATAATGCGGACGAAGGATATAATGCCGTATACAGGACTCCAGTGCTCGCCCAACCATCCACTTGGGCAAAAGGGAGAGAGTGACAAGTAAGGCTAGTCACCTTACTGTTTGCGTGGGAAAGGGCAAAAGGAGGTAACTCGTGGCCGAGTGTATTTTTACGTCTGCTTCGGGAACATCAAGGGATTCAAGTGTTCCACTACCATTCGCAAGGGAAAGGGAGATAAGCAAAAGATCATGAGTCATGATAAGTATAAAAATATCAATTTTACTTGAAAAATTACATAAATATCGGTAACTGCAGGGGCGGGTACAGCTTTTTGAGAAAGGGGGAATGCACACTTCATTTTCACAAGTGTTTCAATGGTCATTTAATAAACTTTCAGAGAGAGAGAGAGTGTGTGTGTAGTGCGTGGGTGCGTGCGCTCATCCAGTTAGGTTTAAGATCACTGTATACATATTCACTGTTGATGGATGAACTTAGTTATACAAAACCATGGGCATTAATGTTGCCAAAATTTGAAAGACAGTCTGGTAATAAACCTCATACAGAAAACTCGGAATAAAATCTCTAAATCAATCTCATATAAACATGATAAAGATTAAAAAGTGTTATGTGAATACAAATTTAATCTACAACAGTAAAACTGGTAGCATCTGTTTTAGCAAATCTCAGCTGTTGATCAGTGAAACTACTTCAGAATAATGACACTGCAAACACAAGCCAAATTTTAAGACCAACCTTCATTCGTTGGGAAGAATATTGACCAAAGATATTCTTCTTTCCTGATTCTGTTTCCTTCAAAAGTCCCAGGATTGTCAAACAATGGAAATAGTTGATATCTAAAGGAGAAAATTCAATGTCAAAGAGTGCTTAAACATGGTAAAGGGAACTCCTTGATAAATATTGGACTGGTATAACTGAACGTAACAATTTGAGTTAAGACATTTGTTTGTTGATTAACACCCACTCAGCAATATTCCAGCTATATGACAGCGGTCTGTAAATAATCAAGTCTGGACCACACAATCCAGTGATTGACATCATGAGCATCGACCTATGCAATTGGGATACAATGACACGTGTAAACCAAGCCATCAAGCCTGACCATCCCATTCCGTTATTTGACTCTTATGATAAACATGGGTTGCTGAGTTAGGACAGATAAAAAGGGTAACAATGTTAACTACATTCATAAATGTACTCTTTTAACTAATTTCAGGTTGTTTTTGTGTTATCTGGGGGGTTTTCCCACTGACGTAATATTTGTGCAAAAAATATAATTACAAGAGCATTTGTCTCATTTCACCCTAAAACATCCATAGTGAACTGACATGGGAAAGGGAAATAACTCTCATGTAACGAAACCTCAAATAGCAACTTATTTTTTATCATGTTTAATATATTAAGGGAATTTAACTGGGCTTGATTTAAGTGACGCTTGATTTAACCTGCACCTTGTTCAAAGTTGAAACATGCACATAACCTTAAAAGTTTAATAAAGTTCCATAAATCAAACCAACAATTTATCCTCACTCTACGAAGGTAAGGGATTTGTTTCATCAACACATTAGCATAATCTGCTGCCAAGTATATCATCAATGATACTTGTGTCTTATTTCAAGCACTTTCTGGTCTTAAAAGCCATGAAAAGAACACGATAACCATACGGAGAAAAATTCTTAGTGGACATGATTGCTAACTGTTTGGACTTGATAATATTCTTTTAGTTTCATTGACCAAATGGCTGCACTAATACACCTAAAACGTACAATGAGTTAGTGAGTTTAGTTTTACGCTGCACTCAGCAATATTCCAGCTATTTGGCGGCGGCCTGTAAATAACCAAGTCTGGACCAGACAATCCAGTGATCAACAGCATAAGCATCGATTGGCGCAATTGGGAACCGATGACATGTGTCAACCAAGTCAGCAAGCCTGACCACCCGATCCCGTTAGTCGCCTCTTACAACAAGCATAGTTGCCTTTTGTGGCAAGCATGGGTTGCTGAAGACCTATTCCACCCCTCATCTCCACAGGTTCCTAAAACGTACAAGTTCCTTCAAGCAGTGCCGATATCTCCTCCACTTCTGGCATATCCTGTATGGCTGAGTTGATCTTCTCCCTGATGGCGACAGTCGCACCCTGCCACTCCTTGCTGCAGTGACGCCGACTGATGAGCCAGTCTAATGACATCAAATAGAAAACACAACATAATACCATCTTAATAATCACTACTGGAAAACAATGAACTGATTATGAAAGTGTACAAAACATACTGTCAATGTCATCTCAAAGATGTAGAAAGGATATGCAAAAGTAAAAATAATGTTCAAAGTGTTTGATTTGGTGAATGATTAACAAAGCATTTGACCAACTTATTAATGACTTCTTGTTTAAGGCACAGAATGACATTTTGAGATGTACAGGTAGATTCTTACCTGTGTTGGGAATTGGTTCAAATCTCACAATTGATGGTTGGTTTATTACCAGCGAGCAATCATCGAACTATTTTTATTTTAAGCGTTATTTTTTAGATTTTCCTGTTCAGGTTGTTAATGTAGATAAGTATAAAGAAAAAACATGTGGTTCTCTGTTGTTTATTGTTTTATTTAGAAATTGCATTCACAAATTTCACATCCAGTGTAACATGATGCAACTTGCTACTTAAAAGTGATGACCAATATATCATGAACATAAACTTCCCAGAGTAACCCAAAATTATTCAGTCATGACTTTTCAGTAAGAGAAGTGAGTTTTGTAAGAATCAAACATGTTTTCAGGCCCTGACCTCCTTCTAAGATATGTTCCACTGTCAAGCGTTTCAGACTCTAAAACAGCAGTTCCAAAATCCCTTGTGTTCATTCATGAGAAAATGTGATCGATTGCTTGGTCCACTTATTCTTACAGCTTAAAAGTAGTCAATGTTCATCCATACAATTCCCCGTTGGCCTTGATATCATGCAGTGGTGTAATACACCTTAACTTGATGTGAAAGCATGAGAACAACTCACAAGATACTTACCAAGCAGCTTGTTATAGTGAATATCTATAGGAAGACTTTCAGCACTATGCTGTGCCATCTTTGTCAGGCTATTAAATCACCAACACAAGTTAAATGTTTCCTCAACTTGTGACATCTGTTGAAAAAGGAAAACAAATCATAATGTGATGAAGGTTATTATGGTTATAGTATTTACATAGCAATATACATGCATATGTGTGCAGCTGCATGTAGCAGTCTGGTGTTTATCTGAATTCACAGTACTAGTCCACTGAGATACCATGCTGTCAATCAATATGACTACCCTTCACACACATTATGTACTTGATTCAAGCATATGCTTCCTTGCTTTATCCCTTGATGCTGAACACCAGGCTAGGTAACAACAAGTATTGACTTTAACTTCTAATCTTTTGGAAACAAGGGACTGAACCAGGATGCCTTAAACATATGTCATAAAGAAAATCTGGTAACAAATTATGAACAGTAGATGATAACTGAAGTTAATATGTCACTTGCTTTGATGAACATATGTAGTGACATCAGAACTTACGAATAAAAAAATAGAAGCCAGTTCTGCATCTTTTTCAAACTGGCAAACAGTTTTATCATATTCAATTCGGCTATCGTCCTGCCAACTCAAGTCATAATCCATGGCATATGCCATATGATATCAAACGTCATTGTGGATTATTTCAGCTCAAACAAGATGTGCTCTGGTTATTTGATCACTGTCTTTACATGGTAAAATACTTAGGTAATTAAGGAAAATCTAAAAACATTAGCACGAGCACCGGCCCTGCCTCTGGCTGGAAGAAAGGTAGGTTTAGGCCTAAAAAGGTTTGAAGTTGAACAGGGACAGCATCGTGAATGTTAACAGCTGATTTCCTTTTGATAAACATAATGCAGTCAGTAAAATCAACTGTTATAGAAAATAACTTTAACACGTCTGCCCAAACTGCCAATTTAAGAAAGATTCACTTACAGACTGGTCGTCTACAACGTTTCTCACTCTGCACCATATGTTGTGCAAGTTGTCTCTACTTCCGCACACGTGTTTAACCGTATCTCATAAATAACGCCTACTCTGATTGGTTGAAATTTTGTTGACACCACTGGCTCCTAACACTGTTAGTGGAGTGAAGAGTTTATAATTGATCGATGCTGCTGTAAAATACTTCCTTATTGTCGGGCTAAGACAAACGCGAATAGCAAAAACATTTTTGTCTTTTGGGGTATAATCATAAGAAAGTGCAAAGATTATAATGATGAGGCGTAAATTATAGTCATAATGTTATACACGATTCAAAACAAAACTACACTAAAATTCCTCTTTGGTGAAAGTATGATATACATTCCTCTTAGGATTCCTCTTAGGATTCCCTGAGCGTTTACCTCATGTTGCTAAACATGAAGGTAAAATATGTCCATAAGTATTCCATGTGTTGTTGTTTTTGGACACTATCGGATATTAAGTTGTATGTTGTAGCTATGGTCTAATTTTGTATGGAATCAATGCAGTAATGATGGTGAAATATTTTCCATGAATTGTCCAGATTTTCTTTGACAACGTAAATGAGTGTGTGAGTGAGTATAGTATCCACAAGGTTGCCAAATGGCAAACCAGCAAGATTGACCCTAATTTCAGGCACACGTTTTAACTGAACTATGATGTCAGATCAGTCTTGCAGAGGGCTTTCTCAGTTTATTAAACTGAGTTTAATACACAAGTATGGTGGCTGAGTTTCACCCGTCCACAGACCCGTGAAGATCTGGGCTAGGTCTTCAGCAACCCATGCTTGTCGTAAGAGGCGACTAACGGGATCGGGTGGTCAGGCTCGCTGACTTGGTTAACAGATGTCATCGTATCCCAGTTGTGTAGATTAATGCTCATGATGTTGATCACTGGATTGTCTGGTCCAGACTTGATTATTTACCGACCGCCACCATATAGCTGGAATATTGCTGAGTGCAGAGTTAAACAACAAAATAAATAAATCACTCATCTAATGGCACATGTCTGGACCAAAGCCATCATAACCAATCGACATCATGTGTCTGCTTTAACTGATTGGATTCATGGAAAACAGATGGAGCTATCGGTTAAATCATGTCCGCATTTTAACCAATCGATCCCCTAACGTTTTGATCAGTGGTCACAGGACAATGTCTTTTCCGGAGTGTCTGCGTTTATTTCTTCACCAAACTTGGCACATAGATAGATCTGGTGATTTATGGTGCCAGTTTGGAATAACAGATTTTTGGAGTTTCCATGGCAACAAGTTTCACTTTGTGAAATTGGTGATAGTCTATTTTCTGAAGCAGAACTTTAAAACCTTTCAATACTCTCCTTCCACTTTTCTATATAACACCTGTAATCATTCGTTTTAATGAGTATTTTCCCAAGCAACTTTGTCTTACTTTTTTAAAACAAAAAGCAACACAAAAACCAAACTGCAGGGCCTTTTCTGTAGTTTTCTAGACATTCAGTAAGAATCTTCATAGAGAGTGCCTTAACAGAATTTTAAACAGTACTTCAGTTGTATTCTGCCATGTCAGTTTACTTCTCCAGTAAAGCTCAGAGTGATCTGGGGCAGTGGAGTAGCCCAGCAGTTAAAGTGTTCGCTTGTCACACCGAAGGCCCCAGTACGATTCCCCACATGGGTACAATGTGTGAAGGCCATTTCTGGTGACCCCCACCGTGATATTCCTGGAATATTACTAAGAGCAGCACAAAATCCATCTCACTCACTCACAGTGATCTGGGTCTGAGACATGTTAACATTTTGGGAACCCACTAGCACTGGTACAGCACCAACAAACCCAGAAAAATAATCCAGTCACATCTGGGATTAGAACAAATGATCATAGGATTCTGGCACACCCAAGGGACACAACTCAACTGCAACACTTCAGACATGAGGACACACTGTGCCTCTAATTGTTTATGTGGTCTTATTAAACACATCTTTTTTTCATATTTCATTTTATACTTTTCATTTTCCACCCAGACAGCGTTCATACTTCACCGCCATCATCAATGTACAACAGTTGTAAGGCATTGTTGTTTTCTCTGTACAACTACATTTGTTTGGTGGAAACAAAAACATACCACAGTGTTCAGTTACAGTTTTATTCACATTATTAGCATCTCATGCCATTAAAAATTCAGTATATTCTTTTATGAACATAGAATAACAAATCATACTGACTACTTACAAACAGAAACTTAGAATATACACAGAAATCAAATCTAAATTGAAACTTAAAATAACTTTGTACTGTTTGAGAAAATGTCAGCCAAAAAGAGTTCATTCCTTGATAACAGTAAATAAACATAATAAAGTTTACTTATGGAAAAGTACATGAACATATCATTTAACTATGGCCATGGTTGTAAGTAACTACAATTGTTTAACCATATTTAAGTTCAATTTACAGCATTTTAACGAAGATTCCCCATGGCCTATGCGGAAGTACAAGTATGGCCATGAGTTGCGATGTCCCTATGACCAGATCCTGACAGTGTTATCACTGCCGCCGGACACCATGAAGTCCCCACTGCGGTCAAACAGGACACACTGGACAGCATCTTCATGACCAATGAGAGCTGTTGTCTGAAAAATATAAAAACATGACAATGTTACAATCATAAAAGAAACTAAATAGCAATGAATTCTTACTTTTCTCCACTGAAATCACCAAAAAATGAAATTTACAAACTTTGTTTGATGAAGTACTACATTTGAAAGATAACCTCCTTCCCATTCATTTACTACAGACTTTACATGTTTTTAAATAGGAAGTTACACAAAATAAAAAGGAGGTGAAAACTGAATATAAAATCTTGTTCCCAAATTAATGAATCTTGTAATGTACATGTATATGATGTCATAATGTTTGACTTGTCATGTAGTCAGTAATAAATTATACAAAATTACTAGGTAGAGAAATTTGAAAACAAAATCTTCACTCAAATTATTAATGAATGGTTAAATCTAAAAGTATGTATCATGTCATGATGTGATATAACTTGCTTGACACATCACAAATGAACTGGTTTGCATCAAGTTTCCGGTGCCATGTTCAGACCAAGATCATTCAGCTTTTAAAATCCTCATAACATTACACATTTTTACAATGAAAATGCAAAATTCTCACCTGGCCAGAGCCCACCTCATACATTTTGACAGCACTGTCATTACTTGCTACTGCCACGACAACACCTGTAAATATAACATCAAATATTGTCAGATCAGTCAAGATTATTAAAATATTATGGCACTTCACCATTGATATCTCTCTAGTTCTCAATTTAAGACACTCTTTTCTTGTTTGATAATAAAGCGATGTCACAGAATTATTGAAAACTGCCAACATGCCTGGTGCTTTTGTGTCTATTGACATATTAAAACACAGATGACTACTGTGAAAAGCTCCATCTACTACTACTGTGAAAAGCTCCATCTACTCACTGTACTTTTACTTTGTGTGAAAATCTTTGTTTTAAATCTTGTCTTGCCCATTGATAGCAACTTACATAAATTAAAGTAAGCTTTCATCATCTATTAAGCAGTAAACATATAACATGCACACCTTACATAAGGCAGTGATACATTTTTGTTAATATATACAGTGACGTATGGTTATACGAAAGTCGAAGGGACCAATAATTTAGTTCACTATAACTGAAGCTAGTTATAGGTACATTTCAACTAAAATATAGAGCAAGTGGCGGGCACTCATAGTTTGTCATAACCGTCAGTCTATTATATGTATCGATCACAGTAATAAATGTGGTTTACCTGATGGATCAAAGGCAACGTTGTTTGCAGGGTGAGGACCGATGTCAAGGCTGGTCATTGGCGCCACATTCCTGATATCCCACAGTTTGACTACACCATACGAGTCACAAGATGCCACTGTGTCTCCCTTCATGGTGCAGATGATTCAAGTTAGTACAAATCATGAAATATCCTCTAATTCCCCAGTACATTACTACTGAAAGGAAACTTTTGGGTGTATTTTTAACAAAGTATTCCATCAAAAGTAAAACTGATATATATATAAAATAGATGGTAGAACAACACTGGTTTTAAATGTGATTTGGAACAGGATAGGCTTCCTTCCTTTAACTGAAGCCCATTTCTGGTGTCCCCCGCCGTGATGTTGCTGGAATATTGCTAAAAGCGGCGTAAAACCAAACTCAGTCAGTCAGTCAGTCCTTCCTTTAATAAATAGAGTGAGTTTAGTTTTACGCATCTTTTAACAACATTCTAGTAATATCACAGCAGGGAACACAAGAAATGAGCTTCACACATTGTACCCATGTGAGGACTCGAACCTGGGTGCAGCGAATGCATTAACCACAAGGCTACCCCACTACCACTTTTTATAAATGGAAACAAACCTGCAACTCATTACTCATTTGCAGTTATCATTGTGAGCCATATTTACACTTTTAGTCTTCAGTCTGTGTTTAAAACTTTTAGAGTTCTCCAAATTCAAACACTGCTTTTTATCGTAAAAAAGGGTGAGAATCTCAAAAACAAAGCTATCTCCTTGAATTAGGATTGGTTGGGTAAATAGAACTTGTGTCAAAGCCTTTGTAAACATTTAACAAACTGATCTCAGTGGGGTGACTGTTTTAACTCAAATGCCTTAGCAGACTTAGTATAGTCATAGCACTAAAATTGTTTTGTAGATCACAGCCAAGATACTTACAATAGAAGAAACCATTTTTCACTGAATAATCTAACATCAGTTGTTTTCTACTCGCAAATGCTAACATGGAGCATCAGAGTCCTCCCTTTTCCTACGCTAGACATCAGTGATGTAGTACATGGTATACTTACTCTCATGTTGAATGTTGCACTGTTGACTGAATGCATGTGTCCATAGAACGTCTGTGCACAGAGACCCTGGAAGATGAAATATAAGGCATTGTCATCCACACGTTTGGTGGTTCCGGTTCAAGTTATCAGGGTAACTGTTATTATCAAAATTTGTAAACTTAAACTGGAAAATAATAAATTCTGGATTAGAAAAACACCATATCTTGGGTTCTCAAAGGAATGTTGATGAAGACTTTTATAAAAGTGATGAAGCATTATGTGAATAGTCAGTTAGTATTCTGTTCTTGACGACTATTCATATAATGCTACATCATTTTATAAAACCCTTCATATACCATGCTTGGAACCCTTCATCTGAATATGCTTGGAACCATCCTGTGAGAACCATGAGTAATGTTGTCTAAAACATCACAAAAAAAAGAATGTACATAAAAAGTATTGTAACAGTTTACACCAAGGATACCTCATCACTTTTAAAACTTCTGATTGTATATTTATGTGTAGGGCTGGGACGGGTCCAAATTTTCTACACGGGTACCCACCCCTATTACCCTACCCTACCCTGATACCCGTTATGTTAATTCCTGACTTCAAATTTGTAAGAAATGCCAATATATTCTTCTGCTCGGAGGCTACAGCTTCAAGTTTTTCAATATTTTAACCATGTAATATATTCAAAACAGGTGACTGCACAAGTATGTCTAAATCTTCAAAGACAATACAACCTTATAACAAGTGTTTGCCACTGATATGGCAATGTCCCCCACCACTAAAGAATGGAATATCTATATTTACTACTTTTTATTTTTGGGTCACATACAAGATGCCTGAAATGACTGGTGTCTGCATAATCACCCAATGTAGGCTGTCAACATACTTGAAAACATTGGGTGCAATGTTTTATGAGATATCGCCTTTAAAAAGCGGTCAAAGTATCGTGGTGACCTTGAAGATAAGGTCAAAGTCACCCAAATAAACTGGTGTCTGTGTAATGCCCCAATGTAAACTGTCACCAAATTTGAAGACATTGGGTACAACAGTCCATGTAATATTGCGTTAACAAGAGTTAAAAGCGTGCAAAGTGTCATGGTGACCTTGAAGATAAGGTAAAGGTCACCAAAATAAACTGGTGTCTGCGTAATCCCCCAATGTAGGCTGTCACCAAATTTGAAGGCACTGGGTACAACAATGCATGAGATATCACGTTAACAACAGTTTGAAAAGTGGTCAGTGTCGTGGTGACCTTGAAAATAAGGTCAAGGTCACCCAAATCGACTGGTGTCTGCGTATTCCCCCAATGTAGGCTGTCACCAAATTTGAAGACATTGGGTACAACAGTTCATGAGATATCACCCTAACAAGAGTTTGAAAAGTGTCATGGTGACCTTGAAAATACGGTCAAGGTCACCCAAATCGACTGGTGTCTGCGTAATCCCCCAATGTAGGCTGTCACCACATTTCAAGACATTGGGTACAACATTTCATGAGATATCGCCCTAACAAGAGTTTGAAAAGTGGTCAAAGTGTCGTGGTGAACTTGAAAATACGGTCAAGGTCACCCAAATCGACTGGTGTCTGCGTAATCCCCAATGTAGGCTGTCACCAAATTTGAAGACATTGGGTACAACAGTTCATGAGATATCGCGTTAACAAGAATCCGGATGTACGGGCGGACAGACGGACGCCGCTGAATACATAGTCCCCCATTCCGCGTTGCGGCGGGGGACAATTATGCATCCCTGCACCCCTCTGGAACCATATATGTCATAATACCTGACACTACACTCCTCTGACACTACTCACCGTCCTGGCATCCCAGAGAGACAGTGTTTTATCTGCAGAGGCTGTGAGGACCGTGTTGGAGAAGGGGAGGAACTCTATGCTATTGACAGAGTCGGCGTGGCCTCGTAATGTGAAGCGACATCGTAAACTGTAATGTATCAAAGAGACACCTATGTTAAAGTATGTAAGATTTTAAATTATTGTAATCTACAGAAACATTACCTACAACAGTTGAGTGATGCAAGACAACTACATCACATTGATATGTGATGTAATACAAATACAATGAATATTTTATACAAATAATTTATTATTTATCATTTATATTATTTATAAAGATGGAAACATTATGATTAGCATTTTCTTTATTGTTTATAATGAATTCTCTCCTATCACGCACCTGTTGAGGTCCCAGATTTTGGAGGTGTTGTCCATGGAGCAGGTGGCCAGAAAGTCTCCACAAGAATGCCATGAACAGCTCCATACTGAACCGATAATTACAGTCTGTTGAAACCCTTATTTATCACATGCTTGATACATTTTTCAAAATAAAATAAGTGGCAAAAACATATTACAAATATTTAATGAAAATGTAAGGGTTAAACTGTGAAAATGATAGGATCCCTGATTCTTTGAGGGTTACCTCCCTTTCCACATTTATTACTTTGAACTTTTACTGATGTTGTATTTGTGGGTTTATTCTGTTTTTAATGCTGCACTCAGCAATATTTTAGCTATATAACGGGGATCAGTAAACAATCGAGTCTGGAAGAGACAATCATGTGATTGACACCATGAGCATCAATCTACACTATAAGGATATGATCATCAACCAAGTCCAAGACTGACCTGCCATGGTGTGGTCAGTGAATGTATGCACACACTCAGCCTTACTGAAGTCCCAGATCTTCACAGTACTATCACCACTTGTTGTTGCCAGTTTGGCACCACTGCAAAAACAAAGAAATAATGGAGTCTGTTTAATCTACAGAAATAGTGAGTGAGTTTGGTTATATGTCGGTTTTAGCAATATTCCAGCAATATCACTGTGGGGGACACCACAAATGGGCTTCACACATTGTACCCATGTGGGAAATCGAACCCGGGTCTTTGGGGTGACGATCGAACGCATTAACCACTAGGCTACTCCTGAGTGAGTGAGTCATTGACTTCAGCAGAGACATCATTATATTAGATTGATGCGTGATGGGCAAACGCTTTAACCACAAGGCTATCCAGCGCCCCTCTACAGAAATAGAAAGCGCACTGAATTTTAAATATAACTTACAATATTGTTTTTGCATGTATTAATCCACAAGAACCTGCACTGACAACCATTATTACGGAAAGAACAAACATTAAAATTATTTTTGTTCATTCTCATGCTGCCTTGAAGTTTTAAGCTAATGTTTGCATACTGTTACTGTAACAGTAATTACGATGGATGGAAATAGCATCCGATAACAGATAATAACAGTACTTACGATGGATGGAAATCGCAGCTAGAGACCCAGTCTGTGTGACCTTCACCTGTCATAATGATATCGCCACTTGGTACCGACCACATTTTCCATGTATGGTCATCACTACTTGTTGCCAGAATCTGTTTACGTGGATGCAGGGACAAACTGAAAATGTAACAATTTTACATGTAAATCTTAAAAAACAAATCCAATGGAAAACCCAAACCAGAATATTTATATATACACTTAAATCATATATTTAAGAACAAAATATCTCACCACATAATAATGTACTCTATTTTGAAGAGGTACTGTTTATTGTAGTTTGTTTGGTTCTATGCTGAAACTTGCTAACTGGTACTTACTAGTGTTGGGAATTGGTTAAAATCTCATAATTGATGATTGGTTCATTACAACCGATCAATCATCGAAAATAATTGGTTAGCGTAATTTATGACATTTATTAATGAACAAAACAATAAGCAAAAAAAAAAAGATGTAGTTCTTTGGGTTTTCTTTCGGCAAAATTTCACATCTTTAAAGGATGACTAGTATGTTAGGAACATAAATTTCTTAGGGTCTTTAAGATAAATTAAATCATGACTTGAAACGAGCTTGTAGTGCTTATGAAATGTAACAGACAAAACCAACCTAGTGAAAAATACTGTTAATGAAAACAAGTGTTCCAGAATTGTTTGTGTTCGATTATGAGAAAACATGATTGATTGCTTGGTCATTTAGTCACTGCGACCAATCTTCGATTATTTCAATTAATCGGACCACCACTAGTACTTACCCACTGACAGGGTGGGAGTGAGCTTGGAACGTGTTTGACAGTCGGAATCCTCCTGTTCGGGTCAGGTGACCAGGAGGGGCGTTTACCTGGGACAGGTATGGGTTGACCCCAGTGTCCACAGGGAACTCAGTATCCTGAAACAAGCCATAATGTGAGTGAGTAAGTGAGTGAGCGAAGGTTGATGCCAGTGTCCACAGGGAAGTCAGTATCCTGAAACAGGCCATAATGTGAGTGAGTGAGTGAGGGTTGATGCCAGTGTCCACAGGGAACTCAGTATCCTGAAACAGACCATAATGTGAGTGAGTGAGTGAGTGAGGGTTGACGCCAATGTCCACAGGGAACTCAGTATCCTGAAACAGGCCATAATGTGAGTGAGTGAGTGAGGGTTGACGCCAGTGTCCACAGGGAACTCAGTATCCTGAAACAGGCCATAATGTGAGTGAGTGAGTGAGGGTTGATGCCAGTGTCCACAGGGAAGTCAGTATCCTGAAACAGGCCATAATGTGAGTGAGTGAGTGAGGGTTGATGCCAGTGTCCACAGGGAACTCAGTATCCTGAAACAGGCCATAATGTGAGTCAGTGAGTGAGGGTTGATGCCAGTGTCCACAGGGAACTCAGTATCCTGAAACAGGCCATAATGTGAGTGAGTGAGTGAGGGTTGATGCCAGTGTCCACAGGGAACTCAGTATCCTGAAACAGGCCATAATGTGAGTGAGTGAGTGAGGGTTGACGCCAGTGTCCACAGGGAACTCAGTATCCTGAAACAGGCCATAATGTGAGTGACAAAGTGAGTGAGTGAGGGTTGACGCCAGTGTCCACAGGGAACTCGGTATCCTGAAACAGGCCATAATGTGAGTGAGTGAGTGAGGGTTGATGCCAGTGTCCACAGGGAACTCAGTATCCTGAAACAGGCCATAATGTGAGTGAGTGAGTGAGGGTTGACGCCAGTGTCCACAGGGAACTCGGTATCCTGAAACAGGCCATAATGTGAGTGAGTGAGTGAGGGTTGACGCCAGTGTCCACAGGGAACTCAGTATCCTGAAACAGGCCATAATGTGAGTGAGTGAGTGAGGGTTGACGCCAGTGTCTACAGGGAACTCGGTATCCTGTAACAGGCCATAATGTGAGTCAGTGAGTGAGGGTTGACACCACCCTGAAACAGGCCATAATGTGAGTGAGTGAGTGAGAGTTGATGCCAGTGTCCACAGGGAACTCAGTATCCTGAAACAGGCCATAATGTGAGTGAGTGAGTGAGTGAGGGTTTACGCCAGTGTCCACAGGGAACTCAGTATCCTGAAACAGGCCATAATGTGAGTGAGTGAGTGAGCAAGAAACAAATCAAACAGAAATTGTTACTGTTCATCAGGGTCTAGCAGTCTTAGCAGTATGATCAACATAACTTAAACACAGATATGCAGCAGACCGGGATGCTAACATTGCTTTGTGCAAGCAGTCCCAGGAGTCTTGTTCTTACATCTGGATGTCTCTTGTAGTCTACTCCCAGGTCACGGACATCCTTGCCATTGTAGATTGACCTTTCCATTGCGAGTCGCTGATGGGTCAGCCCATGTCCAAACTTGTCCTCTGGAGCATTTCGGCGAAGGGAAGAAGAGTCTAAAATTAATGTATAAGTATGCATTACTTAACCATAAAATAGAACTCTATATACAACATATAACTCTAAAATGGATATGCTCCAATCAGAACAGGGTATACTGTTTACAATAAAAAAAAAATTAATACAACTATCACAAATGTAACAGTAGTCAAACTTAAGATTTAAGACAGGTTAAGAAAACATTGTGCATGTATTTGAGAGGTGAATGAGTGAGTTGGGTTTTACGCCACTGTTAGCAATATTCCAACAATATCACAGCAGGGAACACCAGAAATGGGCTTCCCACATGGTACCCAGTTGGGGCATTGAACCCGAGTTCGGCATGAAGAGCAAATGCTTTAACGGCTGAGCTACCCCACTGCACTGTATTTGAGAGGAGGAGGAGGGAGTAAGAAGGGAGGGGATGTAATGAATAAATGCAACATACAATGGCAAAATAGGAAAGTCCTAAGACCAATTTCATCACTAAGCTTCCCCCTCCGACCCAGCCCCCTATCCTTCTTGCACTGAAAGACCAGTCCTTTCTCAGCATTTAAAACTTTACTGTTAATCATAATCATGCTAAACTCTCATATACCCCAATGTTTCCCTACATACAGACTGATGATCCATGTAGAGATGGTTTCGCATTTTAGTTTCAACTTGTCTTTTATTCAAGTGTGTTTTATAACAAACTTAGTCAGAAATGACTACTGACATAGCCTAAATCTTACTGACCTCAAATACATTCACATCAAGACCCTCCTAAAAATGTTGTTTTAGTTAACTGTCAAATTCAGATTTAACTAGAACATGAGTGTAATGTGATACATGAAAGATGATTATTGTTACTGCTGTTATGGCTATGGCAGTGATCTTAATATGTCTAGTCACAAGCCCTACAGTAACAAGAGTCATCAGAAGATGACATATCCCCCCGGCCCCCACATCTTTCAAAGAACAAATCATCTGACAGTTACTTAAAGTCAAGCTTGATTTTAGACTAAGTGCAAATCGTTTCCATGGAAATCATGAAAAACATAAATGACAAAAATCGGCAAATAGCAAAAAGCCTAACATATCTGCCAAGTTTTACTGAAAGATGTTAAGAAGTTTTTGAGCTGTGCTCCGGAAACGAAACCAAGAAAATAATACATCACAAATATCTGTAAATAGCAAAAAATGTAATTTTCTGAGTAAAATTGATATTTTATACTTATCCTGACTCATGCTCTTTTGCTTGTCCCTTCCTCTTGCGAACATAGTGGAACACTTGTATCTCCTTAATTGAAGCTCCCTTCAATGTAAAATCACTAATTGGTACTCACCCACGGAGGTTACCTCCCCTGCGTGGCAGGGGAACAGGTGTCGCCACCCTCTGGCCTCATGCTTCACTCTCTCCTGATTTTTGCAGGAGCCCAACACTTGAATTTACAGGAAATCCAAAGTGTTATGTGGGGAGGATGGGAGGAGCTAACCTCATGAGTCAGGATAAGTATAAAATATCAATTTTACTCAGAAAATTACATATTTTTCCTTATCCTGACTCATGCTCTTTTGCTTGTAGAATCCACCGGAGAGGTGGTGGGTAAACAGAATACTTTGGATTAATTAGTGATTTAAGTAAGTGATATTGTAATAACCCCTGCGGGAACTTCATAAGGCATTGAGACTTAGGATATTTCCTTATAATAAGCCATAGATATATACACTATAAGTGGGGTATTACCTTACTAATATACTGATATATCAATATATATATCTAAACTGCTACTCTAACGTAGCTGTACACTGAATATAACTCCAGTAAGAGCTTAAGGTTGGAATAACCTAAGCTAAATATGTACATAGCCCTAGAACTCCATGGAGTTATAAGCTAGTGAATATATGTATCATATATCTAATAATCTCGTGGGGGTGAATATTAACGCCTACGAGGGACTGTCAATTGCTGAGCGAGGACCAAAGGACCGAAATGATGAATGCCAGAGACGTCCTCGGTGGTGATGTCTCTGAGATAGTGATTAGCAAACACCATGTTAGATTTCCAAAAGCATCCTTCCATAATTGTATTCAATGAACAGTTACCATGAAGGGCGAGGGTGGATGCCAATGCCCTGATTTCATGAGGATTTGATGCTGTTGGAGGGTCCAGTCCTGCTGCCTTATAGGCGCGTAAAATGACAGTTCTTATCCATATTGATATGGTGGTACGAGAGACTTCTGTCTGATTTGTAGGCGATAACGGGATGAACAATCTTCTGAGCGATCTTCGCCTTGTTTTGGAACGACGTAAATAGATTATGAGAGCTCGTACTGGGCATAGAGATAAGTCCAATGTATCTTGAGATCCAAGAATTGAGGATAGCGCAGGGATGTGAAATAACCTGTCTGGTTGACCTGGTAGTTGATTTTTTTGCGATGAAATCCCATCTTAATCCCAGGTGCGCTGTCTTTTGATTTTCATCAAACTGTATCCTCTCATAATCTAGAGCATGAATTTCAGATATTCTGGCTGCCGTGGCTAGCGATAACAGGAAGACTGTTTTCTGTGAGAGAAATTCAAACGTTGTCGATTCCAATGGTTCGTAATCCTCACTTGTGAGGTGTCGTAAAACTACATTCAGATCCCAAGCTGGGGCGTGGAATTTCCGCTTTTGGTCCTCAATCGGAAAGCACGTAGTAAGGCCAGTAACTCTGGTGTTCTTGTTAATTTAACACCCGTTCTCATAGAAATCACAGAACTAAGCGCGGCAAAGATATGTTGACAATGTCGAGCCTTTTAAATGTTTGTTTTGCCGTAAGTAACACAAATAGTCTCTGCCACTTGAGGATGCGTAGCATCTCGCTGTAAAACCCTTGTTTGTTGCATAATTTTCGAAACTTTGCCACTTGTCATCGTACAAGTTAGCGCGTTGAGTATCGTAAGGCAAGCGTGACCGCTTTTGCCGCCCTGGTAGAATATCCTCTCTTGTTTAAACACATTTTAATACAGTCCATACGTGAAGTTTGAATACTTCTGGGTTTCTGTGCACCTGTTTGGTGTGAGGATGTATTAACAGGTTTGCGCGCTTGGGTAGTTCTAGTGCCGGTTGACCGATATCTTGTATTAAGGCGGAACCACGTTCTGGCCTGGCCAATAGGGGCGCGACCAAAGTGAGTTGTAGGCTCTGCGTTTGGTTGATTTTCTGTAATACTAGAGGTATTATTGCTGGGGGCGGAAACGCGTACGCATTGAGGCCTTCCCATGAAATGCTTAGAGCGTCTGTTGCCCATGCTTGTGGGTCTGGCACTGGTGACACGAATGTCGGTAGTTGATTGTTGAACCTTGTGGCGAATAGATCTACTAGCGGCGCTCCTATTTGCTTGATTATCTGTGCAAATATCTCTGTATTGAGCATCCATTCTGTCGGCGACGGTAGATGTGGCCGAGAGAGTGCGTCTGCTAGTATATATTCCTGGCTCTAACCGGGAATGTGGCATGCTTTGACATGTAGATTTAGATCTTGGATTAATTCGAACAGTTGAAGGTTAAATTCAAAGGTTCGGCGATCTCGTTGAGCCTTGTCTGTTCACATAAAACGCCACTGTCGAGTTTGTCGGTATGTATCATCAGGTGCGCATTCTACTGTAGAATGTTGCTCCAATGTCTTATGGCGTTGATTACGGCTTTCATCTATATTTATAGCCAGGTTTGCTTTCTGGCGCTCCAGCTTTCATCTCTAATGCGTTTATGTGGGTTTGCTTTCTAGCTGAGTCCATAACCCTGATGCCGTCGGTTGGAGAGATGGGCTCCCCAACCTTGGAGCGACGCGTCTACATATAGATGGGTTTTGAATTCCTGCTCTGCTAAACAAATCCCTTCGCAGACATTCGATTTCTTTGTCCACCATAATGGATGAGGTCTGAGATGTATCGGTAGACTGAATGGTTGTAGGTCGTCGAGATGATATTGACGAAGACCTGTAACGGACGTAACTGTAATCTGCCTATGACTGTAAAGTCTTGGGCTGATGTTAGAAGACCTAGTAAAAGCTCTGCCATTGTCGAAGTGGTAGCGGTGACAGTAGAGCTGGTGGAATGATCTGTTGGATCTTGAGCCAACGGCGGTCTGTAATTACGACTATACGGTTGAGATTGGTGATAAATCGGATTCCTAGGAATTGCAGATCTTGCGATGGTACTAAGGTCCGACTTGTGTAAGTTTACTAACCATCCCAGCTGTGTTAGTAGCTTTATGATGTAGTTTAACTGTAGTTTGAAGATGCTGTGGATCTTGATCTACTTGTATCCGTCGTCGAGGAAGAACGCACTGCGTAGCCGCTTGACGATGTAGATGAATAACAATCGGTTTCGTTATCCTCGTGAATAACCATGGGGCTGATGCTATTCCGAATTGGGAGTACTTTCCACTGGTAATGTAACCCGTCTAGCGTAAACCGAAGGTATTTCCTGGATTCGGGATGTATTGGGATGTGCAGATAAGCATCTTGTAGATCTATACTGCCCATGTAGTCCATGGGGCGAATCATCTGCCGTAGCTGCGGTAGATGTAGCATGAAAGTGAACCTGGGTGGTTTGTTTTAAGTAAGTCTTGTTGAAGAAGCTCATGTTGTAAATGAGTCTGTATTTCTCCTTGGAGTTCTTCTTGGAATTAGTACTAGGAAAACTGGGGAGTAGAAACCTGGTTCGATGTTTCCTTGCTCTATTACTTCTATGGCCTGCTTGGTTAGGAGTAAATGTAACCGCCTCTCTTAACTTTAGTAGTTGTTGTGCTGCCTCTACCTCGAACTTGTGAGGGGTTGACTGTTAGTGGAGGCTTGGTCTGTAGTGGGATCACGAAATCCAGCGTTGAAGAATGTTGGAGACATAGGTGTCTTGAAGTATTCCCCAGTTTTCCCAGTGTAGTTGAAGGCGATCCACCCACTTGTGGCGGTTATACTGGAGCGGCTGGGGTGGAAGACTCAGTCGTTCGAACCTGTCTTTCAGCGTTTATAGTTCGCGGGAACCTCTGGGTGTCCTGCACCGTCCTGACCCTCCTCTATAGTTGCCATATGGAAGGCGAAAGAATCTCTTCCCTGGAACTGGCAATCTTCCTGTCTCTAGCTCTTTGTAGGCCCGTGAATTTAGATCTCCTGAGTATCTTTGTGAAGTCTGTCGAATGACACTGGCTAAGCGTGTCCATCGATTTAATCATCAGGACTTCTAGAATCCTTGGTGACTTCTTTGGAGACTGTGTCTATTCCTCCGTCAAATATGGATGGGGAAGACCCCACGGGGCTGTATATAGTGGAGCTGTAAAGTTCTCACCCCAGTTGCAGGAAGCTAGGGAAGGCCTTGACGACGAGCTAAAAGGTCCAGTGCTGCTGAGACAGACGTCAGATGATCTGTTAAAACTGCTGGTCCTTCTTTTGCATCAGTAGGGCCGAGTAAATCATTCTGTCATCTTCAGAAGTCGTGTTCGAAATCTGGAGATAGAATTAGTGTCTCATTTATTGTTCTAGATCTATTTAGACCGAAGAACATACGCCTCGTCATGGTTTCTATCTGAACCAATTTCCGATCATCAATTTTGTAGTACTTGTTCTTGGCATCGGAGATCAAGCTTATAGTTCTCATCGATGTTAATGTGCTGAAGAAGGGTTCCATATTATCGTGGAGAACTTCTTGGCGCTGAAATTTGGCAGATGTGGCGTCTGAACCTTTGTGGCTTTGTTAAATGCTGTATCTAGGGTTCTGAGGTACCGCCCGCAATCGAGGTCGATTGGGGGGTAGTGTAATAGCATCTGCGTCATCTTCTTTCATCAGATAAGTCTGCTAGCCTTATTGCCACTCTTGGAAGGTGATGAGAGATCTAGATTATTGACCATCCAATATCTTATCTCTGCATCTGAGAAAATAATTCCTCCATCGAGTCAGTGAGTGAGGTTGACACCACCTGAAACAGGCCATAATGTGAGTGAGTGAGTGAGAGTTGATGCCAGTGTCCACAGGGAACTCCAGTATCCTGGCTGCAGGCCATAATGTGAGTGAGTGAGGAGTGAGGGTTTACGCCAGTGTCCACAGGAACTCAGTATCCTGAAACAGGCCATAATGTGAGTGAGTGAGTGAGCAAGAAACAAATCAAACAGAAATTGTTACTGTTCATCAGGGTCAGCAGTCTTAGCAGTATGATCAACATAACTTAAACACAGATATGCAGCAGACCGGGATGCTAACATTGCTTTGTGCAAAGCAGTCCCAGGAGTCTTGTTCTTACATCTGGATGTCTCTTGTAGTCTACTCCCAGGTCACGGACATCCTTGCCATTGTAGATTGACCTTTCCATTGCGAGTCGCTGATGGGTCAGCCCATGTCCAAACTTGTCCTCTGGAGCATTTATTCATGAAGGGAAGAAGAGTCTAAAATTAATGTATAAGTATGCATTACTTAACCATAAAATAGAACTCTATATACAACATATAACTCTAAAATGGATATGCTCCAATCAGAACAGGGTATACTGTTTACAATAAAAAAAAAAATTAATACAACTATCACAAATGTAACAGTAGTCAAACTTAAGATTTAAGACAGGTTAAGAAAACATTGTGCATGTATTTGAGAGGTGAATGAGTGAGTTGGGTTTTACGCCACTGTTAGCAATATTCCAACAAAATCACAGCAGGGAACACCAGAAATGGGCTTCCCACATGGTACCAAGTTGGGGCATTGAACCCGAGTTCGGCATGAAGAGCAAATGCTTAAACGGCTGAGCTACCCCACTGCACTGTATTTGAGAGGAGGAGGGAGTAAGAAGTGAGGGGATGTAATGAATAAATGCAACATACAATGGCAAAATAGGAAACAGTCCTAAGACCAATCTCATCACTAAGCTTCCCCCTCAGACCCAGCCCCCTATCCTTCTTGCACTGAAAGACCAGTCCCTTTCTCAGCATTTAAAACTTTACTGTTAATCATAATCATGCTAAACTCTCATATACCCCAATGTTTCCCTACATACAGACTGATGATCCATGTAGAGATGGTTTCGCATTTTAGTTTCAACTTGTCTTTTATTCAAGTGTGTTTTATAACAAACTTAGTCAGAAATGACTACTGACATAAGCCTAAATCTTACTGACCTCAAAAATACATTCACATCAAGACCCTCCTAAAAATGTTGTTTTAGTTAACTGTCAAATTCAGATTTAACTAGAACATGAGTGTAATGTGATACATGAAAGATGATTATTGTTACTGCTGTTATGGCTATGGCAGTGATCTTAATATGTCTAGTCACAAGCCCTACAGTAACAAGAGTCATCAGAAGATGACATATCCCCCCGGCCCCCACATCTTTCAAAGAACAAATCATCTGACAGTTACTTAAAGTCAAGCTTGATTTTAGACTAAGTGCAAATCGTTTCCATGGAAATCATGAAAAACATAAATGACAAAAATCGGCAAATAGCAAAAGCCTAACATATCTGCCAAGTTTTACTGAAAGATGTTAAGAAGTTTTTGAGCTGTGCTCCGGAAACGAAACCAAGAAAATAATAAATCACAAATATCTGTAAATAGCAAAAGTCACCACTTTAGGTTCTGTTTGATATATCTACCAAGTTTTGCAGAAAAATACTGAACGGTTTCTGAGTTATGCTCCGGAAACGAAGCCCACCCCTCCCTTTAAGACTAAACCAAAACATTTCAATGGAAACCGAGAAAACTAAAAATGACAAAAATCTGTAAATAGTAAATGGCACCACCTTAGGTTCTGTTTGATATATCTACCAATTTTTGTTGAAAAATATCGAACGGTCTTGGAGTTATGCTCCGGAAACAAAATGATTACGGACGGCCGGGGGGATAAAAATACTTTATACTGGCCTAATGGTATCTGTATGTTTTCATACAAGTCCCTATAATCAGACTAAAACATGCTGAAAACAAGTGTTTGCCACTGATTAGGCAATGTCCCCCACCACTAAAGAATGGAAAATCTATGACATATTTACTACTGATTATTTTTTGTTCACATACAAGATGCCTGAAATGACTGGTGTCTGCATAATCACCCAATGTAGGCTGTCGACATAATTGAAAACATTGGGTGCAATGTTTTATGAGATATCACATTTTAATAAGTTTGAAAAGTGGTCAAAATGTCATGGTGACCTTGAAGATAAGGTCAAGGTCACCCAAATGAACTGGTGTTTGCGTTATCTCCCAATGTAAGCTGTCACCAAATTTGAAGACATTGGGTACAACAGTCCATGAGATGTCGAGCTAACAAGAGTTTGAAAAGTGGTCAAAGAGTCACGGTGACCTTGAAGATATGGCCAAGGTCACCCAAATCGACTGGTGTTTGGGTAATTCCCCAATGTAGGCTGTCACCAAATTTGAAGACATTGGGTACAACAGTTCATGAAATATCTCGTTAACAAGAATCGGGACATACGTACGTACGCTGCTGAATACATAGTCCCCCGATCCGCGTTGCCGCAGGGGACAATAATGCCCAAAGACACATGCAAGTATGTAGATTAAAAAAGCTGTTGGCAAAGACTTTAGTGGTACAAAATACCGTTATTAGTTTCCTTGACAATGATATATGCAAGATTTAGTGCACATTTCATAGATTTCACATAAAAAAACACAATCTATTTCTTTATAAGGATGATGTACCTTGGAGATTAGTGTTGGATGCTCCCTTGAAGGACTCCATGCTCTTGAGGGTACTCTGGAGCCCTGTCACCTGACCAACCGCACGGTCTCGCTCCAGCTTGGCCAGCATCTTCTCCTTCATCGCCACCTCATACTTGGACTTGAGCTGCTGCAGTGTGGGCTCATACTGGACGTAGTGACGCTTCAGTCTGAAGAACACAACAAATGTTGTTTTACAACAGCTTGCCTTAAACTAGACTTGATTAACCAGAATATCTGAAGAACAAATAATCACAAACATATGCCCCAGTCCACAGAAGAAACCCTTCAGTACCTCCAAGTCATTTATCCTATAATAAATTATCAGTCCCTTATGCATGTAATTAAAACTGTTCATATTTTATCATAGTCATTTCAAATATTCTTTTCTAGCTGTCTTATTGATTTGACCCTGGTACTGCATATTTCCTACACACTTCTATATGTCCGTCTTTTTTTTAATACGTCCTACCCAAAAACATTTGAAGATGGTATTTGTTGTAACAAAGCCTGACTCTGGGCATTAAGAGAATAATCAAAGGACTGAGCTCTGCATTATAATGAGTGAGCTCGAATCATTATTCTGTGTAGGACTCAGCTGTCCATGTTCAACTTGAGCATGGTATCTCAGGCTAACAAAGGAAACCCATATACTTATAGACTAATTCAAGCAGATATACACACGAATTCATACACATCACTATAAAGATGTCATAATCTAAGATTGTAACATTAAGCCCTTGTCCTCCTCACCTCAACCACCCCAGGCAAGAATTGGTTCTTGCAACTAATGCTTGTTGTTTAATCCTTGGATCCAAACATAACTATGATTATTAGGAAAATATCAATATAAACTTAAATTTTGTAGTTTACATTGAAATGAGTTTGAATACAAAATTTGATTGTTACCTCTTAATATCATCAATAAGTTTGTTTTTCTCCTGAACAACTCTCTTGTGGTGCATGCGATGGTAGTCTCTTTCCTTCCTCAGTTTCACATATGTCTCTTTGGCTTTCCTGGTAACAAATTTAATTATAGTGATAATGAATTAATAACAGAATAATACTCCGCTACAACATAAGAATACTGAGACAGTTAAGATGATGATGATGATGATGATGATGATGATGATGATGATGATGATGATGATGATGATGATGATGATGAACATACACATATTAAGGATAAAACTTATTCATGATGCAGAAGTTCATCATATTATTAATTAATCTCAACAAACTGACGTATAATAAGTGCAATCTATATGTTGAGAAACATCAGTTCTTAAACATGAAGATCTCAATAAAATAGGACAGATATCATTATAAAGAACTGTAAAGAGATCAGACAAAACTAAAACTCACATGGCAGCATTCTTGAATTTTTCAACCTCTTTTTTGAGAAATTTGACCTCATTATCCAGGTCTTGATTACGAGAGTAAATGTCAGGAACAACACCCACATCTTCCTCATGCAACATCCCTCGCTGTTGGAGTTCGTACCTGCAACATGATACAGTAAATCGATAATGTTACAAACCTTGGCTTCTGTACAAAAGTTATGAATTGATTATGATTTGGCCCAAGGCACATCCTTTGGAAAGTTGGATTCCAGAACAAATTGGCTTTGAAAAACATCAACATTTTCATTTTCATGTCTTTTTATCAAAATATATATACTGGTAGAGGTATTACTTTCCTTATATATTGTATGTGTAAATATTTAGACATATGATGTAAACTTTCAACATAAAACTACAAGAAACTGTATATTGTACAAGAAACTCTGATTAAATACTACTGCCATTTTCAAACTATTAGGATCCAAGAATGGGTATTTAGTAAAGACTGACAAATCTTTTTTGGCTGCTACTCCTTTGCAATTACATTAGACTGTGACTTTGGTCACTCTGGTTTTTCTTTTTCGTGGGCCAAGTCTTTAAGTATCATGCTCAGTCCAGGAAGCTCAAATACATGTACTAACAATCTTTATAAAAACACTATACCATCCTGAAAATGATTATAGGAGCCATATTTCAGCAAGCAGACTCAAATGTTTTATCACAAGCTCTTAAACATAAAAAGAACTATTACAGAGAGAAAGGGCATCCAGTTATATTAATAAAATGTGGGGACATTTTAGGAGCAGAGTGATTAATACATTGAAACATATGATATATATCACACACCAGTCCACCTGTGTAAAGCTTACCATTCTGTCTGAAAGCAATCCAGTGACCTGTTCATTCCCATCCTAACCAGGAAATTTCTGACAAAATCATCCACAACCTCAGGTTTCTGTATCACAGATGCCTTCACGCTACTCTCTCTGCGGTTCTGGAAATTTGGTTATATTAACTTATAAAACAAGAATGAACAAATGTTTGTCTTATGTATTGGTGTGATATGTTAGGGTGTTTGTGTGTTTAACAAAAATTATACAAAAACCTATAAATTTCTACTAAAAAGTAAATTTGCACAATATTATATGATAGATACATATTAGGGTTGCAAAGGAAGAATAATTTTTATGTTATTAGTGGTTATTTCTTTTTACACTAAACATTCATTAACATCACAGTACCAAAGCTTCATTATCTTCTGATGCCTCTTTGATGGTTCTCACAGCACGATCCAGATCCTCTTCAACCTCTGAAAACACAAAAATAGTCATAAATATGAGCATTCATGTTCATATCACAGTTACATTGATTCAAGAACGCCTTTATGCTTTAAGAATACATGTATGCGAGGGTGTAGGAACCAAGTCAGTTTAACCACCCGTTCTTAAGATTCATAAATAGGAAAGATTACAACTGAGTAAGTCCAACCGCACCATTTGTATACAATTATTTCAAAATAATGTACTTTCTTATCTATGGGTGTTATTGAATGATTGACTCAGTGACTGGATATTTTAGCATTGATATAGCAATTTTAACATGTTACAGGTATCACAATGACATCCCTAGTCTTACCTGAGGGGATAAAGTCCTCATCGATTGGCACTTCCTCATACTGGAACTCATCATCAGAGTCCACCAACAACTGCTCCTCTGAGGTCAAGGGTTAAGGAAATAGGTATCATAATTGAATGATTATTAACGTTCTTAGTCTTAAAAATAAGAATCAAAAGTGTTAACCATGTTGAAATAAAGATTAAAAATCATCATTATATAGACAGCAAGTGGTATGTTAGGGTGTGTTCAATTATTTTGAAAGCTCTCATGTTCGTCTCAAGCCACTGAATAGTTCTGACAAGATAGATTTAGCTATTTTATGCAATGTTATGTTATTTACATAATATAAAATGTACTAGATCAATCGGGTTTATCATACAGGCCTTGATCATAACATATTTGTATTATGCATGCCGTTGCATAGCCTAATATTATTGTGATTTTTCAGTTACTCAACTTTTGTCTACCCGAAAATTATCGTCTTGTCAATAAACAGAGAATTTTACAATATTTCAAATCATATACACGTATTCCTTGTTGCAAATTACCATCACCATTCTTTAACATTAGATGCATACAGACCTCGAATTGTCATTCTGAAAAAATATATATTAAATACACAAAATGTAAGGATACTCTCCAAATAGTACTTGTCTGTCTCATCCGCCGCCATCTTCGTTTACAATGAGGGTTGCTACTGACGACAGTAGTATATATGGCACACCCGCACAGGAGAGTGTGTAAGGGGAGGTAATTATATGCCTTAACGATACTCTTTGATGTGTTTTATGTCTAATAACTTTTTCAAGAATTAGCATATTCCCATAAGCCAAGTAGTACTTGTAGCTATTATTTATGTTTCTAAAATTGCATCATGTAAACAAATATTCGTAATTGGATTTCAATAATATGCATGAAAATACACATTGTTACAAAATTTATCTATTGAAATAGTCTAACATTAGTTACAAAATCAAAAATTTATTTTGTAATAAAATAGAACAAATCCTATTTATATAAGAACTTGCCCCTCGGCAGATAATCAAATAAGACATCAATCATTTATTTTTAGAAATCTATAAGTCCCTTTAATGATGTCAACAGATAGATGGACATTATTGATATTACAAATACGTTTCTGATATTACAAATTACATCTTGAAATGCAGATAATTTCATTATTAATATCAACTGTATCTATGGCAACTCTGGTCTTTCTTTCAGGTGGTCACGCTCCAACTTATAGTTTTGTTTCTTTTTATGGGTTTTACATTTTATTGAATTTATTGATAACATAGTTGTTTTTTCAGGAAAGACTTTGAGCACTTTAAGAAATAATACCCTGTACTTTAATAACGCAAGACGCACCTATTTTCAGGCTATGATTCATAGACTTTATTTCACCCTATTATTCATAGACTTTATCTCCTGCTATTATTCATAGGCCTTATTTCAGGCTATTATTCCTAGGTTATATTTCATATTATTGTTTCGTTACGTTTACCTTTTCTCACATTTTATGCGCTTGGAACATGCACCTTGTGAGTGGATACAGCGCTTTATAAATACTCATCATTATTATTTTCATCAGCTGGGAGTTGTGTTACGGAGGTGATCCCTCAAGAAGGTCGACCACCCAGTGATGAGTGAACTCTCGATGGCGATCAAACGAAACAGTTATATAAATTATTCACAGCAATCCTGTAAAGACTTTATATATTTACATTCAGAACTTGTCGTCTAAGCTCGAGCTATAGAAATCTGATGTTTTGTCAGCTTCACTTGCTGGTATTTTGGAGCCTGGCGCTGATCAGATTGTTCAGCTGACGTGACCTTTTATGGGTGAGTGAGTTTAGTTTTACACCGTATTCAGCAATATTCCAGCTATATGGCGGCGGTTCGTAAATAATCGAGTCTGGACAAGATAATCCAGTGATCAACAGCATGAACATCGATCTACGCATTTGGGATACGATGACATGGGTCGCCTCTTACATTATCTATGGAAGTGCCGCCAGATCCTTGCGCATACATGTGTAGTTTGGGAGTAAAAACTCTGGACCCAAGTGCACAAATGGATTATAGAGCTAGTACTATCGTAACTCCATCGTTATAGTAAGGGAGTCATTTTAGCGCTAAATTTCGTTTGTGCATCTGGACCCAAGAGATTTGAAGCCGACATGCAAATATGGGCGATAAGATGGTCTTAGCGCCAAGATCGGTCAGTGAAAGCGGTTCTCTGATTTTAATGTAAATGGACAACGGTGACAGCTTACATCCCATTTAACCATTTTATATTTAAACATCCGGATCCTTTTAGTGGTGTTGCTGATTGCAAATGATTGGCTAGGTTCAGTGCTCTGCAAGGGGCATTCTCGCGATCTGGAGAGCACGAGAAATTCTCTACAGTATTCCATACACTGGTGTGTGAAAAGAAACATTAGATGATAATCCAATGTGATTTTCAACATCGAAGTACCTCATCCACGCTTCTCATGCAGTGTCGGATCCCCACGAAACCAATCCTCTCCAGGACATGAGACGTTGATATTTAATGATTTTAATAATATATTATACCGCTATTCCTGACGCACATTTCCACATGCACCCGCCTGTGCAGTAAACACGTCTGTAAGCTCCGCCCACTCATGTATATTTATGATTACTGTGCACTTATACCGCCATTGTAGGTTTAAGGGCACAACACACGTCCTCACGAAACCGCCCCTTTAAGGACGTGAGACGCCGGTATTTTATGATTTTGATATTATATACATGTATATGATACCGCTTTTCGTGATGCACATATCCAAATGCACAATCCTCACGAAACTATCCCTCAATGATATGAGACGCCGGTATTTAATGGTTTGGATAGTATATGATACCGCTTTTCGCGAAACATTTCCAAATGTGCAGTGACGGATTCTCACGAAACTATCCCCTCAAGGACATGAGACGCTGGTATGTATTGCTTGATGTGGGAGCCTTCACAAGACATGTCCTTCGTCCAGCTAACTACAACCACATGTTGCATTCTTCAGCTGATTAAGCCTGTAACCGGCGATGTACACCGACATGCCCAGCATGCCAGCGTGTTGTTATCGTCTCGTGTACACGATCAACCTCCGCCATGGGCCGTCGCCACGCTCCAAAATATGTTGTGTTGAGATCGAAACTGATTCATTCGGATCAGATATCAGATTGAAGCGTAAATACATTCTTCGTGCCAGTTGGTATTAATGCAATTGCGTCGTCAGAAACTGCCATTCTGTCATATTTTGTTTTAATTTCTATCATTCAATAATGTTTACTTGTAATGTCTTAAACGTTTTAATTTTTATTGTTTTAAATTTTCAGAGAGTAAATAATGACAGTGTAACATTGCATTCACCGTGTTTGGTTTTGATTTGAGTAGATGCAGATGAAGCTGTTATTTCATCGGTGTCAAAGACTTTTAAAAGATAACCAACAATATACAGTCGAACCCCAATGTCTCGAACTCGGCTGAGACGAATTCTCGGTTGTATTGAACTCATCTCTCGGTCCCTGCCGATTTCCTTATATTTATCATTATTTCTATACTGACGAATGTGTCGAACACTCGCATAAGTCTAACTTTTCCCTTGGCCCCGACGAGTTCGACAGAACGGGGTTTGACTGTATATTTTTTAACAATGTACGTTTTTCGGTTTCGAGAAACAAAATTCTTCAAATGTGCATTTGTCTTGTATATGTTAAATGTGTCTATCAGAACTCCGTAATCAATCCAGTTCTTTTTCCATCGCTCAGTAGCGGGCTCAGTGATACGAACCAACCATGAACAGCTTCGTCTTACCAAACATCAGGCGAGTTGGAAAAGATTAGAATAGTACAATCTTAGATTTCCGGCAGGATTTCGATATTTTACTTTAATGCTCTATCCAACGCGAAGGTTGTCCATTTTTGTCGTGTTTCCTTCCCTTTACTCTGTGCATGGCATCCAATAACGTGGGATGTCGTTCAAGTCATCAACCATGCCCCTACTGTAATATCACTTACTGCAACATGAACATGAACCCTCAATGTATCGCAGTTTCCCCCGCCACTGTGGACATTAAGCTATGATGTGATTTAAGAAAATTCTCTTTCACCCATGTACACTGTTAAAGACCAGGGTGTCGTTGTACAAAGCGATCTTAGCACAAAGGTGATCGTAACTTCCATTCCTTTACATTGACTTAAGACAGCCTTATAGCACTAAGGTTGTTTTGTACAACGGCACCCATGCAGACCAGATTGATCTTTCATATACATGTATAAAAAAATTGTTACCGAAAGGAAAGCTACATCATATTTTCTGAAAGACAATTAACACTAATTTCTTAAAATTCATGAACAAGTGAAGATCGTTTTTTAATTTAAAAAACTAAACAATTCTATGTTTATTTCGCCAGTCCGCTTTCTTGCTGGTTAAGGTTGGAGATGAGAAACAAACAGTACGGATGTCCTAAGCCTCATGTCATCCTTGCTCTATATCTATATTAGACTTAGAAGCTCTAACTCAGGAGGTGGCCATTGTGGCGAATCTTAACACAAAAGCACATACACAGGGTGCTGACGTCGCCGGGACAAGAGCGCTTTCATCTTACGAAGAGGCAAGTTATTTCAATAGATTTATTTCTTTAAGAATATGAATCTCAACGCTCACAGGGGCGGTGGGGTAGCCTAGTGGTTAAAGCGTTCGCTTAGGCAGAAAACAAACGACGGTGTCGGTGACCTAAATTAAGAATCCTCGCACAGGGCTAACTGGCGCGCTGTTCTATTGATGTGTCTGCCCCCTACGTTAAGACGAACGTTACCAGAAAAAAACAAATGATAACAGTTTGATGACGGTTTAGTTCGGATTAAATATCTTCTCTGAATTATTTTAATTACATCTGTCATTAACGTAAACCATATGGGGCAATATGAACGTTGCATTTCTACTACCAGCGTAAGGTTAGAGTTCCAGTTGAGTAGTCAAGCGACATTCCACAATTGCATTGTGGGAATGTAAACATTACGAACGTTACCGTGTCGCTGAAAACTTGTGAGTCGAAATGACACATTTTAACCGTCGTAAAACATAAACGTAATGTTTCCACCAGTGATGTTAGCTGCGTGAAGCAACAGCAAACCAAGAAACTGGATGCAACGGTGTAGTTTACTGTAGGAGGCCGTACGAGGCGATGACAACTGACATGCATCGTGACGTCGCTTACATTGTGACGTAATGTAAAATGGTTCGATTACGAGGGGGCACACTAGAATGGCGCAGTGACGGGATAACGTCATTCAATTGTTACGTCATCAAAAACTATACCTTTATTTAGGGGATAACTGTACTGTGTTTGACGAATTGGGGACGTATACCGGTGGTTATATAGCCGCAAATTTAGTTATATCGGCGACGCGTAAGCGGAGCCGATATAACGTTAAATTTGCGGCTATATAACCACCGGTATACGTCCCCAATTCGTCAAACACAGTACAGTTATCCCCATTCTAATTCAACTCGTTTTACGCTGTTTTTTCGTGAAAGAAATTCATTATTTAAACCAGGTCAAAGTTCCTCTAGGTCAAAGGTTAATCATATCACTCCTTCAACTTACACCATCGCCAGAGAAAGTAGTTCCCTTTTCAAACTACACACGTTTATTATGTGCACACAGACTAAATTTGACAATGATGA